GAGCCTTCAATGTGATGAGTGAACGCTTTAACGACTAGGCTACTACGCCCATTGCTTTTTTATGTTTATAATGGAAAGATATGTGTATTGCAATAGAAACATGATATTAAACTATTAAATATCAAATTAAAAAAAAACTGTTACTTAATGAGAGACTTTTTAGATTGAGGCTGCATTCGTTTGGTAATTGGCAATTTTGATTCTTGTCCTGATATTTTAGGATGCTATGCCAATAGCAAGTGACATGGGAAACACTGCATCAGGCCACAGCAATTTGGCAGCTATTCACTGTTGTTTTATTTCATTTGAAAATTGTCTTCAATTAACACCAATACAACAATACAAACAAGAAGAGGGTTCGAAAGGGTGTGCTCATTGCTTTTCAACTTTGCAAATTTGCATTAGATTGTAGATTTTTCTGGTAAATCGTGTTTTCTCTTGGATCTCCCAAAAATGTGTACTTTCGTTAATGGGGGTTGAGACAATGGTGAAAATTGAAAATTTGTTTTGAATATTCTCCTATATATTTATGGGAACTGTTATAATATGTGTGACATCATAAACTCTTGCCATGTGGTGGTTGAATACAAATTCCAGAACCGGTAACATCAAAATATTATATCACGTACTGGAAACGGATCTGTGATATCTATTAATACAACAGGGATACATTGAGAATATTTGAAAAATCTAATCCCCTCTACTGTCACCTGTGTTACTACTGTACAGAAAATATGAAAAAAGAATGAGTAAGTGAGTTGGGTTTAAGGGTGCTTTGAACAATATTCCAGTTAGATTGTAGCATGTCAGTTAAGTGTGCGAAGAAAGCTCCAAGTGGGCAGATCGTTACCACTTTGGGGACACCCATGAGCAAGGGTATAGTGCTGCCAAACCTAGGAACATAAGTGAGGTTAACCGGTATTCAAACCCACGATCGTAGGTTATGGCATGCCCAAGGGACACAACTCTGACAGCAAATTGCAGCACCTTAGACTGGGCCAACTGGGCCCCAATAAAAGAAGAGATACTGATGAATGTAAGAAATACACTCATGATGGATCGGCTTTGAGTTTCAGTTATATAATTGAATAATTCAAGCCAGGAAGTAAAATGAGGCAAACAAGACACTTCTGAAGGTGAAAATGTCCAGTTGTGTATGTGTCAGTGTTATGAACAAACACAGCCACCCATGGCCGGTTAGTGTAAACACATTAGTTGTGGTGCTGACATGTTTTCCCCCACATTAAGGGTTAATGGTAAATGATCATGCAAGGGTTGCCATTAATTTGTGTGTTAGCCTGAATGTCAGCCTCCACACTTCACTGCCCAGACAATCAGTTGGTACTGCTGTGGACCTGCTGGGCCCCCTGTAGGCAGAAATTATTACCGGGATATCATGAAATAAAAACATGGCTCTTAGGTGGTAGCATGTACTTTAAACAGGTGCTTGTGTATGTCTGGAGTTTGTATTTATATATGCTCTTATAATTGCGGGACTATAATTGATTGAGTGTTTTGGTTGTGGCGTGTGCCACCAGTGGTGTAGGATAAGCTCACTTCGTCGTGAACACCTTGTATCATCACTCTTTGATAGTGATTCATGAACACATGCTCATGATACAGTTGGAATCATACATAGAATATGGAAATAGGTTTTGTCGCTTTTATTCATAATTCATGTGGCATCTGTCACAAGAAGTGTATGTAAATGCCTGTATTTATCATATGACATGCTGGCTGTCTATTAATGATTAAATCCACAGTCTAGTGTTGTAGTCGCATGTGGTATTCTTTCACAAGAAGTATTTGAAAACACTGACATTTGCTACATGACATGCTGGCTGTCTATTAATGATTAAATCCACAGTCTAGAAATGTAGTCACATGTGGTATTCTTTCACAAGAAGTATTTGAAAACACTGACATTTGCTACATGACATGCTGGCTGTCTATTAATGATTAAATCCACAGTCTAGTGTTGTAGTCGCATGTGGTATTCTTTCACAAGAAGTATTTGAAAACACCGACATTTGCTACATGACATGCTGGCGGTCTATTAATGATTAAATCCACAGTCTAGAAATGTAGTCGCATGTGGTATTCTTTCACAACTTTTTGGCAACTTCTAATGATTGAATCCACATAATCTTATGGATTGGAACTGTACAAATTGTGAAAATTGTTTTCTAAGTGTTATATGTTTTAACAGTGAAATATTTTTGATTATAAACAATTAAGTTATTACCTCTCCTTAACTGTAATAATATATCAACAGTGATAATAAAAAAATAGTCATAATAATAACTGTCCAAACATAATGTTACATTCTCGGGCCTATTTCAAATTTGTTACTTCTAAAATTTAAATGTCAAAATATTTAGAATTTTATGTACTTCAAAATGATCAGTTAAGCTACAGAGTCCTTTAATTTGCACTTAAGTTAGGACAGGGAGGTAACCTATAGGTTAGTAAACTTTGATTGTTATAGACAAGCCTTTGATTCCCCTACACGGTAACAACGCATGAAGTCCATTCTGCCATATTATCGCTATGAGGATAAAAGCTGCTTAAAACCATATTGCTTGCAAAGTTTTAAATATATCACAAAATCTGTAAGATTATACCAATCGTGGTATGTAATACTTTATATACACGCTACTAGCATGCTGCTTTCTTTGGGAAGGTGCGCTAGAGTAGACTAGGTAACGGACTCGGAGTGTTGGTGCAGAACACAATCAAGGTCTCTAGGAATACTGAAGCATTTCTCCAGACATGTTTTATCATGGTAATAGACTTACATGGAGGTGTTTGTGTGTGTGGATCCTACCTGGCTTGTGTATTGTGCTGAACTACGACTTCTGTGCCAGCTATTGTTGTACTGTTTGTGTAGCCATTGACTCCGACACAGGTTTCTGTGAACAATATTTGTTTAGTATCGCTAAATGCAAGCATAGCTGATAGGCTCCACTTGAGCAAACACTTCATTGTTCACATTAAACTTCCTAAATGTTTGTACAATAATGTTAGATTTTACACTTTATTCACATGGAAATATTTTGATAAGCTAATTGATCAGTGATAACCACTAGTTCATTCTATCGTGATCGTGTCAAAATGTATTTGTCCATGATAACATGGTTCTAGCAGTTGAAGAGAACCTGAGCCTGGTTGTCAAGGAAGTGTTTGTGTATGTTTTTGTTTACGATAGAGTTGATTGATGATTCATGAATATCAGCACCATTTGTTAGATCATAGATTATTATTTTAGTGAGTCACATTTATGATAAAGTCAGTGATTTTTCTAGGATTCAAAACTAAGTGCCCTTAGCAGGCAAATTGGAAAAACAACCGTTATGTTGTTCAAAATTGTGATTTTTATCACAGTTGATAGTTTCTTAAATTCAGAGGTATTTTAAAATTGAGTTTTAACAGTGCATTCTTAGCAATAATGTTAAACCAAGCTTTAAAGCCTCTTCCTGTATATTGGTCCTGTTATTAGTGAAATACAAGTCACCTTTACCAAGGCATAACATTACCAGTAATTATAGATATAATGAATGAATCGGGAAATGTTTAATTCCAATTTGGGAATTTTTACTGACCTTTGCTCCAGACTTGGGGCTGAACATCAGACTCTGAGCAGGTCTAGATAAATCACTCCAAAATTGAATATGAGGGTAATGTTTTGTGGTTTGTTTTTTATTCATAGAATTAATGGTTGATGGATATAAACTGCGGGGCAAAGTCCAGTAAAATAAATGTTTGCAAACTTTTTTTGACACTCAACTCATTAATAAAATGAAATTTAACCACAAATACGGTTCTGTAAGTCCACGACTAGATGCTTAGTTTAGATCTTGAGTCATAGTCTGATGAATATGCAAGTGCTTGCCATGATTTAACACAAAATGGTAGACCTTCCCTAGCTACAAAGTGTTGAATAAAATTGATGATGATTAAATGATTTTGGACACATTGTGGATCACTGCCCCCTTAATAAACCTGTACAGAAGTTCTTATGGTGTTGTATGTTTCATTGATCAAACAAGTTTATTATTTTGGACAACATCAGAACACAGTTTGAATAAGAGATAAATTCACAGTGAGGCTAGACTTACCTTAGATAAGTAATCATATGTTATACATTAAATTGGCATCTTAACACCTTAAAACCCAACAGTTAACATTAGCAGTGGAAAGACATGAATTATTTGCTGAATGAGCAATGTTTGATTTACCACACCCAAAAGACAAAAAAATATGGACTGGAGATTAGTTTACATTTATGAATAATCTCCAGTCATCCATTATAGCATTTTGAGTCTGGTTCGCTGATTTAGAAAATAATACCTCAGACCAGATTATGACAACCATTAGTTAATGCAACCATCAGGTTTGTTTGTTTGTTACTTAATGATGCACTGAGCAATATTCCAGCTATATGACGGTGTTTTGTAAATAATCAAGTCTAGACCAGACAATCCAGTGATTTACATCATTAGCATTGATCTACACAACTGGGATACGATGACATGCATCAACCAAGTCAGCGAGCCTAACAACTCACTCCCGTTAGTCACCTCTTACAACAAGCTTGGGTTGCTTAAGACCAATTCTAAGCATATCTTCACGGGTCCCTACTCATACAACTTTATAAAGACAACTATATAGAAACAAGATCATTGTACTTTTCTGTGTTAAATATTTAAGAAAGTCACTATATGATAAGCTTAAGCTGTAGAAAACCATTTTGAATCGTCATCTTTACTGTATTAGGAAACCCAATATTGCCTGGTTGAGTAGAAAATAAGTATTTTGTCTTTCATTATCTTCAAAGCAAAGGTTATTCTTTACATCAATATGCAGTCAATATACAATGTGCATCTCACAAAACATTCAATTTTAATGATATTATTTCACAAAAGCTATGATCTGGGAGATGGAATATTTGTAAGGAAAATATTGTTTTATTATTAATTTGATTATTTGATGTTTTTCAGCTTGGATCAGGTGCAACACCTGCGTGAAGTCCAAGCCATGCGACGTCTCAACCCACACACGAATGTCCTTGACCTTCTAGAAATTATCTTGTACGTATCCAGTGACAACTTATAGAATTGTGAATAATTGAATGAACATTTCATGAAAGGATAATAATAACTTGCTTACTTGGTGTTTTCTGTTCACAAATTGTAATTATTTGATCATCTGTAAAAAAGACCATTTTGTCTTACGTATGTATACACACAGAGTAAACTACAGTTATGACGAACTCAAAGGGACCACAAATTATAGTTACAGTAAACTACGGTTATAATGAACTCAAAGGGACCATTAATTTTAGTTCGTTATAACCGTAGTTCGTTATAAGTACATATACAGCGGATGCCCAGGACCAAAATAACAGTTAATTATTTCTGTCAATTTGTTATTAGCGTGTTCGTTATAACAATAGTTTTCTGTAGTTGTAAAAGTAATTCATTATAAGCATATTAACAGCATATATTTATGAGAACTATGACGTCACAATTAGGGCTGGGATGGGCAACTCAGGTACTCGAGTCAGGGGGTTACTGAGTAGGACCCAGGTACCCACAGGACTACCCGGACCCGTGGTTAGTCACATGATATATTATTTCATGACAAAAAGTCACTATACAACTACGTGGTTACATGACAATTTTAAGTCTCTAATGTTTGCATTTCTTCATGACTATGAACACGTTCCTTCTGACTTAATATGTTTGAAAAAAGCTCAAACTTCAGTCAACTTCAGTGTATGCATGACCACATCGTTTTATACGTGTATCTAAAAACATTCTGCCAGGGCTACTATCAAACTATTCCCAATGGGACATTTTATACCTATCTCTTGACACCAACAGCGGGTACCCAGGTAGGGTCGGGTAATAGGGATTAGGGTACCCGGGTAGTAAATTTGGACTCGTCCCAGCCCTAGTCACAATACCAAGGTAACAATAGACAAATAACTTACACCTTTACATTTGACTTAGGCGCTTATTTATGAATGAAATGTTGCTCTTTTTTAAATAATGTAGGTCCATGATCAAAATGTAGCTTATATAGCGGGAAAACTAAAACGTTGCTGCTTCCACACGTTTTGCTAAATGTTCACTGAGTGGAATCGTGGCTGCTTTATAATAACTTTAACAAACACAGGATAACTGCCAAACTATTTATTAGAATTACATTATACCATAGCACATGCATACAAGACTAGTTTCTGTGGCATTCGGGGATTCTCATGTTAATACTAACTACCACGATAACTATAACAATGAAACCTGTGGTTGAGCATCAACCTTAACCAGCACAAATTACATGCCCAAGCTGCTTGACTGACCATCAGTCATTACTGACCCCAGCATGGGGTGCAGTCGAGTATATGACCTACGCTTCTGAGCATCAGAAACAGTAGTTGGCAGCATGCTATTAACACATAAGTATGCACAACAATGAATGATGGGGGAAATATCCCCAGAAACATTATGGATATTTAACTGCCACAATGATCAGAAATAACTGCGTTATTATGTTTAGACAATCTTTTTTCATGACTAAGGTTGAAGGTGGATACCAGAGTTAATACTTATCAAATAGAAGGAGGGATCTGGCAGAGAGGGAAAAACATTGAATTGAATAACAATAAGTTATAGTTTTTAGAAATTGGTCTTATTTTTCAAGTAAATATTTTCCACTTGAGATGGGAGGAATGTTTTTTTCATTACTCACATAAATCGCAATATAGAAACTTAAGCTAGCCAGTTGGGCTACCTTGATATTATTTGCACAAGCCAGAAAGAATAGAATGCAGTGACAAGCTGTGGGTCAGGCACTTATTTCACTCACACATTGAGCAGCACTGACCATGATGAGTGAGAAAGGTTGTCTAAGGCTTGGTTAAAAGATAAGTCCAAAGAATCCAATATTTCTGACAGTTGTGATATTTGCTGAGATTTTTTATATGGATGTAAGTTTTTTTGTTCAATCAGTCTCCATTAGTGATTCTTGCTCGTGGTGTCAGTCATTGGATTGACAGGGCTTGTCTGTGAGTGACATTAGACAACAAACAAACAAAACATATTACCCTGTATCGCAGAGCAAAATTCTCCATGCACATTCTTATCAGATTGATGATCAAGAAAAAGGCCACACCAGTTTTCATGTTCTGTGATTGAAAAAATAATTCAGAAACAAAATTATTTCACAAGTCTTAACAGGCACTAGTGTCTTACATTAGACCAAAACATTTTCCGTTAACACTGGAACAAGGTAGACTTTCACAGTTTGCGGCCCATTTTCAGTAAAGTATAAGGTGAAAAACTGAGGCAGTGTGTCCTTTGCATAATCATTTACTGCAAGAGACCCATTAAGATCTGGGTTAGAATCATTCTGCAGCAACTCATGCTTGTCGTAAGAGGCGACTAACAAGATTGGGGGGTCAGGCTCGCTGACTTGGTTGATTAATGTCATCATATACCAGTTGCATGGATTGATTCTTGTGATGTCAATCACTGGAGTGTCTGGCCCAGACTTGATTATTTACAGGCCGCCGTCATGTAGTAGGAATGTTGCTGAGTGCAGCGGTAAACAACAAACAAACCTTAACTGCAAGACTGATATTCAACTCAAAATTGGAGTTAGCAAGCAGAAAACCAAGGTTGTGTTTAAGCAAAACAAATCTTTGCTAGGACGCCCTGTGTTTACTTTTCCGTGCCCAGCAACCTATGCTGGTCATAAGATGCGACCACATGGATCGGTTGGTCAGTCTCTGTTACTGGGTTGATAGTGTGTCCTTGTAACCTTGTATTGCTCACAATATCAACAGCTGAAGCCAGACTTTTTTGTACAGGCTGCCATCATATAGCTGGAATGTTGCAGAGTGCGTCAGTAAACAACAACACCCGTGAAGATCCAGGGTAGAATAGGTCTTCAGCAACCCATGCTTGCCGTAAAAGGCAACTTTGCTCGTCGTAATAGGTGACTAACGGGATCGAGTTGTCAGGCTCGCTGACTTGGTTGATGCATGTCATCGTATCCATATTGCGTGGATCGATGCTCATGATGTCGGGGCGGTCGGGTAGCCTAGTGGTTAAAGCGTTCGCTCGTCATGCTGAAGACCCGGGTTTGATTCCCAACATGGGTACAATGTGTGAAGCCCATTTCTGGTGTCCCCCGCCGTGATGTTGCTGGAATATTTCTAAAAGCGGCGTAAAACCAAACTCACTTACTCATGATGTCAATCAATGGATTGTCTGGTTCAGACTTTATTATTTAAAGGCCACTGTTCATATAGCTGGAATATTGCTGAGTGCAGCGTTAAACAACAAACAAAACAAAAACAAACATATAACAACAATTACAGTCATGGACGTATGTTGTCTCTTTCAGTGATAAGAAGTCGGGAACGTTAGTCCTGGTTGTGGAGCTCATGGACATGAACATGTATGAACTCATTAAAGGTAGGTGCTGTTCATACTAGGAAGTTGGACGAAACTGGTTTGCTACTCTGCTACTCGAATAAGACAAATAATTTGTTTTGATTTAACAATCTGATTTTCAGTTTTCCATGCTCTACTCATCTGAACTGAATGTTCAAATGAGCTTATGTAATGGTGTGTGGTGTGTTTCATATTTTTTACATCTTATGAAACACCAGAAGGCCCTTTCATGGACAATCAGAGCAATGACTGCATTAAAATCAGGTTGCAGAAATCCCATTCAATTCTAAACATGGCAGTATATTGCTTTTTTTAAATATTAAAGTAATTGATCTGACTTTTTGAGTTGATGATTACATTTTATGTTGTAAGTATCCAAATGGCTCAGTTTATGAATCTGATTTTTATGTTGATAACACCTCAGCATTATTGTATCTGAATTATGCTCGCATAAATGTTATCAAATTTCTTAACATGGCCACAATGACTGCCATATTGTATTTTGATCCACTATTCAGCTCTATATGTTTGTTTCATGATGAAATATATATGTGTAGCATTTTGCAAAAATGTTCCAATTTGTTTCACCTTTTCTGACCTTCATGTATGAACATATTTAATATCTATTTTCTCCTATAATTTCAAGATCTATTAATCACTGGCTTTATAAAAGCTGAAATTGTGTGTTTGACATTTGAAGAAATTTCATATTTTCCCATTATTCAACCATTATTGAAGTGTCAGGTTTTGTTTCAATATGGAGTGAATCTACTGTCTATTGATGTTTGTATTGTTCTTTCCTATTTTATACTTTTTTTATAACTTTTGAAATGGTTAACACGGGGTTTTCCAAACAAGTTTTGGACTGTATGATAATTCTGTCAAAATCACCGTCCTGCTCACGCTTCAAAGGGATAAAGATTTGGTACAGAGGGGACTTTGCATAGCCTGAGGAAAGTACTGCAATTTGATCTCTGCCATCCATTAGATATTCCACAATTTTTGTTGGTTCAGTTTTCCGATTTTGAATCAGCCGTAAAGCTAGAAAAAAACAGCTTTCTGATTGGCTGATGTTGACTTCTTTGTTAGTCATGTGATTGGTTGGTCTAAATTTGCAAAAGGTCATTCTCATGTGACCTGTAATGGGATGTCCTCAGATCTTTTGCATTGAGGTCTGATTTTAGTGAGATTGTGTTGCAAATCGTTCAAACATTCAAGTGAGCTACAGAGCCTCATGCTTCTCTTTTTGTTGAAACCATGTTCTTTGTGACAATTCTCTTATTTACATTTGTCAGAATGTTCTTTATCAATAGTATACTTTGAACAAATCATTGCTGATAAAACTGAATCATTGCATCATTTATATGGTATAATGTGACTATCAGCATAACATTTGATGATGTGAGAAAACAGTTACCGATTTTTTTGGCCTAAAACCATATCATCAGTTATCAAAATGGAAATAAATAAAAAACATGGAAACATGTTTAATACTGAATTCTTGAAAAAAATTGTCAATCAGGTGAAATAAATGTGTTTATTTTTAATGTCAGGTCTTCTCTTGATGACTTGCTTTAAAAAAATCCACATTTATGAAATTGGGTTGACAGATCCATAAACAAAGAAATTTAAAAAATAATGACTATGTTGCTATGTATTTCATTGTTTGTTTATGTTCATATGAAATGTCCAGTTACATCATTGAACTTTTCTCTCCTTGAGGCATTACCTCCCATACCCTCTCACAACACAAGCCATGCTAATTTCCTTGACATCACCACTGTAGACCAATCATGGCCGAATCAGAAGCCCATGTGACAGCTCACTACACACAGCAGTACAACCATATACCTCGCTGTGGGGGACCCAAACAATTTCAAAACAAGTGGCCTTTATTTGTAGGCAAACGGCATTACCTACCAGAAAGAAAAGTGAAGCACTACATGTACCAGCTAATCAAATCTATAGAACACATGCATAGGTAAGGGTATATGTTGGCACCTATCAACCCTGCCACGCCCACCTGTTCTCACAGGGCACTGTAGTTGGTCCAGCACTAGTGTAGCTCCCTTCCTGTATATGCGTCACCTCTTTGCTTCTGTATGCTGTATAGTATAACACCTCAGCACTTGACTAGACATGTGTAGCCCTGTCCTGCTGTCTCTCTTTCCAATTCAAAAATAGTTAACCCAAAATAACCCCGGTCCTGGAGTATCATGTCTTATAGGCAATACAGTTTGGTATGTGACAGATAATGTATTAATGTCGGTCGTTCTAAACTATCACTATCACGGTGGGGGATACAAGAAATGGGCTTCAAACATTGTACCCATGAGGGGAATCGAACCTGGGTCTTCAGGGGTGACGAGCAAAATGTTTAAACATTCGGCTACCCTACCATCCTGAATTTTTTTTTTACAGCAGATGTGACATGTACTACTTGGTGGGGAATGGTCCATCAATTCACATGGTTATATGATGAAAATCAAGCAAAATGAACTTATTTTATATGTCCATGTTAGTTGAATGCTGTTTTACAACTTGTACCTGTCTATTAACCTTGTTATAAGGATGTAAATTTGGAAAAAAAACTTTATGAATAATAATGGATTAACTACCATCATGTCTGCTACCATACCTACCCCACCCTACTCACCTTATCCCTCCCTTCCCCCTTCTTATCCCACCTTAGCCCTCCCTGCCCCTCCCTGCCCCTCCCTGCCTGGTAGTTCCCACCCCTCCCTTCTCCCCCACCCCATTCTTCCTATGTATTCCACATTTTAACCTTTCCTTAAATACAGTCACATAGTATCATTGTCTTGTCCTGTCTGTTTTTCTCTCTGTTAGCTGTTTGTCTACCTTTATCTCAGATCACACTTTATCTTTGATCACCCTACCTTTTTGTAGCCGTATTCCTGTGAATTCCATATCTTAGTAATTTGTACAAAGAGAATAAAACTTTGTTGGGTCGATGATAGGTATGTCCTGGGTTGAAATAAGCCCCCAGTACTCAAATGTTTGTCATAAGGGGTGACTAAATTGGAATTGGTAATCAGACTTTGTTGATGGCATGTCACCATACCCAGATGATGTTAATTGATGCTCATAATATCACCCACTGGTATGTCTGATCCAGAATATTGCTGATCTCAGCACAAAATTACAAACAAAAACGAGCAAAATAATGTATAATTCTACCTTGAATACAGAGAATGAACAGCTAACCTTCAGCAAGGTCACGTGAAAGGTCGTTCAGGACATCTTGATCTGGTAGAGACAATAATTATACCTGGGTCACACGGCTTTTAACTATTGCAAAGATCTTTTGCAGGAACAGTATAGCATATAAGAAGGTCTTCAGTATTGTTAATCAATTCTAAATTTGTTGCTACAAAGATATGGAATTCACAGCTGTATGACTTATATATACACTGGTCATATAGCATAGTGTAGCTTTTGCAGCTAGTATGTGCATACACTAATATCTTGTCTGTTTCAGGAAAGACGCAGTATTTAGGGGAACCCCTTGTAAAACGCTATATGTATCAGTTACTAAAATCTGTAGATCACATGCATAGGTAAGCCGGTTGAGAAGCATGTGGAAGATGTTTGGCTTGAAGTCTCTCTCTACATGCATGTGATACTCAGTAGAGAAGGTACTAGGACTCTTCAGTCGCTGGGTCTCACTGTCTTGGCATTTGAAAAAATCACTAGTTATTGATTAAACTTAGTGGAGGAAGGATCGTAAGTTTATTCTGAAATATATGACTTCTCAATTAACATGATTAAGAAGCAAGTGTTATGGGTTTGCTGAAGATGAGACCTCATCCTTCAAAAACAGGGGTCATGAGTTTATTGAAGCAAGATGACATCTCATCCTTCAAAAACAGGGCATCAGTTTATTTAAGCAAAATGGGACCTCTTCCTTTTAAAACAGGCCATGAGTTTATTGAAGCAAAGATGACATCCCATCCTTCAAAACAGACCATGAGTTTATTAAAGCAAGATGACATCTCATCCTTCAAAAACAGGGCATCAGTTTATTGAAGCAAAATGGGACCTCTTCCTTTTAAAACAGGCCATGAGTTTATTGAAGCAAAGATGACATCCTATCCTTCAAAACAGACCATGAGTTTATTAAAGCAAGATGACATCTCATCCTTCAAAAACAGGGCATCAGTTTATTGAAGCAAGATGGAACCTTATCCTTCAAAACAGACCATGAGTTTATTGAAGCAAAATGCTACCTCCTTCTTCAAAACAGGCAATGATTTTATTGAAGCATGTTGGATGGGTCCTCATCCTTCAAAACAGACCATGAGTTTATTGAAGCAAGATTGGACCTCATTCTTCAAAACAGGCAATGATTTTATTGAAGCATGTTGGATGGATCCTCATCCTTCAAAACAGACCATGAGTTTATTGAAGCAAGATTGGACCTCATTCTTCAAAACAGGCAATGATTTTATTGAAGCATGTTGGATGGGTCTTCATTCTTCAAAATGGGGCTATTTTCAGTGAAAGGGCTAAGGCAGGAGTCTACGGCGAGTTATCACATGCGTGGAATTCTAACATGACTAATAGTGTGTTGTTTGCTGTGCAGGGAAGATGCATGTATTCTCACTTTAACATTCATAACAAAGGGCTTTATCTTTGCATTCCTCCAGCCTATCATTGTACAGAAAATGTGTGTTTAATGTCATGTATAAGATTGCCATTCTAAATGTCATTGTAGGGAATCAAACAGTTGTATTGATGACAGCTTCATTATATACGACTGAGTGTAAGTGAGATGCTGTCATCTCTGCAGGTGCTTGTAGGATTCTCATGTCTCTGAGCATACATGGGGAATTAGATGGCATTTGTATATGAACTTCCAGGTGTTGGAAACCCATCTGGAATCAGTTACCACTCTCACTCACTATCTAAATAATACAAACATTCAATAACTAACTAAATAAACCAAACATTCCATTTTCAGAATGAGCACTTATTGTGATCTGAAGGTGATCTAGTTTCTTTTTGACCGTAAAGAAATATTTCAGCACATAATAATTATTGAGATATTTGATGATGAATGAAAAAATATAAATGTTGTTTCTTTAAAAAAAATAATATTTGTATTGTCGCAGGTTATATTTATAACACTTGTTATGCCACATATTATACCGGTGATATTTCCTCTATGCTGTGTTAAGCAGAGCACTGTTGTAAGCCTATGTTAAAGTATATCATTCTTAAAGGATTAATTTGACTCAATCTAGAATTGTGCTTTGTCTTTCCTTATGGAATCAGGTTCACAAGTTTCTTGAAGCATGATCCTGCTGGATACCAAATCAAAATATCAATGATGTTATCATTTCAAAAAAGTTTCACGTTCATGTAGTTAATGAATAATGTATGTACGTTCAAGCATTCTTTACTAGCAGCCTTGACAATGCCCAGAAGAATTGATTTTGCCATATGTGATTCTGTTCCATGTGACATGGTACTGAGAAGAAATATCGACCTTTTTCAAGACAAATGTTGAAAAGACATTAGATAAAGGATAAATGATATTAAATATACTACTCAAAAGAAGTTAAAGAACTCCTGATTCATTTTTGTGTCTATAGTTAATCTGTCATTCTGTGTCATCGCTGTTCCTTTGCTTCTTTTGAGTAGGATATATTTTGTGCTGAAGTTATGTTTGTGTTTCAAGCAGAAATATTGTTTGTGAAGAGTAACTGTAAAGGTTATTTATGAAAACACTTGAAGGAAAAGATATTTAAAAACGAATGTGATTAGTCTTCCATAAATATTATTAGTAAATACATATTGTGTATGGTGAAGTCCAAGATTTGTTGAAAACTAGTTTATTCATAACATCAGTGTTGCTAACTAAACAACTGCTAGGAAAATTATAATGTTATCACAAATGAGACACTATATATATGGATAACAACTTCTTTAATTACAGTAAAGGCGTCATTTAGGTATAATTTTTGTAATTTGAAGTTTACACAATATACGGCTTTTCCAATGGACGAGAGGTCGGTCACATGAATATCACGAATATCCTCGCTACGGCAAGCTCAAACGTTCATACAGTTTGGCCCTCACTCTATGAAGGTTCAAACTCCAATGAAGTCACACAGAGTGAAAGTCAATTCTTAAATATATCCTTTTACCAATGTCAAGCAAGGCTTGCTTGAAAATAGTCTTGCTTGACAACGGTAAAAGGATCTATAACTAAATCGTTGTCTTTACAGTGATAAAGGAGTTGTTATCCATAAATTGTGTCTACTTTGTCATCCGTCAACTTCTAAGTAATGCCTATCAAACAATTTAACTTATAATGTAGTCAGTATTTCATCATGAAAATTGTTCTATTACTAACATGATTGTTGTATCCAAAGCTAATAGATGCTTTTTATTCAGGTAATGAGGCCACCGGCCCATTTTACACGTGCAGAGCATGATGGCATACAAATATGACAGAGCGCTGAATTATAAGATTTACAATGCAGTGTTCAAACTGTTAATATTGGAGTTAATTATATGACACAGGTATTCCCTTGAAAATGGAATTACGTTTCTTACCAGCAAGAAATACGTATTTGGCTAAATTGTTGCAAATACTTTGATTAGTCGAGCTGAATAATAAGAACATTTTCTCACGACTTGGAAACATGTGATAATAATTGGGTATGAGATTAGACCGCAGATCAAGATAGAACGGACACACCATACAAAAGTGGAACTCATCTTCGATAGCACTTACAACACAGAGCTAATGAAAATATTATGACAACACATAAAAAACAATTTGTTATCATTAGCTAAAAATGCATTCATTAATTGATCTCAATAATATTGCACTATATGGCAGACAAATATTAACCACACCGAAGTATGTTTAAGTGTTGAGCAAATGTAAGGCACATAAGCTCTACAAATCATAATCACATAATTCTGTTTGAATTTTTTACCATTTGTAAGTGCTGTGATTTAGGTCAGTGCATGTTAATCTGACATTTCGTCAATAAATCTCCATGATATTGAAATGTGCGTCAGAATAGGATATAAGAAAATGTGTGTTTATTTGACAACCGGTTGTAATGAAAGGAGATTGTGATAGTGTAATCCCTCCCATTCACTCCCATTTCACCAGGAGACCTACATCATAGTGGGTTGTCTGTGACAGGCTGCACAAATATATTATATAGTTGCCAGCGAGATACAAAAATCTTTGAGTGAAATAAATCGCCTTTATCAAATATTTGGACAGTCTTGCATGCAATGTTATCAGGCCCGTGAAGATCCGGGGTAGAACAGGTCTTCAGCAACCCATGCTTGCCGTAAAAGGTGACTATGCTTGTCGTAAAAGGCGACTAACGGGATCGGGTGGTCAGGCTCGCTGACTTGGTTGCTGCATGTCATCGATCACAAATGCATGGATTGATGCTCATGTTGTCAATCACTGGATTGTCTGGTCCAGACTCGATTATTTACAGACAGCTGGAATATTGCTGAGTGCGGCATTAAACAACAACAAATAAACCAACAAATAAACAATGTTACTCGTATTATAGGGTGGCATTCAAACTATTTTTGAATGTGGATACAGAATTAAAGAATATTCATACATTCCACTATATACCATAACTGGATCCCTTACATGAGAAAAGTTAAATATTTTTGCATTCAGTCGATGATATACACATGGTATTTGATAACACAGTATGACTCTGGTGTATACGTTTGAAGGGTAGGAATATATTGAAGTATATTTCCCTCCTGTGTAGAAGTCATTGACACTGGTGAAAAGGAGCTCACAATATGCACTGGGTGGAGATGTATTGATTAGAACTCTCGTGAGATGAGATAAGGTTTAAGCAAATGTCATGTGCTGATGGTTGATACCTGGTGGAAGCATTGCCAGCATTTACTTGTGTGAAGACATAAGTCACACATAGAAAAAAGTATTTTGAAAATGATTTTTAACAATAGCAATAGACTGAAGAACACAGGAAGAGACAAAACACACTCTTTGTAGGCAGTCTTAACACATTTCACTTGTAAACTCACTGAATAATACCACACATTTTGTATTTCTGTCTCAGTTGTAGAAATTTTTAGCGATCTTGTTCAATGTTCAAAACAAGTTCAATATATACATGATTGTTTTATTTAAGTACTCGACAGCCTGCATCATGCTATCAATCACTGGTTTGCCTGCCCCATGCACAGATATTTAGAGGCCACGATGATATAGTTGGAATATTACTGGCAAGCATAAACTGTCAATCACTGGTTTGCCTGCCCCATGCACAGATATTTAGAGACCACCATGGTATAACTGGAATATTACTGACTAGCATAAACTGTCAATCACTGGTTTGCCTGTCCCATGCCCAGATATTTAGAGGCCACCACCATATAACTGGAATATTACTGACTAGCATAAACTGTCAATCACTGGTTTGCCTGCCCCATGCATAGATATTTAGAGACCACCATGATATAACTGGAATATTACAGACAAGCATAAACTGTCAATCACTGCTTTGCCTGCCCCATACACAGATATTTAGAGGCCACCATGATATAACTGGAATATTACTGGCAAGCATAAACTATCAATCACTGGTTTGCCTGCCCCATACACAGATATTTGGAGACCACCATGATATAACTGGATTATTACTGGCAAGCATAAACTATCAATCACTGGTTTGCCTGCCCCATACACAGATATTTAGAGGCCACCATGATATAACTGGAATATTACTGACAAGCATAAACTGTCAATCACTGTTTTGCCTGCCCCATGCACAGATATTTAGAGGCCACCACCATATAACTGGAATATTACTGACTAGCATAAACTGTCAATCACTGGTTTGCCTGCCACATACACAGATATTTGGAGACCACCATGATATAACTGGAATATTACTGACAAGCATAAACTATCAATCACTGGTTTGCCTGCCACATACACAGATATTTAGATAAACCATGATATAACTCAAAGATTACTAACCATAGCATTAAACTCATTCACTCACTCATTTACATGCTAATGATCTTGCTGTTTGAGATGTAGAGGGAAATATTGTTTTGTATCATCATTTACCAAATTTGTCATCAGTTGGGTTTTTTCAAATTGCATTAAATAATTATTATTAAACAAATATTATTATGGTAAGGTGTGGGTTAATTGGGTGACTGGAAATTGACACCATTCAATATTCATGTGTTACTCATTGTATAAAACTACATACTACATGATATGTCAATCTCTGACATGGCACCAAGCCCTGGGGAGTATTTCTGGAATACTACATAAGTATACAAGGAAGAGCCATTGTAGGCCTAAATATTTAATCTTTGACTTATCAAACATAGTGCTCATTTGTCTCAATTTCACATATTTCTGTGTATTCATAGCAAGATCTCAGACCAAGAAAGAGGGACACACGCATGAATACATAATGTGCGGATGTTATCTGGGAGTGAGGTATTTTGTGTCCATGAATAAGACAGCTTAGTCCAGCAATATGAGTAAGTTCATCAGTAGAGGACATATCTGTATAATCAGGGTCGGCTCCCTGACCCATGTAATCTCTATGGTGGCAGGCCATGTCAAGCCGAAGCAATCAACTTTGAGCCAGTGATTCGTCCTTAAAATAAATTCCTGTATGCTGCAAAGAATATACTGAAACAATTAGAACGCATAATCAACTTAATATCAGAAATATGTGGTTTTGTGCTCAAGTACATCTCCAAATACATCAAATGAGTGAGTGAGTATTGTTTTATGTCGCTTTTAACAAATTCCAGTAATATCACGAAACCAGAAATGGGCTTCACACATTGTACCCAGGGGAATTGAACCCAGGTCTTTGGCGTGAAGAGCGAACGCTTTAACCACTAGGCTGCCCGACCGCCCCTAAATACAGCAAATGAGATTCAAACCTGGACAGTGACATTAATGTGTGTGATTATCTCATGCCTAAATACCCAGAACAACTTAAGCTGAGGGTTGTGACCGTTTTCCCAAATAATACAAAGAATTGAATATGCGTTATAAAGTGTTTTGGTATAGTAAAGACTATTCACGTACATGTATAGGAATAACAAGATTTCAAGCATGTTTCTAGCCTTCATTTGATTTTTTTACTGGTTATTAAAGATTTATGTCTTATGTATGGATCACTATAAAGTATAAAGAACATGTGGGAATATACAATACCTATTGATTTAGATTGGAGGTTTCATGGCACATTTAAGATACACTGGAGTGAGTGTTGTCAGGCAACTAAAACTTACTTTTTTATGCAAATTGTGTGCATGGCAGGTGCTACATGTAGGGTAATACCTGCGTACTCTTTTCTCAAACACCTGGTGTCAGCCCTGATTTTCTATGATCCATTCATCCATAATTTTCACTCCTAATTTTCCCGCCCAATGGTGTCTTTTTAAGAAGATAATCGAGACTGGTTATTCTCTGGCTTTGACTTTTAATGTTTATACTAGTCAGCAATATAACAGTTATATCACGGCAGCCTTTCAGTAATTCAGTCTGTGTTGGTCAAACCAGTGCTTGATTAGCATTAGGTACAATTTACTCTCTTGGGATAAAATTATATTCAATCAGACAGGACCCATAGTAGCCACCCAATCCTCAATGTCTTACAACAACAATTGGTTGTAGGGGACCTATTTTGCTCCCAAATCCCAGAGATAGAAGATACACAGATAACCTGGTTCAGTAACAGATAAATAACTCTAACATATTATAATATATATGATTAAATTAGGTAACATGGTTTGAACATGCTGATACAACTTTATAAAGAAACACATTAACTATTTCAAAATGTTGCAGTGCCTTCTTTGTAATGCCTGTTATCAACTCTCTATTAGACCTAATTTGAAACTCTTGAAGTATGACAATGTACCATTAACCATAACAGTGTTGCACATGAATTGTTTGTGTCACTCTTGACTAGCAGCCTGGAACCAGTATGCTCATGGACCTGAGAATCTTGTACTCAACATATTGTCAACTGAGGACAATCAAATTACTTATTTATTACTTATATTATTTACTTATTTATTACTTAATTATTATAATGAAATCCATTCAGTGTTTTGTGATTCTTTTACTGTTGTTAAGATGTCAATTATCTTTAAGGACCCTCAGCTGAATTCTTATATTGTACACATAATAGTACATTGTTCCATAAGTTTCATTTATCGAGTGTTATAACTGATATATATATATACCTGATGTTTTCATGCACTATATGTCAATGAGCTTGCATAACTTTGCCAACGTCTTTTGGTATTTTACTGTTAAATGTTATTATATACAGATTTTGGTATTTTTTTAATTAGGAATGGCATCTTTCATCGAGATGTAAAACCAGAAAATATACTGATAAAGGTGAGTATTATTATGCCTTTCACTTTTGGTGTAGTTTGTATGAAATGTTTTTTCAGTATTGTCATCCAAACTGATCTCACTGCTAATTCTGTGGTAAATCTGTGTTTGGGAATTACTATCATCTCCATACTTGATCATTGATTGTTTCTTGAAGGTCGATTTTCTGAAGGTTACAGACATCAGCTTATTTTCCTCACCTGTCACAGTGAAACCAATCTTATCAAAAAGAGATCTTAGTTCTCACTTCCGCCAAACAAAGATCTGAAGACATCCCATTATGGGTCACTTAAGAACGACCTTTCATCCGACCAATCAGAGTGTCGCTTTCCAGATGAGGAAAGTGACAATCGGAATATGTTTTCTAATCTCGAAAAATTTAACACGGGGTATTCCCGAACAACAGTTACAGGCGTTATGACTGAATCCATACAATCTAGGCCATCTATTGCAAATCCAGAATGTTCTTTTGTTCAGTTTTCCCATTTTTAATCAAGAATTTGTCAAAATATGTTTCAAAGTGTAGTCGCCAGTTTGAAACTAGTTCCGTAAAGCACGAGAAAGCTGCCTCCTGATCGGCTAATGTCGTCTTCTCGTCAGTCATTCCATTGATCGGTGAAAGTTTGAAACAGGCCATTCTGATGCGAATTGGATATCCTCAGATGTTTGTAAGCGGTTTTAATGAGATTGAGAAGTTGGTTAATTTACTCCAGTTTTTGACATGATGTGATGTCCACAACGAAAGTTTCCACCATGACACGATTCTTTCTATGTGAGGCTTAGAACTTATCACTCAACCTTCGTACCAAAGAACCTTATTGTAGGAATCCCCACCTACTTGCGCTGGATTCATTAGAAGTCCTCTCAATTGTAAATGTGACATAGTTAATAATTCATAGTAAACCATAGTAGTTATTCGATCATCCAGTACTGTATATCGCCGTCTTTAAAGCGACCCCGCCTTTAAAGCCTACAAAATCGATGACATTTTTATACCCTGTCTATAAGTCGAATTGGAATGAAGCGCATCACCGAAATGAATGTAAACAATATTGAATGAAATTATGAATAATATTCATAAAATACATTACAAACATAAGTCCAGATATAGAATGAACACTTTCTATAACCAGACAGTGTAAGTACATGATTAATTTGTGTACTTCAGTACGGATTTGTTGGGGGGAAAAAGCATCAACACTTGTCAACCCTGTGTATAAGGCGACCCCCCTTGAAAGCCCTGTAATTTTAGGTATGATAAACTCTCCTTAAACACAGCAATATATGGTACATTGGTCATCCTTGACAGGCTTGGCTTACATACTGGACTGCAGGACCTACAGGACCTTGTTTTAGCCCCTTAATGCCAAGCGCCCGGCAGGGAAACATGTCGTGATATGATTGAAATACTGTTCAAATTGGCATTATACCTTATTGACTCATTCGCTGTTGCTGAGAAAGTGTTCCAGAAGGAGCAATGTAGCTGCCATAACAACAGGTGGTAAATGTTCTGTTGTGTTTAGGTTACAAACCTTAGCATCTTTTGCTGTTCATTATTTGCTGTTATTCGTATCACTTGATCTTGTTTGTTGTTTCAGGAGGATATGCTGAAACTAGCTGATTTTGGGTCCTGTAGAAGCATGTATTCTAAACAGCCTTATACAGAGTACATCTCCACAAGATGGTAAGGTGTCAACTTCATCTCCCTGGGTTAGAATAGGTCCCCAGGACCATTCACAAAGTGGTTGTGCTGCTACCTAGAAACTTAACCTGAGGCGTTTTCTAGCATGAATAGACCCACTAAAGAGCCTGAAATTTAACTTGCCCTTAGGATACCTTTAACATTAGACCAAATGATAGGCTTGTGGGCGAGTGCCAGGTTTCATGCCTGGCCCAAACTATCCTGTACTTGACACTCACAGAGCTAGACCCGCACTTTGACATTGCAGCAGCCAGGACACTACAGTCACTTTGTGAAGGGGGCCACGGGTGGCCCAGTCGTCTAAGGCGCCGCGATTCGCTGTGCAGAGTTGTGTCCCTTGGGCACACCAGAAACCTATGATTGTGGGTTCCACCCGATTATGTTTCTAGGTTTGTCAGCACCATACCCGTGCTCGTGGGTTTCACCGAAGTGGTAAACATCTGAGACCTGCATCACTTCGGACTTTCCTCCCACATTAAGCTGACACGCCGCGATATAACTGGAATACTGTTAAAAGCGGCGTTAAACCCAACTCACTCACTCGCTCACTCACTTTGTGAAGCAGGGCCCAGCAGTCTGTTGCTTGTTGGAAGTGAACACTAAATTGGATCAGGTGGTCAGGCTAGGTGACTTGGTTGATGGTTGACTGCTTTGATGTTGCTTATAATATCAACCACTGGTTTGCCTGTCCTAGACTAGATTGCCATAATATAGCTGGAACATTGCTGACTGAGGCTTTAAACAACAAACTGACCTCCCAGGAGATCATGGTCTAGCTTGGCTTCCATATGCGCATTCCTCATTCAGATGTTTGGGTTCAGATTGGTTTGAATCCTTATATGGGTTTCTAGCTATGGATATGACTGGAATATTGTTTATAGCAACTTAAACCTCTCACTTACCAATAAACCGTAACCACTTAATCTAAGGAAGAGAATAAATTAGTCATCTTGTAACACCCCTTCATGTAATATACGAATAATTGAACAGTAAGTAATTTCATTGTCACACAGTAGGGCTCCCTTTTATCAAAGCTTCCCAAATATTGGAATCAATTAACCATGATTTCTTTGTATTCTCACGGTGGGGTGTCCATTAAACCCTAGTTCATGTCTTGGTGTAGATAATCAATATGTAATTGAGTTGCTGAGGTAATAAGTGTGTGATAGACATCTGGTCAGGTGACGAGAGGAAATGAGGGCCTGTGTTGAGAATGTACTCATCCTTGTCTATCCAGATAAGCTTGGATGTTGAGGCTTTTGATTAAGCTCTTCTGGAGTACTGGAATTTGGGGGTTTACACCTAAGTAAGTGTCCAATATTTGGACTGGAACGTGACATATATTTTGAGTGGTGGGCTAGTATAATTTTTTTTTCATATTTGGTGACTGATGTTATGATAAAAAGTCTATTTATAATGTGTCAGATTCCATTTACCAATTGAATGCTCGTGGCGCACATTATTATGATCCAAGTCTTTGGATCGACACTCAAATTTCATTCACAGTTCCCTGGGGAGTATACGAACCAAGCTTCTCTATGATGGTGCTTGAAGGTTTACTGTCACATTACAACCTCATTCTACTGGGTACCCATTCACTCCTGGGTGAACAGAGGCATATAACTCCTTCGAATACCCTACCTCTAATAGATTCCGGGGTAGAATAGGTCTTCAGCAACCCATGCTTGCCGTAAAAGGTGACTATGCTTGTCGTGAAAGGCAACTAACGGGATCGGGTGGTCAGGCTCGCTGACTTGGTTGATGCATGTCATCGATCCCAATTGCGTGGATCAATGCTCATGATAGTAATCACTGGATTGTCTGGTCCAGATTATATTATTTACAGACCGCCGTCATATAGCTGGAATATTGCTGAGTGCGGCATTAAACAACAAAAGAACCAACCAACCATCCTACCTCTAATACACTGTAGCCATAATCCCATATTTTGGCTGTCATCGACACAATGAAATCCTTTAGATTTTCAACAGATGTCCTCTTCACTGTCAGCTATTCACAATTAGTCTCTAGGAAAATCTTATCCCACTCCTAAGGATATACCACATGCAACCTGTGTTTCTCAGGAGTCAAGCTGGAACCACTAGGCTCCCCCCATTGTTCCCCAATTAGGAGATTGGTCTTTTGTGGTCATTCAGTATATTCCAATTGGGGTCGTCGGCTAGCCTAGTGGTTTAAGCGTTCTCTTCTCACACCAAAGACCCAGGTTCAATTCCCTACATGGATACAATGTGTGGAGCCAATTCCTGGTGTCCCCTGCCCTGATATTGCTGGAATATTGCTAATAGTGTTGTAAAACCATACTCACTCACTCAGTCTGACAGTCATTTACTCGCCCGACTTTCCCGAGTTCTCCTGAGCACACCACCATCTGTTTGTTCCCTGCAGGTACCGTGCCCCGGAGTGTCTGCTGACTGACGGCTATTACACATACAAGATGGACATGTGGAGTGTGGGATGCGTCTTTTTCGAGATTCTCAGGTAATTCTCCAACCTGTCCAACCAACCACCACCTAACCAAACTCACGGAAGTGTGTCTTTTGGCAGTTCAAGTTCCCTGGCCCCAAACCACAGTGTCAACAACTTGTCAACCTCAACAAATTAGGGCTGTCATGAGTACAGATTTACTACCTGGGTACCCACCATGCTATTACCCGTATTACCCGACCCTACCCAGATACCTGCTATAGGTCTCTAGAGTTGGGTATAAAATGTCCGATTGGGAATAGTTTGACCATAGCCCTGGTAAAATGTATTTAGATACACGTATAAAACGATGTGGTCATGCATACACTGAAGTTGCCTGGAGTTTGATCTTTATTTAAACCTATGAAGGTTAGAAGGAATGGGTGCATAGTCGGAAAGAAATGCGAACATAAGTGACTTGTAGTGTTACCATAGAGTTTTAGATATTGTTTGTCATTAGACAATATATCATGTGACTAACCACGGGTCTGAGTACCTGAGTAACCTGTCCCAGCCTTACAACAATTATGTGTCAAGCTGCATGGTAAACGTGGAAAATGGATGCATTAGTTTAATACCCACGCTAAGAACAGACTATACCAGAAAACATCAGCAGAACACTGAGAGCTCCTTTCATTTCTGTCAGGACTACATTTTGTTATTTGTGACTTTCTTGCATCCAGAGTTGATGGTTTAAATGTTTTCAACTTCAAACCGTTTTATGAACAATATGTATAACATAACTCTTCTACTGCTCTAGGGAAGGTCGGGTAGCCTAGTGGTTAAAGCGTTCTCTCATCATGCCGAAGACACAGGATTGATTCCAGACATGGGTACAATGTGTGAAGCCCATTTCTGGTGTCCCCCGCCGTGATATTGATGGAATATTGCTAAAAGCGGCATAAAACCATACTCACTCTACAGCTCTATGTATTGTGTTATCATATCAACATGAATTATATCACTGAACCCATAATGGTGGAACGTGGTTATTTTACAGTCTTCATCCGCTGTTTCCTGGCTCCAATGAAGTCGACCAGATTGCAAAGATTCATGACATTATGGGTACACCAGAAAATGCAGTGCTGAAGAAGATGAAGAAGTAGGTGCCCTTCATGTGCACATATGCTTATCCATGTAACATACCGTATTTGACGTACTAAGTGCCCAGGGCACTCTCAAAATTAGAAATAGGGGGTTCTTATTAGAATATAATTTTGGTGAGAAAAAAAAACAGAGTTGAAAGATTGTAAATTTTGTGGTTTATGCTGACAGTCTGAAATGATATATGCATATTATACACGATAGATATATTATTCAAGAATTTAATTGCCCCTAATTAAGGGTGCATATAACACATGAGTGTGTATTATACATGAATAAATAAGTCTTGTGTACATTGATCGATCGGAAAGGGTGCTAATTGGGATTGTTCACTAGCCAATATATTAGCAAATATTGCTGTGGGTGCTTATTAGAGTGGGGCGCTTAATACGTCGAATACGGTATATGTAAATTAACTTTGTTGAGCCTAATGTTTCTATTTTTCTGTCAGAGTGAATAGAGGCCTAGTTACCTTTTGTGAAAATACAATTATGAATTGCTTCATTATCAACTAAACAAACATTTAATCACGATTTTATTTATTATTTATTTAGTCAATTTGGTAATTGATGTGCATGAAGGCGACCATCTTCCCACATTAAAGTATAATGAAGGTGGATCTGAATTCACAGCTGATGATGACAAGCTACTGTATCTGTAGGTATCGATTGTCAGTACTTTGAAAACAAAGTCTGTTATGGATTTGTGTGAAAAAATGTACTAATGAGTATTGATAAATTTTGTTTTCTCGCAGTCGCTCAAGAGGAGCTAGGTACCTCTGTGATAAACCATTGCGTCTTTGTATTGTGTTTCTTCTCTCAGATGTTGTCACTGTTGCTGTATCTGCATTGCAAATTGCTCAAGCAAACAGACAGATATTCTATGTCTGGGCGTAGTGGAAGTGTACATGGTGTATGAGCTGAGATAACTTGTTCAGGTTACTTGGCCAGTCTTATTGCTTTAATCACGGATAGCTTCTGGTTGGACACTGCAGTTGGAGGATGCAAAAATATATTAAAATAGTGGCAGCAATTATCAAATTAATTATTTATGTTTTATTTAATAGACTTGAGTGCTAAAACTATTCCTTAAGATGTCAGCATCATATCCTTATATGTTTGGTCATATATTTTCAAAAGTAAGGCAGAAGGATCTGTGATTCAAGGAATAAAAAAATGTTCACCTGAATGGAACATTTGCATTAATAACTTACAGACCTTCTAAAATATTACCAATCTCAGACTGCAAATGGGCTAGCGACTTTCATTTAGTAAATAGGTCACCTGAAAATTATGTGATAGATTTAAAGGTTACAAATTTCCTGTGTGTATACCCATAATATTGCTATCTGGCCAATTACATCAACTAAAAGGAAACATTGCTTTGTTGTTGACTGATTTAGCTAATGCCTCTAAGTATTCCAAGCATATTTTCATTTAGCCACATCTGGGGAAGTTGTCCCTTCTTGTTTCTCTTCCCTTTCTTAATCTTGAACATTTTCATTAATATGAGTCGTCTAAGGCGCCGCGATTCGCTGTGCAGAGTTACGTCCCTGGGGCACGCCAGAAATCTATGATTGCGGGTTCGAATCCTGGTTCACCCCGATTATGTTTCTAGGTTTGTCAGCACCATACCCGTGCTCGTGGGTTTCACCGAAGTGGTAAACGTCTTAGACCTGCATCACTTCGGGCTTTCCTCCCACATTAAGCTGACACGTCGTGATATAACTGGAATAATGTTAAAAGCGGCGTTAAATCCAACTCACTCACTCACTCATTAATATGTACACACAGCGGCAACTTCCAACACACAGGGAACTGAGGCAGTCTGGTATGAGTGCATATTAACTGTCTGCTCTTATCTTGTTGGCTACTAATGTTAGCCGGACACACATGATATTGTTACATACAGTCAAGTCTTGTTAATCCAACAATCGGCTTTATCTGACACTAATGATGGGAACCAATTACATCAGTGCTATTTAGACCCGTTAATCCGACAGTCTTGCACTCCAACTCCGACACAACTAATTTGCAACAAATTACCAAATTCACGCATTAATCAGTCTCGTTAATCCAGTCATCTGCCCGCGAGTACACAGCCCGTGTTTTGATGTGAGACGAGTCGTCTGGTAGCTGCATATAACAACCGCTGCAGAGATAAACTTGCTTAACAATAAACAATTAATGAACAATTAGTGTTTGTCTTGTTATCTGTCGTGTAGTTGTCCTATTTTTGATCACGAACGTTAATACTACTTAATTTCGCTTATCAGACATACTCTTTAATCCAACATAATCATATGCAACCAATCATGTCGGATTACAGGACTTGACTGTACATGTCCATCATTTTGTATATTACCTGAAGCAACATGGCAATGCTGAAATAACTATACTTCATTTATATCTCGATACATAAAGAATGAACGAGATGTGTGTCACACGTCACAACTTCCTGTATCACGTCCTTGACCTCTGCTTGTTCCAAGCCCATGTGAGTGACATGATGTAAATGAGGTGATAATGTCAGTTTGGATTGGCCCTCGACTAATTTTATTGACTACCTGATATATTTAGGAATAATTAACACATAACAGCAAAAATAACAAAACAAATGTTTTTGAAAATGGAGCCCAGGGTTGATTCTGGGTCAGAATACCTTCTGCCCCTGTCACGGGATGTATATATGGGCTGCTATCATCATTATTATTGCATGGAATGTATTTCAAAATCGTTACAGCTATGTCACAATAGCACACATACGACTACATCATATCCACCAACTTCTCATTTTCTGTGACATTCTTGTCTAGTGGTTTGCTTGTTACACAGTTCACAGTTGCTACACAAGGGTACAATACGTGATAGAGGTGTCTCTAGTCATTGCTGGCGAGTACTGGCAACACTTCTGACTTCTCACTCCCTCTCGACTCTAGTGTGCTAAATGACATAAAGTGTGTATGGCCTTTGAGCTCAAAGCTTATATTTAAAAAAATTACCTTAGCTTTGCTTTCTATTGTACCTGTCTCTTCTGTGGTTGTCTGATCCACATCCAGGCTTGTAGTATGTTCTGTTCTTGCCTAGATGTATAAATTCAGTTGGCCTCTTTCATGCTAGATGCTGAATGAAACTGCATGTGAACAGGACTTATGCTATAACAAGAGTCATGCCATTGTTAACTTATGCATGTGTTTGTGAATTACTTATAGAAGCATAGAGGTCCAAGTGTTTGCTAATCGCACTCAATATCACCTAGGTTTAAATCCATATGTGGATACAATATGTGAAGGCCATATAGGTATTTTAGCTGCCATGACATTGCTGCAATATTGCTGAACATGGCATAGTTATTGCATGTCAATGTGCATTCATGTACTGACCACCAAACGTATAATTCACCACGGAAAATGTTTTGTGATGCATACGTGTATGAAAAGTGTTAGAACACATGTATTTTTTAGTTTATTTTCTATGAGTTTTTACTTTACATTTTCCAATTTTCTGATGATGGAATCAGTATTTAAGTCCCCCCCCCAAAAAATGGCTTTTACCAACACCTCTGTGGTGATTCTTTGGTCCAAACAAAAGCTGACTAAATTCATGATCAATCGATCACATATGACCATGCTCAGTGTGTGTCGTCGTACCCTGATGGCATAGATTGATGATCATGCATCAAATCACTTGTTTGCCTGGCCTAGGTTGCTCATCCTTCTAAATTATCTCGTGCATTGTATTTCCATTCTATTTTGATAAATACCCTGGTCCGTTTGACACCATAGCTTTGTTTTGGAAGAGATGGCTTCACCTCCATTTCTCCCATGTTGCTAATGAGAATTATTACAGGGGACAGCTTTCCTTAAGATTGTATTATTGAAACTGGCTCAAAACAAAGCTATGGTAGCAAATATGTCAAGGGTAATAATCATAACAAAATGGAGATATAACACCCTGGATAATCGGGGATGCATCAACATACACTCAATCAGTTTAAGACAGTATTGACCGCCTCCGTGGTCTAGTGGTAGAGCGTCAGCCCAGAGAGCGGAAGGTCCGGGGTTCAATCCCTGGCTGCGTCATACCAACAGACGTTTAAATATGGTACTTGTTGTTACCCTGTCTGGCGCTCGGCACTTAAGGGCAAAAACAAGGACTGGTCAGCTCGGAGTCAGTAAACTGTGTCTGAGATTGGTATTCATGTTAAACTGCGGCATGGTATGTCAGTGTGCTAGCACTATAAATCGGCATCAGTCCGGACTAGTACAAGCAGCCACACACACACATGCATGCACGTCCCTATATAAGTGCAATAATCTTGGACGCGACGTTAAACCCAATTTCACCTCACCTCACCTAAGACAGTATCAGATATGGTGTTCCCACTGTGACATATAATATGTATTTTCAGATCTCGCGGCATCAGCTTTAACTTCCCCCAGAAGCAGGGTACGGGTGTCGAGCGACTCCTGCCCCATGTATCCCAGGAGGCAGTAGCACTCATCAACATGATGTGTACATACGACCCTGAAGAAAGGGTCACGGCACATCGGGCCATCAAACATGGTTATTTCAAAGAACTGAGGTATGTTTCACTTATGTTTTGACATCCAAGCTGATGTCAGGATTTATACTACATTTTTTTTTTTTTAAACTTCTTTTTTTCCCCTTTTTTATCATTTCATGATACAGTCTTCCACTTACATACATCCTACCTGAAACATGAGAGTACTGTCAATTTTGACTTCCCAACTTAATCAGTATTGTGCATTCTCCAAGTTCTGTAAAGCTGTATATATCTTGTATCTCGATCCCTGCTGGAGATTCAATGAAAGTGTCTTGCACTACAATGAGCCGTTTCTCATACAATGTGGCTTTTAATTTTCTTGGCACAGTGACATCTAATTATGTTCATGATGACAGATCCTTTTTGTATTTGTTCTTATGAATATACTTTTAGACAAATGCTGTCTCGGGAGCACCACAAAGTAACACTGTGTAGGGTCATTGTTGTAAATAAATCCAATAAATATTTTATTTATATTGTAGGGAGGCAGACAGACGAGCTGCAGCTCTTGCCCAACCCCGCCGTAGAGATGAGGGAAAGAAATCTGAGCTCCATGAACGCCCTGTTCGGGACCGTGACCGGGACCGAGACCGAGAACGAGACAGAGACAGAGACAGAGAACGAAACCATGAGCCGGTTGAAACCATAGGCGATAAAAAGAAGGAACCAGTCGTACAAGACGAGCGACCTTCTGAAGTTGTGATGTACCCTATACGAGCAACCAAAGCACAGTCCAATCCAGCCAAGGGGCGGGTAGGTGGCACCAAGTCATATCGTGAGCCGCAGGCCCCCAGGGTGGAGGTACCCCAAGAGAGTACCTCTGACAGTGAGACTAGTATATGGGCTGCCTTTAGGCATAAGAAGAAGGTATGTGGGGCAGTGGGTGGGTGGGTGGATGCAGCTGTAGCTGGTGCTTGTCGTGCACTCTTGGTTTGGTTTTTGTTTTCTTGTTGAGGTGAGTGTGTTAATGCCACATGAATTAGCATGGACTGCTTCTGAAGTTTACCAAATGGATTTTTGATAAAGGTCTTTGTGTTATTTTCATAGTTTAATTCCCGAATGAATGGTTATATACACGCCTGTAGTTTGCATGTCATCTTGCAGAAGTTCTGCAACATTTATTCAATAGGATTGTTGTTAAAATTGTTGAACAGAGATAAATGTACATTTTATATATTTGAGATCACATATTTGATCCTAAAGGCTGAGTGTATGGAGGACTCAAAACTATATTAAGTGGAAACCATAGCCCTGTCCTGTCATTCCCCCACATCATTTGTAGGCTAAGAAAGTCTTGCTTGTCAGGCAGTGATGCAGTCTCATTACGACCAGATCCTTTACTCGGATATGATACGAATCTACAGGAATATCTGAGGATGCCAAACAAATTCTCGAGTGAACAAAGCATTCAGACAAGCATGTCTGATTCCTATATTGGGGCGGTCGGGTAGCCTAGTGGTTAAGGCGTTCACTCATCACACTGAGGACCTGGGTTAGATTCCTGACATGGGTTGTACCCTTGCTAACACTGCCTGAGAAGCAATTGTTTTGAAGCCAAATCCCGACTGGTACTGAGATGTGTCGGCTCCTCTGCATGGGAGTACTTGTGTGCTGGTGGTGAAGGGTGCTTGGTACATTATACTTGAAACTCACACCGCTTTAAGCACTTGAGGGAAACAACATACAACTAACCTCTCCCTTTTTACCTTTGTGTGTAGTTTGTTCCCATTTGAGACAGACTGTTTTCAATTTTTGGTTTACAGATTTATTATTTTGAATTTCCTAGTCTGTAGGTCAGTAAAGGAGACATTCCAGATAATTTGGGGTGTTCTTTAAAAACATCTAAATATGTTGCCATGGGTGCAGTCTTAGTTGAACTTAACTCCTCAGACATTCCAAATAATCTTTTGGTTCTTTAAAAAGTATTCCTAATACTGTATTCGACCCAATAAGCGCCCCCCCCCGGTTCCGGAAATTTATATAGTAATTATTTTGTTTTAAATGAAAATCATCCAGGAACTGAGGTTTCCGGATATTTGAAGTCCGTACGCCAATTTGACACTGAATTGGTCCCAATAAGCACCCACCCTTTCTGTCTTTATTTTAAGCGCCCTGGGGGCTTATTGGGTCAAATACGGTATGTTGGCATGGGTTAGCACAATGTTAGTTGAGATTGTCTCCTCATTATGCCTATTGTCATAACCTATTGTCTTGCAGTTTAACCTGTTCCATGCACAATTACTTTGTGATGAACACACATGTTTCCATCTAACAGATAACAAAAAATGTCCTTTTTTCAGATTTATTTGTCCACTTTTAATTTTTGGTTGACCCGCCTGAAAGTCAAGTTGATACTTACTCATAATATGATGTCACATGCATATACAGAAATTACGTCTTCTTGAATCTAATGAAAATGGGGTACCATGATGTCAATTCTTTCTTCACTATAATTGTCTGTAATAATACCCCTTGTCCTAATACTATATGTCCATATGGGGATCATATGTGTTTGGTGATGCATTGATGTTTGTCTGACACATTCCATTCCCAATGATGGCTTAATGGCATCTAAATAAAATACTATAAAAATCAACCTTATTTTCCTGTTTTCAGCGACAGCGGCACCACAATCTCCGGCGCTATGCAGAAAGCCAGCAATATCCAAACCACACAGGGCTGCTGCCTCGAGTGACAATGCATCACCCCACATACAACCCCACATACCACAGCACTTCCATGCCAGCATACCATCCCAAGCACTTTGAGGGTCCATCTGGGGGGTTACCAGCCATCAATAATGTTAACACTTTTAAACCACACAAGGTGAGGAAATTTGTTTTAGAAGTATGAGGATATTATTTGTTACAAAGGAGAACATATCAGCAGTGTACTAAATAATTGTGAGTAGGCATAATGTGATACAATGTTGTACTTAGTTATAACTGGTCATCATTAACGGATTGGCTTGGTTAATATGATGCTGCTTTTAATTAAGATAATCAATAAATGGATTATGCACCCAGTGGAGTCTTTTTGGGCAGATGATCAAGACTGATTATTTTATGGCATTGACATGTTATATATAATGTCTTGTCTTCGTTGCTTCAAAAGAAAGGACCGCCTCTGTGGTCTAGTGGTAGAGCGTCAGCCCAGAGAGCGGAAGGTCCGGGGTTCGATCCCCGGCTGCGTCATACCAAAAGACGTTAAAATATGGTACTTGTTGTTACCCTGTCTGGCGCTCGGCACTTAAGGGCAAAAACAAGGACTGGTCAGCTCGGAGTCAGTATACTGTGTCTGAGATTGGTATTCATGTTAAACTGCGGCATGGTATGTCAGTGTGCTAGCACTATAAATCGGCATCAGTCTGGACTAGTACAAGCAGCCACACACACATAAATGTGCATGCACGTCGCTATATAAGTGCAATAATCTTGGACACGACGTTAAACCCCATTTCACCTCACCTTCAAAAGAAAAATCGTTTGAAAGGAAATATGACTCTACAGAGATCATATTAGACACAAGCAAAGTGTACCATGAACACAGTCTACATTCTCCTGGGCCAAGCGTCTGCAATGTTATTCTTTATGTTAGTGCTTTGTAATACCTGTTGGGATTAGAGGTAAGAATAAAGGTCCCCAGCAACCTGTGCTGGTCTTATTTGTGGGGATTCTAGATAGGAATACAGGTCCCTAGCAACCAACGCTGGCCTCCATGTGGGGATACCAGGTAAGAATAAAGGTCCCCAGCAACCAATGCTGGCCTCTGTTTGGGGATTCTAGGTAAGAATAAAGGTCCCCAGCAACCAATGCTGGTCTTTGTGTGGGGATTCTAGGTAAGAATAAAGGTCCCCAGCAACCGATGCTGGTGTCTGTGTGGGAATATTTACAGACCGCCATCCTACAGCTGGAATGTGGCTGAGTGTGGCATTAAACAACGGACACAGTTAATTATAATGAGGGATGTATTTGTTTCAGGCTCAGTCCAAGCCCATCAAGAATCTGTTCACATACACGCTACCTTCAGTTGACAGACAATAGGCTACATCCTATTCAAGGGGAGAGCACTCTCATACACTACAGCAACCCTGTCATGTGACCTGCAGTCAGGAGAACATGTGCACACCACCAAGCCTGCTGCTCTGGTTCAGTCTGGATGGAATTGGTGTGACAAGGAGTAACCCATAACAACCACACTGATGGAGATGAGTCAATTATTAAACTGCATATACAGTATATATGACTTCATAGAACTGTAGAAAAGTTGTGATATCACAGATGATGCCTCTGTTAAACTGTGATAAAAGCAGATAGCAAATTCTGTTTCACCTGGGACTTGTAGCAGATGCATTCTATGTCTTTATGCAAATGAGAACATAATGAAGATGGATCTTATTCGTTCACAAAAAAGCTCGATGTATACTTTGGTGTATTTCAGAACTCTTCTCTTTTGATTATTTGCTAATGACATTGTAGTGTTGCTCCTCATCTGGAGGTCACTTTGTTGTCTGGCTGCACCTTAGAACCTTACACAAATAGAAGAAGACGATGCAGGTCACCTTCACAGAATATTTGCCTCTACCAAACAAATATAGACAATTCTGTTTCAGTATTATGGTTGAACACAAAACTATTTTGTTCACTAGATGGAGTAAATTTGTCAGCTTGTGTCTGTGAGAATAGCTCGGAACTTCCATATCCTGTCATTGTGCTGAGACAGATTTCTGACTTGTTCTCATGAGGGTGGGAAGGGAATCTGGTAGATGTTGTCATGCAGGTGGTCCAATGTCTTAAAGGTAGCCTTCTGTCTATACTTCCATTACCCTCCCTTTATTACATCATAGCCAGTGTTCTTGATATTTGGTTAGGATCACCCTGCTGTGATGTTGCTGGAATATTGCTAAAAGTGATGTAAAACCATACTCACTCACTTGCTCGCTTGCTCACTCACTCGCTCACTCGCTTAATCACTCCCTCGCTCACTCACTCACTCACTCACTCTAAAGTAACATGTGACCTGTGTCACACTATGGTTACTTTCATCGATGTGGGGATCACATTAAAACCAGCCCATAGAAATGTGGACGATGTGAAGTACAGCTGCTATCTTGGCTGCTTGTTATATAAACACTTCTTGCAAGGACTTGTGGGTAGAAACACCCATTGATGCTAGGTGCATCTTCCCGAGGCAAGGGAGTATCTGACTTTATAAGACCAGTTTCCACCCTTTCCAAACTAGGCTGGAATTTCTTGGCTCGATCGTAGCACCACCAGTGGCTACATAGACTTATTAGTCCAGCCAAAATGTAACTCCATAATACCAGCCTAGTTCGGCAAGGGTGGAAACTGGAATTTTATGGTCAGTTAACTTTCTTGCCTCGGGAAGATGTGCTAGGTGAGGTGAAATGGGGTTTAACGTTCGTTGTATTTAAGATTACTTGACTTACATAGTTACGGGCATACATGTGTGTGTGTGTGTGTGTGGCTGTTTGTACTAGTTCAAATGTAATCTGGTTTTATAGTGCTAACCTACTGAAATACCATGGCACAGTTTAACATGGGTACGCCACTCAGAGAGAATTAAACTGAACTGGCCAGTCCTTTTTTTATGCATATAATCCCAAATGCTAGGCATGGTAACAAGAAGTACCATCTTTCCGAATCCTTGATAAGGTGCAGCCAGGGGAGCGAACCATCAACCTTCCACTCTGTAATGTAAGCCTTGTTTGGGGATTCCAGAGGACTTTGAATGAAGGAGAGAAGGCCACCTTTAAGCCTGTTGCTGGTCTGCCCTGCCTTGATATTACTACTCCAAGACTCTCCTTCTTTGCTTTTCATAGGTCAGGATGTTGTGTTGGTAGTATGGTCCTGTAAGTCGGTGAACTATCCATGCTTTGCATCAGCTGCCATTAGCTCTCTGTAGTATGGTCCTGTAAATCGGTGAACTATCCTTGCTTTGCATCAGCTGCCATTAGCTCTGTGTAGATGGAATGGAAACTATGCTTGTAAAAGTTTGAACTTGTCTGAATCAGACAACAAGGTTATTTCTGGCTAGTTGTATTTTTATAACCAATAGTTGCTCATATTTGATGAACTGACTAAGACTTCAACCCGACATTAGCTAACTGGACACATGGACATTAATACAGGTTCCCTAAATCTGACTAAAACTTTACTCTGAATGTACCTAGGAATCAGACCAGAGAGCTGGTCCCATCAGTTCTAAGTCTACAAAGAGTGAGTCACTACAGTGATAAGGCAGGCTTTTAATTACTTGGTTTATGGACCTACCAACCCAAACTAAATAAATGTGGAATAAGATATAATACTTGTAAAGTACTACTTTTCTTACTCTCATGTTTGCTAACTTCAAATTTAGACCGAAGGGGAAGGGAAGTAATCCTATGATTTATCATTACCAAAGTATATATTCTTTATATTTTTATCTATATTTCCCCTGTCTGACAAAACTTTTAAAGGATTTCTTCATGTTTTAGATTATTTCTTTTCATTTCAACCACCGACCCTAAGGTTTTACAATAAAATCCATAAGCCAAGTATATGAATGAAGCCTCGAATTAGTCTTAGTCTCTGTTAGGTAGTGGAAGTTCAAGTATTTTGAAGTCTGTACTAGTTACCACTTTCTAGATGCAGTAGAATATACATGTATCTGATGCAGGCCAGACTGTGATATATATACATTTGGTGCTCATCCACCCGTTCTGTTGTATATTGATGTAAATTAAGGGAGATAACTCTTTTATACTATGTTATTGCATAGTGCCAAGCCGTCCAATATGTGACATATTGATAACTCGGTCCAATAACAAATTTATGTCCGTGTGTTATAGAGCTATAACCATATCACTTGTCTGGTTATTCTTTAATTTGTGTTTTGTTGAATCTATCTTACCTCAGATATTCTTGTTAACACAGTCCTTGTGTTGTTTCCTGTGTGTGCCTTATACTTTATGCATATCATAAATACAATGTTGTCAGAATGTTTCAGAAACTAGACACAAAAAGTAAACCATGTTTTCATTTTACTGTAGCTATGGTTCAAAATATTTTGACTTTAAACAATGTTGATCCCAATATGCAAATTCAAGTTTCATTACTGATCTCTGTGTTTTTGTATGCAAGCAAATAGTCAATCTTTGTTTGACCTCTTTTTGCATGAAGATTTGGTGACACCGCCATAGCAGACGTCAATCAGCATGAATGAGCAGCAAAGCAGACCAGCACATCTCATTTCTGTATTTAAGAAATTATAGATAATTATGTGCCATATTGTGGATATTTTATACAGTGTCGCATGCCATTGCATCTACACCATAAAGGGATATAGCATCAAAGGAATGGGTGTGGTAAAGAAATGACACTAAATCGTTTTAGAAAGCTGCCATCTGATTGGCTCAAGAACCCACACATCCTTCCATTAGATTGGTTGGCTCATTGTTCACATGATGTGACCGCCTTTGGAGATGTCGTTATTTTCACGCAGAGCAGATTGGCAAATAACTTGAGTGATTGGGATGTGTAAGGTATTTGTCTCAGTGCTAAAATCATATATATCAGGAACACAAGGACAATGGCTCATTGTGGAAGGTGTAGTACATTGTAACTTAATCTTGTTGAGAAACTGATATTCTTGTAGATAATGTAAATATTTGTAATATTTGTGTGTACAGCATTATCTATGTGGTTATGTTGTCATTAGTGACTGGTCATTTAATATAAGGGGGTGGGGAGGTGCCGGTAGGATTGTACTCTCCACTCCCTTTAAAAAATGGCAATGTGTCATTTTTTTCATGCCCCTACCCCTAAATTGCGGTGCACCCCCACTCCCTGTCCTGGTTTTTTTTTTTAGCTGTTTGCTGTATCAATTTTTCATGACCACCACCCCCCATCTCTCTCTTATTATCTCTTCCCTCCACCCCTTAAAATAAATGACAAGTCCCTAAAGAAAAATAATTAAACAGAATTACATTTGTGATGGATTGTTTGTGGAAGGGATGAAACATGGACATGTTTTGAGTATTGGGCAGGTATTTGCAACTTCATCTTTCACATTGTGCAAGATGGTGTGTATTGTTTCACAGATTGTTACAGTATATAGTCAAACTGTAATGTGCTTCAGGCACAATAACTGCATGATGCCATGATGACCAATCAACATGTTTTAACTTTTCTTTATTTTCATTTTGGGAAATATTGGAGTAATATCACCAGTAAAAGAAGGTTATAACAGACCAAAGTGTAACATTTTAATCTCAGACTAATGTAAACCGTGTAGTGGACATGCTACGTCTGAATGCAACCATTTATGAAAAACATACTTCTTTTGGCACAAGAACTGGGTATGGATGGATATACATGGCATATATGCATAGCTTCACCAATAACATCAAATATTTGATGATAACACTTGTTACATGTTGAGAACAGTCTAGTTGGCTTCCACATTGCTTCATAATGTTGTTATTTTGTTAATGTAGTATAAACACTTGTAATATTATGTGGTATAAACAATTGTTATATTATGTAGTATAAACAATTGTTATATTATGACATATAAACAATTGTTATATTATGTAGTATAAACAATTGTTATATTATGTGGTATAAACAATTGTTATATTATGTGGTATATACAATTGTTATATCATGTGGTATAAATAATTATATTATGTGGTATAAATAATTGTTATATTATGTGGTATAAACAATTGTTATATTATGTAGTATAAACAATCGTTGTATTGTTATGGAGTATAAACAATTGTTATATTATGTGGTATAAACAATTGTTGTATGGTTGTTAAATCTGTAAGCATCAAGTTATTGGGTTGAAAATGCTGCACCATTAATATTTAGGAATTTCTACACACGTTTAGGAAAATGTAATGATTGGTGATGCCAAAGTTTCTGTAGGACAATACTTTTGAAATGTTGCTGGAAGAAAGTATTTTTTGTATGAAATGCTCAGATTATTTTACAAAGATCAAGGAATGAATTCAAACATTCTTACCAAGTCATCAATTTTGTTTATTAAAATTATAACATGATTTGATAATGTCATATTGAAGTCTTATTGCATGAAAGATTACATCATTATTAGTGTACACCTTCCTTGAAAGTAAGACAGTTTCACTCAGTTACATGCTTGTACAGGATGCCATGGACATGTATACTGATGCAGTTGATGTACATCTTGGGTTGAAATTTCTTTTATACCTGTTCAAGAAAGTCTGTGTACATTGTTGTTTATAATTGTACAAAAACATCACTTGTTAATATTTATTGTTGCTGAAAGGTCTGTATTCACTTGTAACATATTGTTCCAAGGCAGGGGTGTTGAAAGATAATTGGTGCCAATGATCTTATACTATTATTAATGAAAAATATTTTAGCCCTTTGAAAATCATTAAGTTATCAATATTAGGAAATATGTTTACGCCCTACAGTGTTTATGTAATTTCCATATGAAAGTAATTATCCAAACTTTGTCTTTCTGATCATGTTTTATAGAATATATAAATCTTTGGATGGAGCTGAAAATTCTAAATGTCAAATAATTTTTAGTGTTTGTATGGTAGGTTTGTTATTATTAGATGACTATTTGTGTCAGTTTGGGATCTTACGGAGTATCTCTGAACAATCTTTCAACTTTATGCTAACATTTTTATCGTTTATTTCCTACAGTCAGTTATGAATTCTTATTAATCAACACTCAGGGTAAATTCATGAAATTAGTAAATCTTTGTTAACATGTATATTGTGTACGGAATCAGTGTGTTGTAGACATTGCTGTCGCATCCTACATCTTTTAAGAAAACTAGGTGAAAATAAGGTACATACAAATGAGAGTCCTTCCTGAGCATAAATAGGAGTCCTTTTGACTAGCGGTAGTGAGACACAGATAGACAGATCTGGGGTAGTATGTTAGTTTCCTGCTTATATATTACCAAATGTGTATAATATACAGTGAAATCCTTTTAACTGTTACAAGTAACCATGGTAACACAATGATCTTATATTGGCACTCCACCTGGTTCCAACTGTTTCACAACAGATTATAACTATAGTCATATGAAAAAATAGGGTGTTATTTAACTTTTTTTGAGTAGTACATGTTGTTAATGATCCCTTGGAAGTTTCTCGATCTATGAAACATTGTTTCTAACTGATCATCTGGTATATACTCTACCCAGTGTGGTAGTCTTATAGTCCATGCATTATTTCCGTATCTTCCCTACTTGAAGAAGTGATGTTCTATACTGTGCTACTGAGGTTATATTTCCGCATTCAAGTCTGTCTTGTGTATATGAAAGATATTTATTGTTATTTGAATCTGTATGTACTCATAGACTATCTCTTGTAATAAAAATGGTTATATAGTTAATAAATCCTATGAAATAAATGATTGTGTATTGTCATTACAAAAACTACCATGCTTCAAGCTGAATATTTGGATCATGTGACTTTTAAAAAAACAAACCTTTTGGGCAGTTGGTTTGTTAGTTGCTTAATGCAGCACTCAGTGGCCTGTATATGATCTGGACCAGTCAAACCAAGGACTGATATCAGGAGCCACCATCCATATCAGGGTATGATGACGTCAACAAAGTCGCCAAGTCTGACCACTCGATTTAGGCGTCTCTTATGATCAACGACTGCCACCATGGTCTAGTCGTAGAGTGTTCGCCCGGACATCATACCAAAAGATGTTAAAAGATGGTACTTGTTGTTACCCTACCTGGTGCGCAGCCTTAAGGGGCTAAAACAAGGACTGGTCGGCTCGGAGTCGGTATACTGTGTCTGAGTGGGGTTAAACTGCAGCATGGTATCCCAGTGGGCGAGCACTATAAAATCGACATTAGTCCAGACTAGTAAAAGCAGCCACACACACAAACACATGTGCAGGCATGTCACTTTGTAAGTGCAGTAGTCTTGAACGCAACGCTTAACCCCATTTCACAAACAAAAGTTTAGCCGACAGAAGACCCACAACATGTTGTGTAGACAGCTAATATCTGATTTGTATGGAAACACAAAATCCTTATCCAATGGTAGTTGTTTATTTTTTATCCATACATCAACATGGTAAACAAACAAATGAACAAATACTATTCAGACATTGATTTCCGTTGTCTTTTTGTGTGTGTGATTAAGACTTGGCATTAAACATTTCACTATTCACCTAGCAAAACAATTTATTTAGAACCAAATGCAACATATCAGTAAATCACAGCTTTCTCAAAAATAATGAATTAGTACAAAAGTATATGTCAACAAAGAGATCAGCCTGTAGTGGATTATAGAAAAGTCACACATGTCAAATGAGACAAGGAAGGGTGCCATCCCCCTCTTCCCCTGAATCCTGAATACCATTTTTCACTTTGAGTCTCACAGCTCATCCTGACTTCCAAATACTACTTAACACAAATCTCAAAAGCACTGAGAAAAGGGTGCAATTTGAAGTTCAATTTAAAAATATAGAAAAAATTGAATATATAAAAGAATTTTTTACAGACACCATTATTTATTGTTAAAATTGAATATAATTGCAATTACACCCTGAATACCTCTAATTGGAATCCCTGGTACCTTAAGGGGCTTAGCAGCATCACAAATGACAGACTTTTTTCAGGATGTAGTCAAAGAGGCACAGAACAGCAGAGGTGGGCCCTGAGGCAGACATGGTTTGTGCAGCAGCTTTGTACCTTCATGTAACTTAAGGCAAACACAGTTGTAAAGGCACAAGGCAATGACGCCATCTTAGATATAAAAAATAAAGTTAAATACAGGTTTTGGTGCTTTTTGGTGTACAGTATCACAATGATAATTCAGTTCCTGGACCCCACAGCTGGTAGTCTGGTGCAATGTAGTACCAATAGATTGTTATTTAGGGACCGGTCATTTATTACAGGGGTGGGTCAGAGTTTTTTGACGCACTAATGTACTGAAAATAATAACTCTCCCCTAATGCTTTGCATATTTTTTTATGACCCTCCTGATTCCCTTGTATCCACCACACCCCATTATAACAAACAACCAGCACCTTACATGTACCCAAACAATAACATCAGTATACAATACCCTTACTTCTGAGGGTGCAAAATCAGATTTACAAATATATCTTATCTGATATTGGATAACAAATCTCAACAAATAATGTATTACCTGCTCTGTTTGAAGATATTAGATGGTCCAAAGCAGTCCATCTGCTAAATCTTGACTCATCACAATATATTGCTAAAATAATGTCTCTCCATGAAAGTGATGCAACACAAAACCGCCAAAATCCAGATAGTATCACAATGGCTCCATTGCAGTGCATGACACAACCTTAATCCTGGCTGAGAAGGAGATATGGCTGTATGGAGCTTAGGGGTAAAACTGAACATCTAACAAACCATAGAAAGCAAACACAAATCTGATCTTGCACACTTTAAGTAAACGTACACGCAAGTCTCAACACACGGATATAATACTGTTATCACACTGGCTTATAACTTAACAATTTATATACATTGTGAGTTATTATCTAAGACAATGTATGGCAAGTATTTTACAACATACAAACAGTGCAGTCTTTATTTACAAATATTGCATGAAGTAGGTGTCAGTTTTAACTATTAGGAATATATATACAAAAAGGCAGCAGTTGTATCACATGACTTAATACTTCCATCAAATAACATTTAGGTGGGGTTGTACTTTCAATATCTCACTGAAGTACTGGAGAATGCCTGCGAATGGGTCAACTTTAATGCTTGTCTGCTGTCTAAAATTAACAATGCTGCAGAGGAAGTAAATAAGACAGCTTGGAGATTACAGGCTCATAACTTTTTATTAAATATATTGTCAAAAGAGTGTGTGAGCGAGTGAGCGAGTGAGTGAGTGAGTTGGGTATAATGCGGTTTTCAACAGTATTCCAGTTATATCACAGTGTGTCAGATTGATGTGGGAAGAAAGATTGAAGTGATGCAGGTCTCAGCCATTTACACCTTTGGTGAAACCCACAAGCATCAAAATGGTTGGATTTAACACTGCTTTTAGCAATATTACAGCAATATCACGGTGGGGGACGCCAGAAGAATGCTTCACACAATGTACTCATTTGTGAAATAGAAACAAGGCCTTCGGTGTGACAAGCAAAAGATTTTACCATTTGGTCCCAACTGACCCAAGGCAATATGTGGAGGACGACAGCTGCTCTTTATTTAGTATGGGAAATTGTGTTTTATTTTTTGTCCTTGAGCAGAAAAAAAGCATGCATGAAGTGGTTGGTGTGCCAATGCTTGTAAATATAATTTGTAATAGAAAAATCATGAGAATATGTTGATTCTGGGAGATGCTACTTTCGGAATCAACAGATTCAAGTGATTTGTCCAGCTTAAACCATGTTATTGCGGATATATAACTTCTCCATAATTTTGCATAATGACCTATAGTTACATCAGATATACCAGTACTTGTTTTAACGCACGTTCAGGATGGCCAGTGAATTCCTGGCACAGACTCAACTGCAAAAACAATGGTGCGACATGATCGTAAGGGTTTTAATAAATGTTAATAACACTTTTGCCAATAATTCTTGACTTTAAATTCACTCCTCCAAACCACCAAACAGTTCCACTTTTTTTGATACATTGCTTTTGAAAGGCATCTCGAAATCATCAAAGTCGACCTCCCAGCCGAACCTGTCTCGCTTGACTTCCTTCTGCTCAATGAGGTTGCGAGTGCTGGGTTGTTTGGTCCAGGCTTTGAGCGGGGTGTAGGTGATGTCCTCTCTCTCCTCCATCCCCCCTGCCAACGCCGACGCTGCACGCAAGATGGATCCTTTACGCTGGTGTGGGATGCCCTCGTCGTGCATGCGGTGCACTGGAGGCTGGATAAACAAGAATGATGTTAAGAGAAAGTATACAAAAACACTTTCTGGTAACTTCTAATCATGCCACTTATTGAAGTGCTAGCCTAGACCATGCCGTTCTATGGCGAGTTCTTTTTGAGTGAATGTTGTTTGATTGGTTGGTTGGTTGGTTTGTTGTTTAACGCTGCACTCAGCAATATTCCAGCTATATGACGGCGGTCTGTAAATAATCGAGTCTGGATCAGACAACCTAGTGATTAATATCATGAGCATCAATCCACGCACTTGGGATCGATGACATGCATCAACCAAGTCAGCGAGTCTGACCACTCAATCCCGTTAGTCGCCTTTTACGGCAAGCATGGGTTGCTGAAGACCTATTGGACCCCGGAATCTTCACGGGTCGAATGTTCTTTGAAGCCACAGTCAGCAATCTTCCAGCTGTATCACAATGGCCGGTAGATAATCAAGTCATGTGACTGAACGCAACGATCCACTGTGATGGCACTGTGACACAATAAAGCACAGAGTCAGACCACCCAATCCATCTTAGTGGAATCTTACGACAAACATAGGTTACTGTCGACCAATCCTATCCACGAAGGCTCACAGAGGGTTATGCTTAAAGGATGAAGTTTCAGTATGATTTTCTTGTTTTGGAGATTGATGTTTAGAAATGAAATAAACAACACTGAAAGACTTGAGAGGTCATCCAAACACTACATGCACATCCCAATCTGTTGATCAAATGTAAACCCTGACATAATAGTGCCAGTGTCCCTTCCAGATCACAACACAGTACGAAAAGAATAAACACAAGACAATGATGTCGGACAGTGTTTTTGGAATTATTCAAGTAAATCAATTGTAGAAAGGTTCAAGACATAGAAGGATGAACTTTCAACATTTTTTATTCTACTCAAAAGGAGTTTTTTCATATAACTATCATCTGTCATGCCATCAATTTGTCCTGTCACACATGTTACTGACACTGCACACAATTAATGACGAAGAGGAGACAAAAGGCATATACACACAACACAATATTCAGCAACGATATGTCATCCGGTCCTTGATAATCCAGAGTATTGTATCTCCACACTTTAATGATAAATACTGTAGACCCATGAGCATGATTAAGTTTTGAGCTCCATGCAAAACAGGAGATTGTGGGTGGGTTGTGGGGTGTGGATGTGGGTGGGTTGATGGTGTGGGTGTGGGTGGGGTGTGGAGTGTGGGGTGGGGTGTGGGTGTGGAGTGAGGGGTGCGACTGTGGGTGTGGGGTGTGAGTGTCGGATGTGGGGGGTGGGTGTTGGGTTTGGGGTGTGGGTGTGGGTGTGTGTGTTGGGTGTTGGGTGTGGGTGTTGCGTGTGGTGGGTGTGAGGTATGGGTGTGAGATGTGGGGTTTGGGGTGTGGGATGTGGGGTGAGGGGGGTGGGGATGTGGGGGGTGGGTTTGGGTTTGGGTTTGGGGTGTGGGTGTGTGTGTTGGGTGTTGGGTGTGGGTGTTGGGTGTGAGGTATGGGTGTGAGATGTGGGTGTGGGGTTTGGGGTGTGGGATGTGGATTTTTGGGTGTGGGGGGAGGAATGTGGGAAGGAGAGGGATATTTATGGTTGTCTGTTCATATACCTCTTCATATACAGTTAAGATGTACTTGCATTATGGACTTTGGCCTATATGAGAAATAAATTGTATACTAAAATAGCCGTCCAATCAAATTACACTCATGAGTAAGAGATATTTTGTGCCAAATTACTGATAAGAGGGAGCTGGAGGCAGCATGTGCCTCATGTTAGCAGACAGGTCCAGGGTATTCATCGTAATAGATATAGAGTTATAATACAGGACAATCAAGGAGGGTATCATCCAAGGCCAGTTCTTTGCAGCTGATGTCAGTGTTTCACCACAAAATAGATTATGAATGAAGAGACAGTTAGTGACACATATGTGCTGCAGCCTTTCCCCTGAACACAACACAGAATATACAGCCAGGAATAGCTGCTGCACCTAAACATGGTACCTGTTCACGGTCAGATGTTGTAGCTCACATGCATCAGTCATATGTTCAATCTGATATTGTTACTCCCACTACCAATGATTCTGCTATCTTATGGTCGTGAGTCTGATTTTGCTTTAACATTTAAAACATGGCATAGGCTTTAAAAACTAAAAGATTTGGTTCTCAGGCAATTACTTTTGAAAATATAGTGCAGGTGGGCATTATTTTTGTGTACTAGTATATAACCAAAAAAACAGTTGTGTACCATCAACCTGGGAAAGGGCCTCCCTACATAGACAAGCATACAATGCCGCCATGACCATAACAGTAAAGCAGTGCGCATGTAAAGGGAAGTAACTGCATACTATATTGGATTGCATAGCTTTTAAGAATTATAACTTTTTAAAAAGAATATTCGCTGTCATATAGCTGGAATATTGCTGAGGGCGGCATTAAATATCAAACCAACAACAACAAAACATTTAAAATGTAAATAAAAAAGAAATGTGCAGCAGACTTTATGATGATGTGGGGGTACCTGAGAACCAAGACTATTATATTTTTTAGCCTTATGTAAACATGTACCATATTGCTATTTGTAATACATCATGTATACTATGTTGCAATCTGTTACATACAATATTGCTATCTGATATATACAATGTTGCTATTTGTAATATACTATGTTGCTATCTATTAATACAATGTTGCTATCTGATATATACAATGTTGCTATTTGTAACATACTATGTTGCTATCTGTTAATACAATGTTGCTATATGTTAATACAATGTTGCTATCTGATGTATACAATGTTGCTAACAGATATATAGTGTAGCTATCAGGTGTAATACACATTGCTGTGAGCTATATATACCATGTTCCTAACCTATATAAACTATGTTGCTATTAGGCAAAAACCTGCTAACAAATATAAACCATGTTGCTATTAAATATAAACATTGCTGCCATCAAATATAAACCATGTTGCTATTAGATATAAACATTGCTGCCATCAAATATAAACCACGTTGCTATTAGATATAAACCATGTTGCTATCAGATATAAACCTTGCTGCTATCAGAGGTAAATCATGTTGCTATCACCTGCCCATGTATTAGTAAAGCCAGCACTGCAGATCTTACACACAGTTGTCAGTGGTAATGAAGGAAACACCATTCTATACATGCATGTGCCAAACATTCAACTTGAGGAACTACCCATCGTAACAGATCTGATTTGTACACATGTACATTCCATTTATTCCATTTTGAAGGGTGACCACAAAGTGTGAAATTTTGATAATTGTCAGATTAGTCAGGGAAGCCAAAAACACAAAACATTACCACGCGTCGCCACCTGTCAGTCATCAAAATCGAAGTCCTCCATGTCAATATCATCGAGGTCTACATCACCTGCACTCTCCACCTTAGGCTGACAACATAAACAGTTCAACAGTTGGGCATCGATGTTTCCAGTTGCATCACCTCCATGTTCTACCCATACTACAGGGATGGTCCTGTCATCTCATGGTGCATTAAACTGATACCTTAACATATGTAGACCGTGAAACCTTGATGGCAAGATGGCACTGTTCTGAGTGAAACCAGTCAGATTACAGGGAACAATATTCCTGACTAATAAATAATCATTATGTTCCGTGTATGATGTAGATCATCTGGAAACTCGTGTTTGTAATTAAACAAGGTTTACACTAAGGACAGACTTTTTTCGTCTTTTTATTTTGTTTACAGAGTTTTGGTCCAAAATTTCAGGTCGGTAGGTCAGAAAAAATACATACAAAAATTCCAATTGCAAATATTTTTGGGGGATTTAAAAGTTTTTTTAATTAGGTAGCAAAATTAATGGGAGTTTTTAGGAAAAGTTTTCGACAGGTTTTAATTGTAGTACTTTAAATAATTTAGCAACAGTAAAAGAGGTGTGTTTACTCATTACTTACTTCTGTTGGGCAGGGGAAAAAACCAACTTCTTCTCATTAATATTTTTTCTCAGTTCAATTTTGGGGAGTCAGTGGATTAATAAATCAAGTTTAAAAACAAGTTTGGACTAACATAGTTTCACTGTAGAGACTGATAGAAGTTATCCATATAACAGTGTCATGTTCTCAAGACTGATACAGTATGAAAAGTGTTAGCATGCTCAATTTCCTTATCAAAAGTTGAGCTGTATTCAATGAAAGGCAGACGAATGTATAAATACCAAAATACTTCTGAAACTATGTGGGGTTTTCAAATTTTCAACCTTTCCCCATTAATCTGACAATGTGTGTAAAATCTGCATATACAATGACATAAGCATTATTCTGAAAGCAACATTAAAAGCATACATATCTATTAATGAATTATTCATAACCATATCTGTAATGATTACCTTGATATGTCTAACAGTATCCTGAATATGCTGAATAGAACAAATAGTACAAGTCAGAACAGAAGTGAGTGAGTGAGTGAGTGAGTGAGTTGGGTTTTCTGGTGCTTTGAACAGTATTTCAGTTATATCACAGTGTGTCAGCTTGATGAGGGAGGAAACCTCGAAGTGATGCAGGTTCTAAATTAATACCACAATGAGAGGTATGGTGCTGACAAACCAAGAATGACAAACAGGGCAAATCTGGGATTCAAACCCATGGTCAGTGGATTCTGGCATGACTAAGGGACACAACTCTGCAGAGTGAATTGAAGCACTTTAGACCTGTGCCCCAAGATAGAACTGGCAGAAAACTTGCTTATATAACAGCTCTTAAAAGAAACACCCCACCTGTTGGTTAGACGTGTGATATTGACTATTCATTAGCTATGTTATATGGGCAATATATATTTTTGATAAAATAAACATCAACAGACAGGCATATTTAAATCTACAGTATCATGACTATATATACTCAGAAAACAGAAAAACTACATTAGTAATTAAAACCACTTCTACACAGGCAACCCTTGCCACCTCAACCAAAGGGAATACTGTTTTATGGTGTATGCAGGAGTCAGTGTCACTTTGTGTACATTTAGTCTACATAAGCAGGAGCCCAGTTTACAGGGAGAGGCTTGGAGAAAGCATACAGCTAGCCTAGGAGTGTGTTTAACTTACAGCAGTGCTACTGACTGGTTATAGCATGGCCCTACAGCAGAGGAGAGACTGTCAGTGCTTTACATTATACTGGAAACAACTGATGTACAGTACAAATAATGATGCAGATTGTATTTTCAAGCAATAACCAACACAATAAACTGTTACTAAGATGCACATTGTAAATATATATTTTAGTGATGACGTTAACAGCATTATTACAGATTCATGCCATGACTTGCAATATAGCTTAAAAAGTATTAATTTAAGTAACTAATTTAAACATTTTGCATTTCAGTTTCTTTAAAAAAAAAAAAATTCCAAACAGTATAGGCACTATCAAACATTTAATGTCAGATTATATGAAATATGTGGCTCAATTAATTGGGAAAAATTCCACAAAGATATTTCTACTGTGTGGAGAATGCAAACAAGCCTACTGTGGACTACAGCACAGGGATCAAGCACACAACAGAACATAGCTTACCAATGGTGAGCCGGTCTCTTTGCCTTCCCCTGGGGCGGACGATGGTCTCTTGGCCTTGGGTCCTCCACTCCCTTTCTTGGCCCCCTTCTTCTTCTTGTCCCCTGGGGGGGGCATGGAGTCCCACTTCTTCTGTACCACATCCAGACAGCGGGGGTCGGCCCACGACTGGGCGATGTCCATCGGGTTGTGACCTACATAATCAATGTGACACCATGTACACTGTAACTCCAAAATAATTGAAACAAGCATTTACTTCGCTTTCCAGTCTTTCAGATGTACTATCAGTGTATGAAATACTCACAAACACTTGTAAATTATTATAGGTAATGCTTATATCCTTTCATTTGTACCTTTTGCATTTCAAGTTACTATTCTAAAAGTCAGATTGCTGTCAGAAGATGGATCTGATTGTCACTGAAAATAAGTCTTGTAATTTATGAACTCATAACGATAAATCGTTTCTTGTGTCTTTAGTGTGGTGTACAGGATTCTACAAGCTTAATGTTGGTGTAAACCCCTCAACAATCAGTGTCATGGTGTCTAAACCCATACAGCTTTTGAATACAGTACACCATGCTAGCGACACATGCAAATCACAACACTGACAGCTCAGTTCACTCCATCACCGTGATCGCATGCTCACTACATAAGCCTGATCACAGCTGAGAGAAGCTTATCCCAGTGATCCTCTGTTCACCTTCATCCTCTGTATCTGAGGTCTGTTCAACAAAGCGAGCATAGCACTAAGGTGATCGTAACTACCATACTGTACCATAGACCTATGACTGTTGTAGTGCTACGATCACTTTATGGAACGGGGCCGGTCTTTCACCATAGCAACGGAGAGTGGGGGCCTGCACTAACACATTTCACTGATTTGAACACTTATTCCTTTTTGTGACTTTGTGCTGTGGACATGACCTTTAATGTGGTGTTGTGGCACCAGTCAAGAGCTACGATTCTTTTTCTATTTAAAGAAGATTAGAGAGCTTTCTCCCACCATGATGTGCAGCTACACGAATGGGCCAATGTGTTGCATGATGACTGCATGACTTTCTATATAAAATTATACAAGTGTTACTTAACTGGTCCGTCACAAAAAAAAAGTTTTCACAACTACACAGATGGAGCGAAAAAGAGAGAGTGACGAGTTACTGGTCTTGGTTATGTGGTTACGGTGCACCTGCGCGAACACAGGGTGCGTTAGGATGAGATGTTTTTCACTGTTCTCTGGGAAAACAGAACAGGACGATTCCACTACTATTTAGAAGAGAAAGAGATAATCAATAAGTATGAGTCAGGATCAGATAAAATAAATAAACTCTTGTTTAAGTTTTCAGTAATCCACTAAGCATGATAAATACGACAATCCAAGACATGAAAGAGTCCTCCAGAAAGGAAACATCCTGACCTTTCCTGTTCTCTGTCTGAACCTTGGCTCCCTTGTCAATCAGCATCTGGACGACGTTGTCCCTGGAGCTCTCGATGGCACGGGTCAGGGGTGTGCCACCTCCCATGGTGGAGGCGTCGATCTCTGCCCCATGATCCAACAACAAGTCCACGACATCCAGCTGGCCGGAGTGGCAGGCGTGATGGAGTGGCGTCCACTTGAAGTTGTCCCGGGCGTTCACACTAGCTCTAAAGAAACGGAAATATGTTACTACACTGTGGAATTGTCTGCCTGTGTTGATAACATGTATGTATATGTGACCATCCAGTCTCCTCATTTTAATCAGGGTTTGGGCAACCTAGATGCTCTGCAATCTCCAGCTGGAGACAGCTGCACCTCTGCACCTCTGCACCTCTGCACCAGAAACATGGCGGACAAACATGGGCACTAGGACTTTTCTGCCCTGGAACCCACTTTAAGAAACAAACAATGGGCAAAAAGGGAGTGAGTGAGTATGGTCTTACGCTGCTTTTTAGCAATATTCCAGAAATATCATGGCTGGGGACACCAGAAATGGGCTTCACACATTGTACCCATGTCGGGAATCAAACCCGAGTCTTTGTTTTGATGAGCGAACGCTTTAACCACTAGGCTACCCGACCTCCCCAGTAGGCAATAAGGGCATATATTAACCTTTAATTATCACTGAACCTGTTATACATATTGTATCAAATCCAGCTACACAATTATAAGGAAAGGTATTAAAAAGTTCAAAAGGTGAAACTATTTGCTCTCAAATTCCTAAGTCTGACTGTATGTGGGGTTATTAATCTCAGACTTGAACATCATCAATGCCATTGTGTCCCAGGCTGCACAAATATACAACTCAAAAGAAGTTTGGGACCACTCGATTCTTTTATATTACAATAGTAAATCTGGCATGGCATGATAGAATAACTATAGAAATATGAAAGAATTGGGTGATCCTAACTTCTTTTGAGAGCAATGGATTCTATAGAAATATGAAAGAATTGGGTGATCTTAACTTGGGTGATTCTAAGCGAGGAATCAATCTTGGATCTGACCGGCAAGAGTAGACCCCTAGCTATTCATCAACATACCCGTTCTCGATGAGGAACCTGGCCATGTCGATGAGTCCCCCCTGGCACGCCACCATCAGGGGCGTCTTGTAATACTTGTCCCTCGTGTCCACTGGAATACCTTTCGAAATAGCAGTCTTCAGCGAATCAAAATCCCTCATCTTGGTTGCCTCAGTGATGTTGAGATACGTCTTGTCTGGTTGTTTCAAGTACCAGGCCGAATCGTCCTGGAGAGGATGGGTGGGTGGGTTGTCGCGGTCGAACCGCCCTGTGTCCGTGAAGTGTATGTGTCTGGGAATGAACATCTCGGGCGGTCCTCCCCCGAACGTCCTTGCCCCGTCCTCCTGCATACAGATTGGCATGACAAGCTTGAACTTCCCCTTCTTCTTCCCCTTCTTGCCTCCCTTCTTCTTCTTTTTCTTCTTCCCTTCAAACGCACTCATCAAATAATTTTTATTTACCCATTTTTTCGCAGCAAAGAAGTCATTATAGTCTACCTTTCCATCTCGAGCTTTGTCATGAGTCGACACAATTTTCTTGAGTTCATCTTCATCTGCTGGTGCCTTTAAGCCAATAATCGTATCAACGACATCATCCTTTGATATAGACCCCACCTCGTCCGGGTCATATTTCCTAAACATATCACCAAGTTGTTTCTGTCTTTCATAAACCCAGTCATACAACGCAATTACCCAGGGGTCATTGTTCTTGCCGCTCTTCCCAAAGGACTTTTCTGCCTTTCTACATTCCTTTAATGCTTCTTTGTGGCCCTCATCCTTTGCAATGACTCGTGGTGTAAGGCCTTCGTTGTTCTTTGGTTTGGGGTTGCAACCTGTAAATACAGTGAGTGGGTGAGTGAGTGAGTGAGTGAGTGAGTGAGTGGGTGGGTGGGTGGGTGAGTGAGTGAGTGAGTGAGTGAGTTTAACACTGCCTTGAACAGTATTCCAGTTTTATCACGGTGTGTCAGCTAAATGTTGGATTCCAGTTTTATCACGGTGTGTCAGCTAAATGTTGGATTCCAGTTTTATCACGGTGTGTCAGCTAAATGTTGGATTCCAGTTTTATCACGGTGTGTCAGCTAAATGTTGGATTCCAGTTTTATCATGGTGTGTCAGCTAAATGTTGGATTCCAGTTTTATCACGGTGTGTCAGCTAAATGTTGGATTCCAGTTTTATCACGGTGTGTCAGCTAAATGTTGGATTCCAGTTTTATCACGGTGTGTCAGCTAAATGTTGGATTCCAGTTTTATCATGGTGTGTCAGCTAAATGTTGGAGGAAAGCCAGAAGAGATGCAAGTCAGACATTTACCACTTTGGTGAAACTCTTGCGCATGGGTACGGAGCTCACAAACCTAGAAACATAATTGACATGAACCGATCATTTATTGCTGGCATGCCCAAGGTCCACAACTCTGCACAGCAAATAGCAGCGCTTCGGACTACTAGGACGCCCTTCCCCCCCTGTAAATACAGATGTGTGTGCGTGACTAGTGTTAGGTCATGAATCCAGAGATGGATGAGGGGTACACCCTCCTTTTGTAGCATGCTTATCATATTAACAATTAATTGACTAATTTGGCCTACAAGAGCAAATGGTTTCCTGAATTATGTGGAAGCATTTTTTTGTATTTTAAGCACACACCCTCTTTTCTAAAAAGCTGTATCTGTGCTTGTGCAGTGCTACAGAGATCCCACAGATCATCATGGTAGCTGGTACATCTAGTTCAGACTAGGAGCCAACACAAGTGATTGATGGTGTGAACATCCAGGCTGTATGAACCACACAGGTCACCGCGGACCGTCTTCCCAGATCATCCCACACTTTACGGCCATTGTGTACTTCTGACACCCACATGAGTCAACTCCTAACACATGCAATGGGTACAAGTGATTTATCATGTGATGGACTTACCAAAGCTTATATACATGTAGTTATTTTGAACCCTTTCTCCAGTCATGTCAATAGCAGGGTCATATTAATAATTTGAAACACTGCAGGTTGATTACTCTGATGTATTAGATGTAACTGAAGTCATCTTCATGGTGACACATTTTATTTTCTAACAGTAATGCTTTTAAATGTTGGAAGCATACAGATTTTATTTGTTTGTTTAACACCACACTCTGCAATATACCAGCTGTATCAAGTACGACAATTCAGTGATTGATGCCATTTGCAACGATCCACGCTGTGGACCAAGGCACCAAGTCTGATCTCCTTACGACCAGCTCCCCCACAGGATTGTGCATACATGTATGTATGTAAGTGAACAAGTTCTATAAAAGTTTCAGCAACATCTCAGGAACTCTTCAGCAATATTATTGTGGCATACTTGCGTCATAATTGTTTTTAATACAAGCCGTCTGCTCCATCAAATGGATGATACAATACAAGCTGTCTGCTCCATCAAATGGATGATACAATACAAGCCGTCTGCTCCATCAAATGGATGATACAATACAAGCCGTCTGCTCCATCAAATTGATGTGATACAATACAAGCCGTCTGCTCCATCAAATGGATGATACAATACAAGCCGTCTGCTCCATCAAATGGATGTGATACAATACAAGCCGTCTGCTCCATCAAATGGATGTGATATAATTCAAGTAGACTGTGCAGACTGTGGGATGAACTCCTTACCTCTTTGTGAGAGAAACTTGCAGCACATGCCATGCCCAGTCTTGGACGCCATGTGGATTGGGTTGTTCCCCTCTGCGTTCGTCTGGTTGAACTCTGCACTATACCCCGCCATACAGGCCAGCACCTCGAAGTGACCGCCAGTGGCTGCGAAATGTGCTGCGTGGTTGCGACGGATATCTATGCCGTTCACCAGCCCCCCACCCTCCAGTATCGCTCGGACAACCTTCACACTTCCTGCACTGGATGCCGCCATCAAGGCTGTCCGGCCACTCTTCTACAATGACAAAACACACACAATTAGTACAATGCATCAAACATATTTTGGCCTGTGTTCTATTCATGGTGTCCATGTGCCTATAATGTTAACAGGGGTTCACTATATGTCAATCTACCAACTAATTTACAAGATATGATCGGTTTTATGGGTCATAGTACATAAATCTTTTTAAAAAAAGTACATCCCTTGACATTTTCTCATATTCAGACAGACTGAAGAATGAACAGTAACAGAACCAGCCCTAATACACAGCAATGGCTTCCATCCCAATGTTAAAGTGATCACAACACTTTGTAACACATTGATTCCAAAGATAACTCGCGTTTTGTCATAAATGCAGAATTTACTCAATACAAGCAAGGCCTAGAATTGGACTTCAGAGAACATTCAATGCCACTCAACTCTTTCTGTAAACTTTCTTTAAGGTGCAAAAATATGACAAAACCAATGAGTATGCACACATGACTATAAGTACTTTGGTCAGAGAATTCCTTCTGAATTATTTTTGTTAAGACATGTATTGTGTATCCAAAAATAGACCAAAGTATGAGTCACAATTTTTTCACCATACTGAATAACAAGTCGAAAGTGGCAACCATGCTATATTAAAAATGTATCTATGTTAACTAAGGAATGAAATGGCAGGTGTGGTATAACAAGGTGATTAGGTATTTGTTTTCACTATGCCCAATGGTTGGCAGATGGAACAGAGTAGATGGCCATTGAGTCACCATTTGATTTGTCCAGGAAATACACAGGAATGACTGTAATAAAGTGTTGGTCAGACACTCACAGTCTTACCTCCTGTTCATTCTTTGGCCAACATCTTGTTTATTGTTAGGCCTACCTCTCTTTTTTGTTAGGCCTTATATCCCGTTTATTGTTGGGCTAACCTCCTGTTTATTGTTAGGCCTTACCTGCTGTTTATTGTTAGGCCTACCTCTCTTCATGTTAGGCCTTACATCCTGTTTAGACATTATGGTTATTGTCTTACCACTGTTTACCATTTGACCTTACATCCTGTTTATTGTTAGGCCTACCTATCTTTATTGTTAGGCCTTACTGCCTGTTCATTTTGGGGCCAACCTCCTGTTTATTATTAGGCCTACCTCTCTTTATCATTAGACCTTACATCCTGTTTAGGCCTTATGTTTATTGTTTGGCCTTACCACTGTTTACCATTTGGCCTTACATCATGTTTATTGTGCAGCCTCACCTCTACTTTACTGTTTGGGTCGGCTCCCTTCTGCAGGAGCAACAGACACATGTCCTCGTTCTCCAGAGCAGTCTCACATGAAAACAGGAACACTGGACATCCATCCTTGGCAACATTGTTTAGTTCCGCCCCGTTGCTAACAGCAACTTCCATACACTTGGCATGGCGCTGTGTCGGTGATATGCAGTAGAAGATGATGCCTGGGGAACAAATGATATCACATTATAACACCTGGGAAACAAATGATATAACTTCCTAACACCTGAGAAACAAATGATATCACATTATAACACCTGGGGAACAAATGATATAACTTCCTAACACCTGAGAAACAAATGATATCACATTATAACACCTGGGGAACAAATGATATCACATTATAACACCTGGGGAACAAATGGTATCACACTATAACACCTGGGGAACAAATTATATCACATTATAACACCTGGGAAACAAATGATATAACTTCCTAACACCTGAGAAACAAATAATATCACATTATAACACCTGGGGAACAAATGATATCACATTATAACACCTGGGGAACAAATGATATCACACTATAACACCTGGGGAACAAATGATATAACTTCCTAACACCTGAGAAACAAATGATATCACATTATAACACCTGGGGAACAAATGATATCACATTATAACACCTGGGGAACAAATGATATCACATTATAACACCTGGGGAACAAATGATATCACACTATAACACCTGGGGAACAAATTATATCACATTATAACACCTGGGGAACAAATTATATCACATTATAACACCTGGGAAACAAATGATATAACTTCCTAACACCTGAGAAACAAATAATATCACATTATAACACCTGGGGAACAAATGATATCACACTATAATACCTGGGAAACAAATGATATCACACTATAACACCTGGGAAACTGGTTTAGTTGTAGCACTTGTCAGGTGACACATGGCAGTACTGCTGGGTTATGTTAGGCAACAAACAAACATTTTACCTTTTTAGACCAATTGTGTGAGTGGCGGGTGCTGCCAGTAGGGCAGGACATGCTTACCCTTATTGCAAACACCTGGTGTCATCACTAATCCATTCATAAAATTGATCCATAATATTTTGCCTTTTATGCCCAATTGAATCTGTTTCGGCAGAAAACCAATACCGGTTTACCTGGCATTGATGTTCTATATTTAGATGTAGCACTAGCAATATACACCTGGGGCACATTAAATTCACACATAGGACTAAAGATGCTAATTACAGGCCTAGTCAAGCTGGTAATTAAACAATTGGTTTATAAACATGAGATCATGACCTAATGATATGAAAGAGAAAAAAGTGGTTCCATGGCCCCACAAGAAGATCAGCACCACGTTGATCCTCCTACTAGTCACCACAGGACCACGGTTACCCAACACATACACGAGCAGTTTATGATAGTGAGGTGGTCGGTTACAAACTCAGCGGGATGAATAATGAACACATCAAGCAATTATCTTGAAATGTTTGCCTGACTTCAGATAATTAACGACACGTTTTGGTGTCTGAACTCCTGGTTCTGACCCAGAGTGGATTGACTTAGATGGAACTGTGAGAAGCTGTGTTTTAGTTGATGACATAAATAAACTGCACTGTGTTACTAGTCATTCAAGTTTAATTCCATTAGCAAATAGTTTTACATGGTATTCATGGGCAGTTATCAACCCAAAAGCTTACAAACGGATGTAATTGCCATGGTTACCATAATGACAAATACATATTGGATGAATTAAAGCTGAAAAAAGCTTAGCCTAGTTGTTAACAGGTGATGTTTAATTAATGGTCATCTATTGGACATTGATGTACCTCATGAAAATCAGTATGAATGACATGTATACACAAAGGTAAAAGTACTTTATGTGTTCTAATAATAAGTGATTTATCATAATGTGATTATTCATAGAAATAGTGTTCAATTTGGCTGTAGATGGACCAAGAGGCTTTCTACGTATATTTATCTGCTTACAATCAACATTAAAACAGATAAAAAATTCAAATTCAAATTCTGCCAAGCAATTTTGGCATTAAAATGCATGTTTATTGTCCAGTACACATACAACACTTAAGAGAGGGATAGAAAAATTTAGGTGTTCCTTGTTTTTTACACAAATGAGTCTACATGAGTCTGTTTGTGGTTCTTGTATCCATCCTTAAACCTTAAAAGTCTATATAACCAAATTATAACTATCACAAATTTTGAATTTGGGCTCCAGTTGGTTGGATCTGTAAACAAATTTTTTTTTTAAAATGTCGCCTCAAATTCAGGCTCAGCCACCATACCTCTGCACCCAAACTGTTGATTCATGTAATACAGCTTATGAAATGATGGCACTGTGAAATGCAGCACTGACCACCATTGATCTCAGGGGACACCTGGTGACAAACACAGGCCCAGACAACCTAATTAGTCTGTACTAGTGTGAGCATCCATGTTGATGAGTTAAGGTCTGTTTGTCTTGTAGCTCTCCACAGAGATAACAATAATTACCTATCATTAATTTGCCACTTGGAATGAATTATTAATGCTGTGGGATACCCCAGATGCACAACCAGGACAAAACACGCAAAATTGAGGGGGTGTTTGACGTGCGTGTTGGAGGAGGTTATTATTAAAGGACTGGGCGTGTACTAGTTGACATCCAGCTGATGAAGGTGACGGACCAAGAATTATGATTTGCAATACAGTGAAACCTTGTTAACGCAAACTCCTTTAACTAAATGATACTTGTAAATGATGATGCCAGTATGATCTCAGCAGGATGCTTAGGCACATTGTGGTCTTATATTGCCACTCATGATCCGAGGACATCACAAAGTTTCAATGTATTAGTAAAGGTAAAAGGACAAAATATATACAGATAACAACTGTTTTACACACTAAGGAAATCATTAACAATTAATTTGCTTTTCATGGCAACAAGTCCTCTTTCAAGTGTCATTATGTATCAATATTTGGCAAATGACATATGCATATTACAAAACCAGTAGGATGATGCACCAACACTTTGATGGATCGTTATCTGCCTCATCAACAGTGTGTGATTACTTTGTTCACGGATCAGCGGACACTACAAATCAGGAATGTGGAAACAAGGTAAACCTCCAAATTTAGAAAAAATATGTAAACCAACTGATAAAATATAGGGATGAAATTTGTGAAGATAATATGCACATCATTAATTGTAAATCGCATACTCAGTCTTTTACTGGCTAGTCATGAGTGAGTGAGTTAAAATTAACGTCACATCGGCAGTATCTCAGCCATATAGTGGCGAATGTCTAGTCATGAGAGTCAAATAAATAGATCACTAGTAGGCTTCATAAAACTAAAAATCAAAAGATGTACATATAAACATGTTTAAAGTGCGAACTGCTCTGCTTTGAGTGGGACAAATACTATCATGAACAGCTGCATATCTTGTAGATTCCGCGGGACGAACATGTAATCAAGTTTATCTTTTAGATAGGAATGGTATAAATATGTCCAGGAGAACATAAACCTCTGGTCTGATGCTCTGTACAAGTTAATGATGCATGTCATTGACAGTGCTGTATTTATCTGGTGCTGTATTTATCTGGTGTACATTATTCAGCTAATTACTCACCCTTTCCCTCGAGATCTGTCAGGCTGAGATTGGCACTAGCCTTGACTAGCTTCTCCAGACAGTGGACATGGCCGTACTCTGCTGCTCTCATCGCTGCAGTGCGACCCTGTGGGGAGTTGACAAATCTGATGTGTCAGCAATGTGATCATGCAACTAACTGGGATTCAGTGGAAAAGTACACTTACTCAGGAAAAAGAACAGAGTGGGGCAGAAACCTTTTTTACACAATGTGGAAGGAAAAACAAATATTTTGTTTGCTCTTATTTAGCTGTTATAGGTTGTAGCAGGATCATGAGGGGTACATGGGGTTTTATGCGTGCCAGGGGTGAGTGGTAATAAAACCAAACGAGGGATGCATAAAACCCCATGTACCCCTCGTGATCCTGCTACGACGAATTTATCTTACCAACCTGTTTTAATATGACATTGTAAAATAATTCAAATAAATTCTAAATTGATACAAAACAGTTGCTCGATTGAGCTGAGGTCAGCTTGCTCTGTCACATGATATCCATTGGCTCAGAAAAAGCGTGCAGCTTTTTGCTTTGAAGCGGGCTATAAAAGACTTATTCTGTCTCTCAGAAATTCACGTTCATTCGTCATGCTCGTGGCGGGGTATTAGCGATTTATTACCCCGCTGAGAAATGTATTACTCTCCAAGGCGGGGTTAAGCATGTGTTGAAATTATGACTCTAATAATAATTTCTATTAGTGAAAATGCCATAAGTTGTAGAAACTTTATTATTGTTTATAATATGACATATTTGGCAATTTTGACAAATTCATTGACAAATTCTTTTTTGGAAAACTGCTAAAACTACTGACTCAAAAAGTTCAAACTCATTATTTCAAACCAAAACTGTATGTGTGATTTCTTAAAGTAGATTCTAAACATATTTTCTTCTTGTTCATTATGCTTGTTTAATAACTATCAATATAGTATCGTTTGGAAATTTCAACTTTTTACTTAAATCCTAGATTATAGTACAGTTGAACATGTTTACAAATTCAAGTTTAACAAATTTGAATGAGTAACCAAGGTAATTACATAACTGTAACTGTTAGCTAGTTTGTATTCAAATCCTATACCATAGTATATGTACTCCACAAACCCAATTATTATTATTATTATTATTAATGTAAAATAAAAGATGTCATACAGTGTGGGATGTTTAAGAGCATGTAAGTTTACTCATACATTTGATTAGACAAAATAAGCTGTTATTACTTTTAATTGAACGTTTTCAGCAGTTTTCACAGGCATGTACAATTTATTTATTTGCAAAAAATATTGGAAATTATTTTTATGTTTTAGTTTCTTTATACATAACAAAACTGATTCAACATCGATTTTATACATTTTGACAGTAATTATATATTTATTCTTACCTTGAAATCCATCACATCTGGATGAGCGCCGAGATTTAGAAGAAATTCAATCATTTCATCATCGTTGGCGATCGCTGCAACACTTAGAGCCGTGGTGCCTTCAGTTGGATCGTTATAGTTGATCAAGTGTGGGAGACCGCTCGTCGTGAGCTTCTCGATTTGTTGGCGGTCTCTTTCGCGAACACATTGCAATAATTTACAAACTTGCAACGTTTCAAGTCTATTTTGTGCGACTGGCATCCTGAATGATTGCGATTTCTACCTATAACACACACAAAATGATGACGGTGTCACTAATGTTTAGAATCTTATTCACCGAGACACTGAAATGTAAATAACACAAATCGGATTATGTGTTTGCTTGGTGACAAGCACCCGCTCGGAGATTGTCACCTGTAGAAAGTATTTCTAGTGCTCCCTTCTTGTGTCATCTAGCTTCTAGGAAATGTCTGAGAGTAACCATAGAGGGTAAACTAAGTTTGACTTGCTTTCAAGTCATACGTCCCCCAGTACTCCATCTTGTCGCCAGGTCACCGACATCGACTGAGGTTGTTGACAGTTTCCATGGCACACGCGCACCTGCCACCTGGGAATCAGGGGCACGTAACTCTGTAGCGACAGACTTACACTGTCTTGATTTATGAAATCGATCGGACACATTTTCTCATAAATAATTTCGTTGCCCGCTGTTCGTTTTATCGAGCATTTGTGGTTCATGAGAGTAAGTGACTTAAACGGGGAGAGAATCTGTGAAACTACTAGACGTAAACACGAAAGGCGGCGATAAATAAATGTCCCATCTGTCCTTATCGTGAGGGGGAGGAAGCTGGCGCTGTTGAGAAGATGAGATTAGATGTCTATAATCTACAGCAAATCGGACGGTTACATTTAGATGTCGAAACAGATAACAGACCAGTTTTAAGACTTATAATCTAAATGTACACTAAATTGCAAAAGCAACTGTGGTGATGTTTTTATTTATATCATGCCAATAGTTATTTTTTAGAAGTACCTTTGAAGGAATGTGTTAACATGTCAAATCTTATACATAGAGATTACTACACGGGTGTCTGTCAGATACCACTGATCTTACAACGAGTTGTTTCAAAACGTATCTAACGAGCGAAAGCGAGTTAGATACGCTTTGTAGCAACGAGTTGTAAGATCAGTGGTATCTGACAGGCACGAGTACAGTAATCTGTTTCTTACACACCCTAAAATCGCACCTTTTTAGCATCGAACCGATGCATTTTGTCTATATTCTCATGATTGCAGTAGATCTAGCGCATTAGTACATAACACCACTGTCATAAGTGACGTCATCCTATGTGCTGCTTACTACTCATAAATAATGTGACCCTGCACAAAAAGGTTTCCGTCATATCTGTGGATTATCAAGGCGATGATAAAAATGAAAACTAGGCAAAAACAGAACACGCTGGGTGCCAATTTGAAAGTTTACACCTCAAAGAAATTACCAAATATGTACAACAATGTTTACTTCCGTATGACATCACTACCGGTGACCGACTTTTACAAAATGGCGTGTTCACTGACAACGGTACGCTGGATTTCCAGAGGAGGATTTTCGTTGATTGAGGGATCGTATACACATAAATATGTCACATAAGTAATCAGAAACATTCTGACAATCTGCGTACTGTTATTTGTTTACCATGTTTCCAATGTAACAAAGAGAATTAGTCAGAAATGCAGATAACTACCGTCGTCGTTGTGCGTGATTTAGCGTCAGTCATGGCGTCACACAGGATGGAAACTTTCACGACTTCTGTTGAATTTACCACATCATTGTAATGTATATATGTGTATTTCCATAATTATTGCAACGGTACTCTTCCCATGATTATTCTCAAACGCGTGATCGCGCCAATGTATGCAACAATTTGACGAAAGTGATACCTCTAAAAATGCTACACAGTGTAAAGTCTGAATTTTGATTTGTTTACATTTCAGCAAGTAGTTTTCCGAGCACAGTTTTCGTTTCCATACCTGATGTATTTCTCATGATTTCATCTAGATAACTTGCATTGGTGACAAAGACCATTCATCCTTTGTTTCGAAAATGTATGAGGAATTCAGGGATGCATGTATATTATAGCAGCTGAGTTTGAAATATACCTGATCGAATAGGAGTCTCATAACCGGCATTTTGTAAACACAATCCAATATGGCGGAACGTTCACTTCGGCGTTCGTGTATGTATGGGGGGCCATTCGGTCAAAAAATACAAAGTTGAAAAAATAGGACAAAAGTACGCTATTAAGGTCAAATATTACGAATAAAGGACTAAATGTTACTACTAAAGGTCAAAATACAAAACAAACAGACGCCGGTTAAACTTACAAAGTTGAAATAAATGTCAAAAGTACGCAATATTAATAGTCAAATGTTACGAAAAGAAAAGAAAGAACAATATGTGTACGAAAGAACGTCAGTGAGCACGAAAGGACGTTTTCATGACGTAATACATTGTGCACCTCGGCATGCAGTTATCATATACACGGCGGAACAAGCCGATTAACCCCGGAATGTTTTACAAATTGCAGCTCCATCTGGCGTTCTTTATTGTCAACGTCCTTTCGTGCTCACTGACGTTCTTTATTGAAAACGTCTTTTCGTGCTCACTGACGTTCTTTATTGAAAACGTCCTTTCGTGTTCACTGACGTTCTTTCGTACACATATTGTTCTTTCTTTTCTTATGACGTCTTTTCGTAACATTTGACTATTAATATTGCGCACTTTTGACATTTATTTCAACTTTGTAAGTTTAACCGGCGTCTGTTTGTTTTGTATTTTGACCTTTAGTAGTAACATTTAGTCCTTTATTCGTAATAATTGACCTTAATTGCGTACTTTTGTCCTTTTTTTCAACTTTGTATTTTTTTACCGAATGGCCGCCCATATGTATGCGTATTTTCCAAAACATTCTAAACAATTCTAAGCTTATCAGCGACATTTCAGAATTATCATTAGTGATTTGATACCCGTGATCGCTAATATGCTATTTTTCTACTTTAATTATTTGAATAAATATCCGATATTTAGATTTCTAAACACAGTAAATATCTATATAATGCCGTGAATTGTGATTTGGCGAGATTTACAATGTACGTAATTTCCAGAAGTCACTTTCAGTAATTTTGAATTGCCTAAAATGACAGTAAATGATAAACAGAAGGGGGAATTCAAAACTGTGAAGTGTATTAGTCTGCGTGATGTATTTTGAATTTTATTCGACTTCGAAGTGAGGGTTGAAGAGGAGGGACATATGTGTCGCTGTGGCATCCAGGGGGTTTACACTCTGAAAAAACCCGATAATGATCAGATCGTCTTGACTGGGCGCCGCCATTTCGTTTGAAACAAATGCAAGTGGTACGAGAGGTGGAATCTGATTGGTCCATATGAGAGAGTTTAGTAGAGACATAACTTGTATTAACAACTGGTGGCACTACGGTCGAGCCCAGGAATTCCAGCCTAGTTCGGCATGGGTGGAAACTGGAATTTTAAAGTCAGTTAACTCTCTTGCCTCGGGAAGATGCATTGATACACCATTTGCCAACGATTTTGTACGGTCCCAGTTTCGTATCGTAAAAGCCCAAGTTCTCTTGGCTATCAAAAGGGTATCCACATGACGTCATCCTTCGAGTGGAAAAAGGTTACGGCTAGAATCTAGTGCTTTCTTCATTTTTGTGAACAGATGCATGGAAGCTGGTGGAGCCAGATCAGGAGAATAAGGTGAATGCTGTAGGAGTTCAAAGCCGCTCGTGGATTTAGCCTTGGCAACGACTGATTTATAAACTGTCGCATTGACCTTTTTTCAGCTTCCTACGTCTCTTTATCTTTATTTTATCCCGTAATTGCATCCAAGATGTAGCAAAATATGCTCCGTTTATTGTCTGGCCTTTTGGAAGACAGTCCATCATGACGACACCCTAATCATCCCAGAACACAGTAGCAATAACCTTTCCAAAGGTGGAGCCTTTGTCTTTTGGTGGAGATGATGTCAAATGCTTTCACTGTTTGGTTGTTATTTGTACTCAGACTGGAATTTGCGAACCCAGGTTTCATCCATGGTCACAGATCGTTGCAAGAACCCTTATAGATCAGCTTCAAACAGAGCTAGACTGTCACGAGACTGGTGCGTTTTTATCAGAAACCAGAAGCTTTAGAACCCAACGAGCTGATAACGCTCTTTATTGCCAAAGTTTCTGCTGTCAACCTCTTCAAGGTGGCATAGTAACGGGCATCCGAACCTAGTGTTGTACTCATATCTTCATTGTAGAGCTTGATCACTGCACGTTTATTCTCCCATGGTCACAGACCCATGTTGATTTTACTGATTTGTCACAGCGAAACTATTTGCTCATTTGACTCACGTTTTAGTAGATGTACATCATGTAATGACCACACATAAAATTTCACTGTTACGCAATTCCTTCTAAGGCTCGGAACACATTAATCAACCCTTGTACGTCAGTACTAGAAGGTTCTTTGGATCGCGTCACTGTTGTTTTGGATACACGATAATTTTTCTGCTTGGTAAATGTTGTGCAAGTAACATTTCAGAATCTTTCAAAGTCGAGCAATGCTTCATTCCACTGATCGTTGTACGAGTACATGGATACACTACAGGAATTCGAAGATCTTATCAAAATAATGAAAGTGTCTGACCTTTTCACTATCGAAATCTTTTTCTCTACAGCACCATCGGAATCCTAAATTTAATAAAATAATGTTTTATTATGCTATTTTCTCCATGAAACACAGTTATCTTTCAAGGGGCGTGGGTTTAGTTTTAGAAAGAGAAAGGGTTGGGGCTTTTGGTGGTGAAAATTGCGTAAACTGTCACTATTTTCATCAGAACTTCGCACTCCCGTGGATACAGTGCTCTTCCTCTATCGGACATGTCGACAGACAGAAAATGTTGTAATGTTGATTAAATTATTATTATACAACAATCATTCTTAAGCATCACTTCCATCCTCTCTTAATAAGTATCGCAGGACCACATAAACTTTTACTTGAATCAGGATTTGGCTGATTTTACGTTCGCATCCTCCACCTGTTTGAACTTCAGTTATTTTACAGGAACCAGTTAAAACAAGTGCATATTCCTTCCTTTATGATAAGAAAAGTCATTTGTCCATCAGACTTTACATTTATTGCATATAACATCTTCAGGCCTCATTATAAATACAATGGAGTATTATCAAACTGAATTGTGTTGTGATTGTGTTATAACCAAGCATAATATAACAAATATAAGGTCCAGTCACTCATTCTGCTAGCCCTGAACATCTTCCATAACTCCTGGTTACCCAGTTGAGTCAGTTTATTTTCCTTGTCCTGTTTCCAGATAGTTTACGTTTCTTTAGACTTCTGAGATTTGCCTCTGCTTTGTCCATTATCTCCAGGTCATAGACTTCTGTGAAAAGAAACCTATCTGCACTAGCTGTTCTGGGGAACAGCCTGACTAGTTATATTACAGGATCAAGGAATTGTAACAATTGAATTTAGTCTTGAATCTGTAATAGATCTAATGATCTTTTCTTATAACAACACATATACATGTACTGTCAAGCAGTTGTGTTGACAAACATGAATTCATGTTTGTCTTGGAAGATAATGTCAGGTCACCTACGATTGCATCTTAAACCATCAGCATCTTCTCCCATGCTAATCTATTTGAATGTGTGACAATTCAGTTGGTTCAGGTCTCAAATGAAGATTTCAAACAACATCCTGCTAGGTCCAGCTTGGCATAAAACCAAAGTTTCAATGCTTTGACACTGACTGGCTATAAAATGACTATCATTATGTTATCAGCTTCCTACAATTCCAACCCTGCTTCTTTTAAGGTAGATCAACCTGTGAACCGTGGTTGCATCCAACAACTTCTCTGTTCCCATTCATTTTGAACTGATACTTGTGCCTAAATGAAGTTTGCTGACAGGCTGGTCAGCAGCCATGTGAGCAACAGGTGCTTGTTAGTGGTCAGCTACATGGCGCAACAGTTGGTGCTGTGACCATAATATACTACTAAAAAAAAGATTTGTTAAAAAAGTGATTGTGATTTTGATTGTTTTGCCTTCCTACCTTCAGGTCATTTCTGGCAAAAGAGCTGTGAAACAAATAATTGAAATGATCTGGTCTAAGATCGTAAAGACTAACTAATAAAATTCACTCACATCAGCATGTTAAGGATTTCTTTAACCTAGAATAACACAGAACTACACAGCAGAATACAAATATCAAATACACAAACATAACAAAAGTTTGTTTCAGATACTTTTTAATTCCTCATTCACACATAATAATGACAATGACCAACATTTCCTGCTCTTAAACATGTTGATATCCTTTGAGATGCACATAGTATTCACAAAGGTATCAGTGCTAACAAATAGTTCCTACAGTCCTATATATTCAATCCTTCTTGGTAGGAAATGACATTTTATAAAAGAGGAGGTAGCCTGTTGGTATAAGGCCGATCAGAGTCATTCCCATGGTAACTTGATAGCCGAAAGTGTCACGGAATCCACGCTTCTGCCAGACAAGGAGGCCATCATCTCTCTACAAACAGAGGTGTTGGACGTGAAACAGACAAGACGAAATGATCATCAGAATCACTTAACAGCTACAAAGATGATTTATGGCAGAACAATAATTCTTATTAAAAAAACAGTAGGCTTTATGCATGCTATGTTTTATTAATCCATTTCCAAGCAAAATATTTATACCCAGAAGGAAATTAAGGAAGAACATCTACTAGCCTGAATAGTGACAACATACAGAAAAGGCCTTCAAAATGTTTGGAATTCTACAAGCTCTAACATGCTCTTAGACTACCTTTAACATCAACAAAACTGGTCAAGGCTAGGACGCTAGCACTAATTTCCATCTCTTCCATATGTGTCGCTATACCTAAAACATGGTGCTCACATGTTTAATTTCAAGGCAGAAACAGAAAACGACTGTATTTAAGTTCAGGCATTAACTACAACATTTTTGGGGAGGAGTAGTTTGTTGTTTTACACCGCATTCAGCAATACTCCAGAAATATTACGGTGGCCTTAGTGAGGATATTGTGAACAACGATCAATGCCATTGGCACTGATAGAACTTGGCACTAACCAACTTGTGTGAAATGTATCTTAAAGGCTAATATAATTTCAATTTTTGGGGGTATTGCTATATGTTATCACTATTTGGGCTAGTAGTCTTTCTTGGCTCATTTCCATCCCTCCATATGGTGAGTGAGTGAGTGAGTTGGGTTTAACGCCGCTTTTAACAGTATTCCAGTAATATCACAGCGTGTCAGCTTAATGTGGGAGGAAAGCCTGAAGTGATGCAGGTCTCAGACGTTTACCACTTCGGTGAAACCCACGAGCACGGGTATGGTGCTGACAAACCTAGAAACACAATCGGGGTGAACCGGGATGACATTAATACTATCAAAAACTAATTATGGTATATTTCAACTCATGTTTTGGGTTTCCACAAAATGGACAAAATGTCACAATCATTTCCCCTTTATTTTCGGTGAAAAATGCAAACTATTAACGTTCATTTGAAAATACAGAAATCATCGCCATACATGTTACCACACCACTGCCTCAAGCTTACCTGAATCATGTACAATTTTTTTTTAAAAGCATCTGAATCATGATGTACAGCATGCTCAGTCTGGGAGCTCTGTGTGGACAAGAGTGAGAAACAACAGGTTCATCATGTTCAAGATGAATGTTGTCATTTACTACTTACACACATCATGTTCTGGAACTCCTGGACCTTCTGGTACTGGGAGGAGCCAGGGGTGGTACCTCGGCATCGGGCTGCAGAGGTGGTCAACCCACGTGCAAATACACGCACTGCCTGTAAAACATTCATTGAAACAATGCAGAACAAACAGGTCTTTTGATCCATAGTGAGTGAGTGAGTGAGTTGGGTTTAACGCCGCTTTTAACAGTATTCCAGTTATATCGTAGCGTGTCAGCTTAATGTGGGAGGAAAGCCCGAAGTGACGCAGGTCTCAGACGTTTACCACTTCGGTGAAACTCACGAGCACGGGTATGGTGTTGACAAACCTAGAAATTAAATCGGGGCGAACCGGGATTCGAACCCACAATCATAGGTTTCTGGCGTGCCCAAGGGACGCAACTCTGCACAGCGAATCGCGGCGCCTTAAGACGACTGGGCCACCCGTGCCCCCCTTTTGATCCATAAGTTGAGGAGCATTTTTCTGGCCTCACAGGAAGAACATAACATGAGTAGAGATGACACTTTTACACAATGACAAAACACACTCTTCTTGCACTTATAAGAGTATTAATCTGTATTGAGCACATGCCATTAACATTTGTGACTCCAATAAAGCCCATAAACATGTAAAATCATCCTATTACAAAATTCAGACATCATAGAATAAAGTGGGGCAACAAATTAAAAGTTTGATTGAGTAATATACTGCCATGGTGTATACAATAGTACCGGTCAAAGTCCCATCATTACACATTTTAATTTCATAATCATGGTTCTTTAACAACACCTCTGGCATATCACATTTCTCTCAAAGAAACAAATGACCAAGTCACACGAGTGTGAACTAAAAGAATATTCCTCCCCCTTTCATCATGTTTAATCATATTAATTTCAATGGTTGGATGTAAACTTCGGTCATAATAATCACCGTGGAACCCACAAAGTACACTTATTATCACAAAACACAACTTAGGAAACCAACACACTGGCGGTGTTTGAGTAACGTGTAAGCAATCAGTGAATTAGAGTGGTCTACTGAACTGAAATCGTAAGTAAAATCGTATTCCTAATAGTTATCATCGAATGTTTGTAACAAGTCCTGACACCATATCACAACTTGTAACCGTCACGACTCAAGGTCATTCATTAACTGAACAATTAGACTACGTATATCCTCAAGTATTCATTTATAAATGATGACACTGAACCACTGTTTTTTTTCTGACATATTTAAAAAAGAGCACAGTTCAAGAACGTACATTTGTGGCACTCATGTTGGGGGTCGAGGAAACTTGCCGAAGGTGATGTGAAACACAACGGAAGTAACTGAAGTACGAGAGACAGCGCATGGGCGAGGGAGAAATAGTTTACTTACAAATTTCATATAATGATACAATAATACTGTCGTCTCCTAGGGTGTGTCCGTAGTTACAAATATGAAAAAATAGGTAGTGTATGAAGACTCCACTTTGGAAAAACACAATCAAGTTGTAAATAATGGTATACGGGAGACGTTCAATTGAACAATAAATGATGTCTCCCTTAGAAATCTAAACTGTGCCTTGATGAAAGTCGTATTTTGTTATTTCAATGTGATAAGTAAATCTTTTTAGGATATCAGTCATTTTTGACACCATTATGCTACACTTTCAAAATGTTAGTCAATATTTACAATATGATGTAGATCTAGTTATGATCAATATTATTTACATAATAAAATAATTTGACACGAAAATAGAGATGCCGCTTTTAGGCATTAGATCTATTATTATTTTAATGTTGGGAACACAGTAAAAATATAATCGAAACAGTCCCTTTATTTTTAAATAACTCTACTCTTCACTACATTCGTATAATAGCTTATATAATCGATGGGAAGTGAAGGTGAAGTGAATTATAATTGGTTAAAATTATTCAAACGATTACAAGGCATCTTACCAGTTTGAGGTAGGCCTATATATGTGAAAGGCACTTTAGCTTCATATTTGTGCAAATACTTTTTGTGTAATAAAGAAGATTTTACGAGCAACAACTGGAAACAAAACCTGCTCATGTTTGAACATAAACCCAGTTGCCACTCAATGTGAAAGTATAACATAATTAAACACATTTCTTAGAGACCTACTAAACAGTTTCAAAGTTTGTCATTGGATACAACTCGTGGTCCATTTCTGCAGAGACCATAAAATAGATTATTATTTTTCTATTTTACGGTCTCCGATTTCTGCCAGGGAAGTGACAAAAATGAAAATCACAGAAGGCTTACTGCCTGAGGTGTATTTCTTTAACATATTTTGTATACACGGACCACACACACGCAGACCGAACTCCATACATGATCAACCAGATCTTGATTTAACCCTGTATAGTTTCAAGCCGTGACAGAGCCGTATGTTGACTCAAAGACGTATAGACGTCTATGGTTGACTTAACACATATAAAACATTTTGCAAATCATTTATTTTAAGTATGTGTCTATGACAATCGGCCACTAGTGATATATGTCTTTCCAAACTGTCTTGAAACAAAGAACATGGATGGTGATTATTGAAGAAACGTTGTATACAGATGACTGTCAGATCACTAATAACCTTGCTTTGAGTGAGTGAGTGAGTGAGTGAGTGAGTTGGGTTTAACGCCGCTTTTAACAGTATTCCAGTTATATCGCGGCGTGTCAGCTTAATGTGGTCTCAGACGTTTACCACTTCGGTGAAACCCACGAGCACGGGTATGGTGCTGACAAACCTAGAAACATAATCGGGGCGAACCGGGATTCGAACCCACAATCATTGGTTTCTGGCGTGCCCAAAGTGAAGCAACTCTGCACAGCGAATAGCGTCGCCTTAGATGACTGGGCCACCACCTTGCTTTTAAGACTAAAATGTATCCATAACATGACTGAAGTAGAATTCCACTTACACTGATGTCGAATATGTGAGTGAACGTAACTGAGGGAACCAATTAAAATATATAATAAATATTATTTATAATAGTATAATAATATAAATACAAATCAGCTCTGAAGAGCAACAATATTAGTTACAACACGAACTGGGAAGTCTATAATTCTAATTTGGAAATTTTTACTTACATTTGCTGCAGGTTTAGGGGCGCATATCGGCCTTTGAGCAGGTCTAGATAAATTCCTGTGACAGCCATTCGGATTTAGAAAGAACAAAAAAGTTACAGGCGATTTTACTCTAATAAGAATATCTTTCTTAAAATAGCTATTTTCCTTCTAAAGGTGTTTGTGTATAAACAGATTCACGGCGCTCTGTTAAATATGTATGAATTCTGCTGTGCGCCTAAAGACCTTTCTACGTATAAATGTCTGTTAAATATATTAATTACCTGAAACTATACCGGTATGTACACAGAAAGAACAGAATAGTTGAATAAGATGAGAGGACCGATTCATTCATGCTCCCAGTATAGGACAATACCCGCAGGACCCTATTATTCCATAGTCTTGCAACAATGTACTTAATTAATATTTTGGTAGATAGTAACTCTGAGTGCGTGCCTGAAAGGTATTGATATATCCTTCCTGGGTGTAGTATAGTACATGGCAACCCGGCCATAAGTAAACTTTAGCAAAAGTCATTGTGTGTGTGTGCCTGTGCGCTCGTGCGTTTGTGTGTTAATGGCCATGCATATTTTTTCATCAGACAAAATCAACTTACCTGATTTCTCAATGTTTTAAACAGTAACTGAATTAAACCAATCCTTTTTAAATTCATATGTTGTTAGGATTGTCATTAAATACATCCAGTCTTTGCACAAGCTAGGGTTTTATCATAGTCCATCTAGTGCTGTGCGTTACATAGGAAGATCCGGGGTATATTCATCTTCCCCAGGCAAGTGAGTTAACTGACTATAAAAGTTAACTCTCTTGCCTCCGGAAGATGGGGTATAATAGGTCTTCAGCAACCCACGCTTGCTGTAAAAAGCGACTCTGGTTGTCGTAAGAGGCGACTAACGAATCGGGTGGTCTGGCTCGCTGATTTCGTTGATGCATGTCATTGATACCAGTTGCGTGGATCGATGCTCATGATATCAATCACTGGATTGTCTGGTCCAGACTCGATTATTTACAGACCGCCGTCATGTAGCTGGAATATTGCTGGGTGCGGAGTTAAACAACAAACAAACGTTAAAACTAAACGTAACATATGACAGATTTAACTTATACAAACCCTACAAATAATCATTGTAAACACCAATTAAATAAACTTCATCCGATAATCAAGACAAAACACAAGAATATGTGACAAAAAAGGCCACTAAGAAATTCAACATTTTTAGAAATATTTTGTGTGGGTGGGTAGGGGGCTATGTCTTAAAACTTAAGGAATTATGTGTTTTTATCCCACATCGAACTTTTGAACTGGTCCCTAAAAAAACCTATAGTTGATTAGTGTTAAAAAGCCATAAGCCAGAGTTCGTAGCCAAAATGGACACAAAGTTAAGTTGGAAGCCCATTATCAGGACCTTGCACAAGGGTGAACTATAGGTAGCGTAAAACTAGACTCAACTACTCATTCTAATACAATAAATATGTGATGGCACCTCAGTGTAGAAAGTAATAAACCACAGTGTGTGTGTGTGTGTGAGTGTGTGTGAGTGTGAGTGTGAGTGTGTGTGTGTGTGTGTGTGTGTGTGTGTGAGAGAGTGAGTGAGTTGCATCTCTTTGGGATGCCAGGAACAATGGTTGTGGTTGAGAATCCCAGCTTTGCCCACATTATGTTTCTGCGTTTGTCAGCACCATTCTGACTCCAAGCTGGTTCAACTGAAGAAAAATAAGGTGAAAAACACTGCTATGATATATTATTTATTAATTAAGATTTGTACAAGGCTGCATTCCCTGGTAGTTCCAGCATGGATGTGTGCCCATGTAGAGTCAGGCCCAGCATCATCAGCAACTATCTTTTATACATACATTCTGAAACAAAAAAAAACAATTTTTGACAACAAATACATGGATAAGGATAGATGTTATACTTTGTTCATAATACAACACTGTATCTTTCACAAAACACTTTGCAGTGCGTGCATGGAGTAGAGTTCGTTTGTTGTTTAATGCGACACTCAGCAATATTCCAGCTATATGACGGCGATCTGAAAATAATCGAGTCTAGACCAGACAATCCAGTGATTGATATCATGGGCATCGATCCTCGCAATTGGGATCGATGACATGCTTTAATCAAGTCAGCGAGTCTGACCAACTGATCCTGTTAGTCGCCTCTTACGACAAGCATATTCGCCTTTTACGGCAAGCATGGGTTGTTGAAGACCTATTCTACCCCGGATCTTCACGGGTCGCATGGAGTTAAAATGTGTTCATACATTATAATTTTGACAAATTGGTAAGAAGTTTCTATGACACATACACCCTTCAATGACACATCCTTGATACCCAGTGTATCACATCTCACATTCTATATGGACATTTACCCTGGAATCATTCAACACCATAGATTCGTTTCGGAAATGTTTGTTTGTTTGTTTGTTGTTTTACGCCGTACTCAACAATATTCCATCTTTATGATGCCAGTCTGTAAATAATCAAGTCTGGACCAGACAATCCAGTGATTGACATCATGAGCATTGATCCACACATTTGGGATATGATGACATGCATCAACCATGTCAGCGAACCCGACCACCGAATCCCGCCTCTTATGGCAAGCATACATTTCACAAGTGACATCACATTCCTTATCTCTCTTTATCAATAACTTGGCACAAAATTTCTCTCGCTCATGAGCTTGAAATCAACAACCAAACAAACTCCCCTCTGAACACGAATTTCAGCAAACATCTACATTTACAATTGTGACCTGGTATAACAAGCACCAGATATATTTGACTCTGTTATCTGTGCACTTTCAGCTGTACTTGATGGTTCCCTGAGCATTAATACATGGAGAGGGAAGTCCTAAGGCTGCATTCAGAAAACGACAATATGCTGCTTACTCGTCATTTTCCAAATGCTCTGTCGACTTGATTGAAACCCAGCGAATTGTTCAAAATGCAAAATCTTCTCATACTTATGCTAGTTGATATTTTAGTATGCAAAATAGACAAATAACATACATATATCTATGTTTTTGAGCAGAAAGGTAGTTTTTTCTTTGATAGGCCAGTACAAGACACCCCCCCCCCCCCCAAAAAAAAGCAAGTCAAGTACTGTGATATCGCTGCTTGTTTCAATTATGAAAATTTAGCAGACATCTATTTTTAACATCATGTCATCAAAACCAGTCTCAAAACGAGGCCATGATTGCAAATGGACCAAGGTATATATCGTAAGGGAGATATAATACTCTGGAAAGCTCTTACAAGGAAATATGGATGAAACAAACAAATGTCATTGTCTCTCAGACCCTCCCACATCAGTAAATCATGCGAACAGGAAAGGATTTTATATCTGCTCTACACTTCGAAATGACTCATACAAGGCTGCAACTTCAGCCACTAGCCAGACGTGTGTGTGTGTTGTAAATTCTGTTTGGTATAGTAAGCTCAGCTTTTAATAGTCCACTTGATAACACCAAATACTAATTCAAATAACGCTTAGAGCCATGTCCGGGCTAATAGAATCAAAAGTTTTTAGGACAGACTACACATACATGCACTTATCATTGTTTCCAAAACTAAATATGGCCCGCAAAACATTCAACTGTGTACCTGAACTACTCGGACCATCATCAATCCTTTGGCTTCTGTGGGAAGGAGAGTTTGTAGAGCAGAACACCAGTCATGATGGTACCGATAGCGGAGAGCCCTAGAGTAAATATGTACATCCCACGATCACGACCAAACATCTGCCACACCAGCTTCCCGTCATTTTTCTAGCAGTGGAACAGAAACAAAGCATCCATAAAATTGTGTCTATCTAGAAACAAAGTACATCATCAGCATAGTCTCACACAATAAAGAAGTGTTTATCTAGATAGTACATGTATTATTATGTACATATTATGATATATAAATTTACACAAAAACATCCCTTTTTTTCCCTATAAACATGATAACATAATGAATTTCATGTCAGCTCAAACTAATCACTCCTGAGATAATCTTTAAGGAATGGTATTACTTCTGGTGATGTAGCAAAACAGGTCTCATTTTCTGTTGACCTTTATCTTGAATATGTTAATTCAGGAGTCATTCAAGAAACTTCTGACTTTCAGAAATGTTGTGGGTCCAAAGACCTCGCCCCAAATAGTGTGGTTCCTCCTTTCAAAGAAGTCATTCAGTGTAACAAAACTCCCCGAGCCCTCTCCCTGAATATTAAATGATCAATCCTGAAGTGTCCTTTGGTTGAACTTTAAATTCCCAAGGTTTCACTCACATAATTTATTTGAATATTAAAGTTTGATGGCAAGTCATCTCCCTATTCATTACCGTCATGAGGTTCTGCAATGCAACTATCTTGCTGTAAGCTTGAGTGGCAGGTACAATTCCTCTGTTGCCGGAGCCAGTTGTTGGGATACTGACTGACTGTGGTGGAGGGGGAGCTGCACCTCTCGCTGGGGCCGAGCCACGGAAAGCTACTTCAGGCTCACCCACAGTCTTTGTTTTTGCCGAATCAAACAGAATCTGTGAGACTCTCCCACTGTATGGTGTCAAACCCTGGAAGAATCATGGGAAGGATATAATGATAAAAATTGTTATAATAAAATTATTAATGCTTCCCTTAGGATTCTTAGAACAGGATTGGTCATGTTGAGAACTAGTAGGCTCAAATATATTTGAAGATACAACATTACAATTTGGAGGAATCCGAACATTATAGATCCTTCCCTTTCATTTTATGCCTGAATATTTGGTCAAGACTGATCAGTCTGAAACATGATACAACTTACAAGACTGAACATTTATTTGAGAGAAGACTATGGTTTTACAGGACACAACATATTATGATATTGCCTCCTATGCCACTTATTTATCCGATGGTATTGCCTTTTCGATTGTAAACCTAAAACTGTGTGTTTCAATATAATTTATTGATTATTCCTTGACCTTCTGTGGTCATTTCACAATTTAGTTCCATACAAAATGAATTCAGGATTAACCTTTGAATTTCAGTTTGGAAATCACCTCAGAACACTTCATACAGGTAGATGTATAAGCACTGTATGTCATGTGTCACCTCAAAACGGTAGACTGATATTAGTTGTTGTGCCCCAAGGCTAAGGGTGTGAATTCAATCTCTTTATCATTGGATCAAGACAAGGCTAAAGTCACCTGACAAGGATTAAATCATCCATGAACACAATAGTAATAATGAGGGATAATAGTTGCACAGTTTGTTCAAGGTGGCTGACAGTAAATATACAATACAGGTGGTGAGGATTAACAATTAGCATGCTCACCTTCAAATAGTAATTAGCATTAGCTTTACAATTAAATGTTATTCCAACCAAATATTTAAATGGATGCCACTTAAACTTATTTTTGTTAGGTAAAAAAGAGCAAGCATGAACTAATAAGAAACTTGTAGTTCTTCAAAGACTTGATAATGATTTCACAGTTAGCATTGTAGATTGTAGCTTACTGGTCTCAAATCTTGAGTTGTATTTTTTAATAGTCTCACTGTGCAAAATCAAATCCATGGACTCTTACAATTTTCAATATCACGATCAAGATGAGTTAATTTAATTTGTTCGTCAGATCTATAGCTAGGCAATATCATGCCTGTTCAACACGCAAAGTGGTGATCGAAAATCGGACAATGTGTTAATTGACAGTAATCAGCTTACTTGTGGCTGATATGCTGCTAGCTGTGTTGATGGGACAAGAGCCCCGGTCATTCCACAGTACTTGTAGAACATTTTGTCCCTTGGTCCTTGATTTCTTTTCGAAATAACACAACTACAACCGATCGGTTTTCACCGACTAAATCCACCTTGACCTTCAAGAACGACCGAGCGCAGTCCGTACTTCGGCTTTCTCCGTCGTTTCCGAAGCTGCCCGGAAAGGGGCGAAGCTATGGGGCAGGTGCTTGGTTGTTATGTAGTGTTGTCCCAGTTGCTATGTCACATTTCGTGAGGGAGTTTCGCCTGTGTGTATGACTTGTATCTCTCATCAGCATTGCTCTCATCACGGAATTTAGGAAACGCGTCAATTTAACAACTGGAAACATATTGGTCAGCAATGGCTAACTATATCAGGGACCTGGACAGAGAAAATCTGCCGTATATTGGTCAGCTCAACAGAAACAGGGTTTTGGATGGCACTTCCCCTTCAGCCAGACGGATACGTGAATTAGAAGAAGAGCTTGGCATCAGATATCAACCAACATCTCCATCAGCTAGCCAGTACTTGGGCAGATACAACCAGGGAGATGTCGGCCGAAGAGCAGTTACCGAGGTGAGGGAACGATCAGTATATTTTCGTTAAGTGACCCTCATAATAAGACCATTATAATCATTGTCATAGGGCTACACTCCGAGGCCATGCAATTCCTCTTGTGACATTGTTACAGTCGGATTGACAGAAGAACATGCCCGTAAAATAAAAACATTGTGTCTTTAAAAGTATTTGCTACTATGCTTGTTGTAGAAATATTATATACAACATATAAAAATAACATTAAAGCCACATGCCATCTTTCCTCCTTATTGGAGACATGTTGAATCTTGAACTAGATGAGATTTTTTACTTATAATGCTGAATAATATGTGAAATGTCATGATTTAAATACCTGCAGTTCACAAATATCATTGGAACTCTGATTTTGATTTTCCTCTGTAGGTAAAAGTGTTTATGGATTAGTGGCAATAGATCAATTATGTTGGTGGTGGTATTTAATTATGTATCATTCATAAGTAAATGTAAATATTTAACTGGATGTTTCAAATTCATGCCTAATGACAGGTTATAGAAATGAAACTATTGTCATTAGTTCATATTTTACAAAAAAGTATTATCTGTCATTCATATATTTCACTGCACGACAACCAAGAGTTACCTCCCTTGGAGTGTTATTTACATGCTACCTAGCAGCACAACATAGGTTTGTTTTAAGTCAAATATGAACTGTGAGGATTTAAGAAATTGGAAAAACTTAATTACTATTGAATAATCATTTAGACAGGAAAACTTATTTTGATGAGGGGTTGTTTTGCTTTGTTTATCCAAGTGATGGACAAACAATAGATGTTTATTTATAGTGAATGTACATGATGTAGTCAAGATTAATCATGATGCCAAATATTAGTAACAATTATGTCTACCATCCTGTTTTCATTGAACATGTTATTTTATTCATCTGATCTTTGAAAATAACATTTTGTTTTATTATAAACTTTAGTAATAATCAAATGGTTAATTCAAATGAAGAATAAACAAAAGTATTACCCTTTGAAAACAGGTTTGTAACTATGGTATTAAGCATTGTTGATATGATAATTAACAGACATACTTTTTTAAGTAAGTAAACCAGTCTTTATAAGTCATGTTTACGGTATTTGGGCCTGACTAAAAACATATGATAGATACTTGATTGTAGAAATATTATATATAAAACCATAACCTGCTATTTTGTGTACATTAACAGAAAACTGTTAAAACATTTTTTTAAAATACTGGTACATATGTTATTATTTTTATATAGCCTCAATGTATTACTTGGACACCTCAATTTCAGATGTCAGATCAGCTTAAGTCTGCCCGAGAAGAGCTCAGAAAGAAGGATGCCCTTATACAACAACTGTCAAGGTAAATAAAACTACAGTCAGTGTGAAAAATGTTTTATTTAACTTTGCCATTGGTTTGCCTTAATTCTGGTTTATTTACCATGTTTACACAAATCAATTTCTTTGTAATAGGCACTGTTATTAACAGATACTCTTGAAACTGACTTTGTAGTCCAAATAATTTTCTAAAACCTGTTAAATGTAAATTGTGATATGATTGTTACTTGATTATGGTTATACATATTGAACTGTGAGACCTCCTGTATCTAGTTCATTATAAATGTTTTTTTCAATTACATGTCATCATTGTAACTGGACATCTAGAAATTCAAATAGAATGATTACGTTTTTCTTTCCTTCAGTTTGGACTCCGCACCAAGAATTCACAGATCACCTGATCCTTTACGGGTAAATTATGTTCATCGTCTACAGCAGTGTTGACAGTAATATTTTTACAAGGACTGATAATCTTAGTAATATTTTTTAACTTATTTCACTTAGATCATTACTAAATTCCTTTTAGGTATATTGTCACAGTGATTTTTCCAAACTTAAAAAAGATACATTTTACACAACTTAAGGGGAACAATTCAATTTTAGGTAATATTGAAATGATCTATTTGGTGAGGCCATTCTATATACTTCCACTCACTGCTGAAGCTACTCAATGTAACCATTTCTTGAAAAGAGGTCTTTGTGGCCGTAACATATTCTAGATGTATAAAACTGATGTACGCGGATAATGCATAGATTCGTATGTTTATACTCACTAGTTAGTTCCCCTGTGGGGGTTCTGGGTTAGAATAGGTACCAAGACTTGGTGACTTGGTTGATTGCATTTCATCATACTGCTATGGCATAGATCATTGCTTACAATGTCAAACACTTGATTGTCAGGTCTAGAAACAGTTATTTACCATGTTTACAGCCCACTGTCATATGGCTGGAATATTGGTGAGTGCGGGATTATACAACAAACAAACACTAGTTTGGTGTTCCCTAAGTGGAGTCATAGACCATGTATTGGGGTACTCTGTGATTCCATTGTCGAAATGAAAGTGTATTAATTGATAAACCTGTCCTCTTCAACAAACTTTATACTACGCCATTTCATTGATTTCGTTTCTGTTTTCGTTTTGTCACAGATCGCCTTTTTGAAAAAAACCCTTCCTTCCGGTTCGGGTATTGTAGTTGGTTGTGCGTTAAACTTGTGTCACAAGAGACTGGATTTGTCCACATTGGCATGGTGGCAGCACTTTGAACCTATGCTAATACCGATTTCAGCACACAGAAACCGTAATACGAATCCAGTTACCCTCAGACGTTCAACATAAGTGTGTAAACTATGAGCTGAAACTTCCAAAACACACGTCGGACATTTGCATGGGGGTCGTGTAAATTAGGAAGCGGACGTAAAATATGGCCAACACAAAAGCTCCGAAGCAGTCGCAGTTGACGATGAATGAGACAATTAATTCTTTCGAAAATTGGAGGCAGAAATTAGTATACATTCTTTGCCTAGACAATAATTTCGCCCCGCCTCACTTGATCACTTGATCACTCAATCACTCATCTGACATGACCTTCTTTTCACACAGAGAGGCATCGTGATGGAGTAAAAATTTGATTTTAATGAGACTGATACCTAATCCAGCATACTGAATGTTCAAAATATTTGCTACCCAGTGTTGTCCACATTACATTGAATGACACAAGTTTATTTACAAGGAGAATTAAGTGTAGAGTAGAGGAAGCCCCTCTATAAGCATGACCAGGTGAACAAGTTTGTGTATATTATAACCTGTAATCTGCTTGCAGGTGGACACTCTGTACCTGGGAGACAGGACAGCAGTGGAACAGTCCCGCAGTGAACTGGCAACATCGCAGGTCAAGTTAGAGAAAATACAGATACAGGTAGAATAATTAGATTTACATCCTTCTATCTAAATGCTTTTGGATGTTAGTGTTTGTTTACAACTTGACAGGTAAAATATTCAAAAGTTATGTTATGTCAAAAAGCTGCTTGAATATCGAACTTCCTCCTTTAAAAAAAACTATCCTTGTACATGACTGTTAATGTTTGATAGAAATAGAATAAGACCACACTGGAGATTAGAGTGCGTGTGTTTGTCAAAGGTAAAAACATATTCGTCTTAAATTTAAAAAAAACAACTTAAGTCAGTCACTTACTTTGGAATTATGTATATTGATTTTAAGACTTTTTTTAAGAAATCAAAATATATGTTAGATTGGTGATATGTTTGAATTATTTCCTTACAAGTATTTTTGTTGCAACTATTGATTCAAGATTCATGAAGAAATTAGATTGACGACATGATCTGTCAGTTTTCGGTGTTCATGAATCAATTAATATAGTACAAGTACATGTATCAATTTCGTAATGGAATTTTTCTGTGGGGAGTATTAGGGTAAATTGTTTCAATATTATTTCAGCTGAGGGAGGCAGACAATGAAATAGAAATAAAGTCTATAAAAGTGAAAGAGCTTCAACATTTGCTGGAGACAAATCGTGAAAATGAAGCCAAGTTGACAGCTCTGGTGCAGTCGCTCCGAGACAGAGTGCGTGAGCTGGAGGACAAGGCAGGGTGTATCGAGACAGTGGCTGGACGTAGCGAGTACGCCATTGGATCACTGCAGAGAGACAACCGTGAGAGCCATGACCGCATCCTGGAGCTAGAGGGGAGGCTGAGGAAACAGTTGGAGGAGCGCGAGGCGTCCGAGGCCCGAGCTGATGAGTGCCAGAAGAGGCTGACTGAACTCCAAGCCCAGCTGAGTGGGCTCCTCCGAGCTGATGACCTGTATGAGTCCACCCCCGCATCTGTAGAAACCATTGTCAGGAAGGTAAGGGTCAAACTTAGATTTTGATAATCTTTAATGACAAAAAGTAATCATATCACATTTAAAATTCCTTTGGCCAAAATTTGAATGCTTATATTGTTTGTTTTTAAGTGAGACTGATTAATTATGTTGTGGACCTTTTTGTTGTTTTTGCCGTTCGTACATCAACAGAATTACAATCACTTTAAAAAAATAAATGTTTATGAACAGAATTGTGTTATTATGCAGTGTTTTCTTTCATATCTTGTAGTTTGTCTTCTTGTATAGTTTATGATCTTTGATGATGTTTGTTTGACAATGATTATTAGATTAGTGAGTGGACAGTGTTAATTATTGATGTCTGAAGGTGATGTGGTAAAAGAACTGCCAATTTTCATCTTCCAGATGACAGATCTGATGCAGGAAAACGCTATGTTGAAAGGCAAACTTCTGTCCCTGAACGAGGCCTTGAACAACACAGAACTGGAGACCAAGGCCAGTCGGGAAACCATAATGAGGCTGGTGTCAGAGGTCGGGCGTGAGCAGAAGGTGGCCACGAGATACACAAGTGAAATTGACTCTCTCCGAATGGTAAGACAGGACACATGTAGAATTTGGAAATGAAATGATTAAATACAGTTTTAGCTTGTTAACCTTAGTTCCATCTGTTTTAGCTTGTTCACCTTAGTTCCAACTAAATGGTGGAGGCCGATACGTTTTCTGAAGCTGAGGTTGTGTAGCCACCTTGCTGGGCTCTGAAATACTCTTCACCTCTGAAACACATTTTCGTGCACTCTGAGATTAAATCTTCGCTTCCATTTGCCTCAATCCATGTTGATTTCTGAGCAAATACAGATGCTGTTGTACACAACATTACAAAATGGTGGCTGGTTGTCATTCTACTGAGATGATGGATATATTTCTTTGAGTTCACAATTCACACGACCTCATCCCCACAAATTATTTTCTCATCGAAATTACATGATTCACGAGTAGTGTCCAATTAAAAAAATGAAACTTAGATGGAGAAGGGGTGAATTTTGACAAGACTGATGGGCCATCTACGTAACGTTTCAGCAAGCCGTTTGTAATTTTAATGGGCCAGGAGTTTAACTGACCCTTGTAACATTTCCTACTCTTTATCCCAGGAAAGAGACAACGCATTGGCAGCCAGACGAGAGGTGGAGAGGGAGATTGAATTAATGAAGGAGAGGCTAGATGCCAACCAGAGGTCGCTGGATGCCACTAGGGGTGAACTGGAGCTGAGACAGGGACGTCTGTCGTCTCTGGACCGGGAGGTTCGTGAGACTTCGCACAATGTCCGCAGTTGGGAGAACCAGTACCATCTGTTCCGGGAGCAGATCGCGGGTCTCCTGAGCAACGCCTTTACCATGGTGGAGCCCAGTGAAGACATGATCAAGGACACGATCAGGAGGATGGCACAGACCAACAAGGAGTATGAAATCGTGAGTAAAGCAGGGATGATTATTCTTCATTTAAGTCTTTTTAATCAAGAGTTGAATTTGAATTTCTGAAAATTGAATGGACCTCCCTCCATCTGCAATAGAGACAGAGGCACCTGATAGGCCTACTTTATAATAATAGATATTATCATTATAAAACAGACATTCTATGATTACATAGAGCATCTCTCCCGATTGTCTTTTGATATCAAATATATCTACTCTCGTCAATAAAAGTTTAAAACTCTGATGCTTATCATGTTGATATATTTCCTTTTTTTTTATCATCATACATCATTCTTCCAACTTTTCAGTGTGTAAACAGTGAGTGAGTGAGAATGGTTTTAAGCCGCGTTTAGCAATATTCCAGCAATATCACGGCGGGGGACACAAGAAATGGGCTTCACACATTGTACCCATGTTGGGAATCAAACCTAGGTCTTCGGCGTGACGAGCGAACGCTTTAACCACTAGGCTACCCGACCACCCCAGTTTGTAAACAGTCATAAGCAGTGTCTTGTGTATGAAAAGTACTGGTAACCAGCTTTTGTAGCAGAGAGATTAGTGATGTCATTTAACAGTGACGTCATGGTAAGCAATGACGCCACGATGGTCTGCAAAGCATTGAGAGATGTCCCCCAGGAGAGATTGCAGCATCTCACCCATACAATCCCTACTGTGGAGCCCCGTTTTGGGTTATAGATGTTAATTTTCCCTTTGCAGCAATTGGGGAGCCTGGAATCCCGAGTGAAAGACCTAACGGAGCAGCTAGAAAATCAGTATGATCTTAATCGGTCAAGCAACCAGAGGTACAAGCAAAATGAGACCAGCTTGTATGATCTGGAACAAAGACTGAGATGTACGGAAGGCGAGCTTGCAGCAGGGGATCTACTTCGTGATGGGCTCAAGTCAGAGAAAGAGAAGGTGAAAAAATATAAAAGGATGGTACCCATTTGAATGTTTAATGGATTAACTGGACTGAATGAATGATATAATGTTACTTTCATAGCTGAACACAAATCATTGTCCCTTAATGAATGTCAAAGGCCAAGGATGCATGGCATTCATTTTGCTCTCGTCTTACCTCATCAAACTGTTAGGGATTGATTTTGAGTGTGAAATAATTTTGAAAATAAAGAAATATAAACTTTAAAATATTTTTATTAAGAAATAAAGTGTCAACCTTATGAACTAATATATCATCTCCATGTCTTATAGTACAGCTTTTTAACATGTACATGCTCTCAATTTTCAGTACATGCGTCTGCTGCAACGGTTGGGCGAGAAGATGAAGATGGACCACATTGCCCTTGACCTTGGCTTTGACATGACAATAGACGCCATCATGGCGCGAGCCGGGCAACTGGTGAAGCTTGAAGCTGATGCTCTGGCAGACCGCAGCACCCACATATACAACCTGCAGCGCAAGGTGAAGAGTCTCAAGGAGCAGCTGGAGAGCAAGGACCTCCATATTGACCTGCTCAGGAAGAAGATGACAGGTCTGGAGGAACGAGTGCATAGCCGCGGTGACGTGGAGAAGGAGCGTGACGGGGAGTCGATGCGGGTGCGGAAGCTGGAGAGGCTGGTGGACAAATACAAGCTGCAGCTGACAGACGCCAGACAGGAAGTCCAGAACCTAAAGGCTCATCTGCTCGGCTCCAGTGAAATGAAGGTGAGACCAAGTGACCAGAGGCACTACTTAAGCATTTGGAACTCATTTCTTTATTCATGCTTAATGAGATGGACTTAATGGCCCTTTGAACAGTACTTGTGTTAAGTAAGGCTTCGTCTTTATGTTGGAGCTACACCCAATATCAGGCAGGTCCTAGGTGTTTACCACCTTCTCAAGTCCAATGTGCACCGGCGTGTGCTGACAACCCAGGGATCATAACTGAAGTTAATCTGAGATCATGGGATCCAGCATTTCATGTTTAGAACTCACTTGACATAATTATACTTTCCTTTAACAAATATTTTAAAATAAATGTTAATAAAGTTCTTTTGAGCACAGTTATCAATCACGAAATGAAGTTTAGATTCTGTGTGCACTTGTGTACAAGTGTAAGCAGTGCATAGTGTTCCACTAGAGCCAGTCTGCAATTATGATCTTATCCCATCTTTTGATAAATGACAGTTTCAGTCCAAGTATATATGGCTGAATGTATGTGACATCCAATACCATCTTACTGAGGCAAGGGGAGTAATTGACTATAAGAGTCCAGTTTCTATCCCTGCCAAAGTAGGCTGCAATTTCTTACTTGATCGTAGCGCCACGAGTGACTATTACAAGTTATGGCCCTTCTATGTCCCTTTTACTAATAAGGCCTAAGGTGAAGAAATAAAATTGGTTCTCATGCAGTAGCTTTTTTGCAGGCAGCCTTTTTTGTTGTTGTTTGGTTGCGTACAGACTAGTAAGAATCCAAATTCGTATATCGCTGTGTATAAAGCGAGTTTTTCATAACTTAAAGAAGGCCTTCAAGAGGGGGGCAAGGGGAATCGTATGTGAAGTGATCGGAAGATCGCACAACTCACCGTTATTTACAGCAACCACGGTCATATCGTTATTGACACCTTGAAACGAACTCCAGTGGAAAGAGAATGGATATATATATCATAAGTGCCATACACTGAATCGCTGAAAGTCATATTTGCTGTAGTTCAACAATGAGATGTCAACATAAAGTTTTCGCAATCGCGGCCGCGGGAGCATCGGAGTTGATTGGTCAAATTCTTTCATACGAAAACATATCCGGCATTAGCAATCAGCTGAACCAAAGTGCAACGCTTATGTTTATTAATTTATTTCACATGTACCATATTCGACGTAATAAGCACCCGGGGCACTCTAAACAATCTCAAAAAGGGGGCTCTTATTAGAATATAATTTTGGTGAGGGAAAAAACAGACTGTGCTGGTCGTAAAAGGCGGCTTAATGGATTGGGTGGTCAGACTCAGCAACTTGGTTGATGGGGTGTCATTGTACACCGACAGCCTGGATAATTAGCTCACAATATCAATCACTGGATTGCCTGGCCCATACTTCTTTATTTACAGCCCGCTCTCATATAGCTGCAATATTGCTGAGTTGGGCGTGAAACTACGAACACACATTAACTGACCTTCCTGTGTCAGGTACGCACCATGGAGCAGCGCAAGGACATTGATGAACTGGCCCAGCAGGTGGAAGAACTCGAGGACCTACGCAGGAAGCAGAGCCGGAAGATCGCCAACCTGAAGTCGGAGGTGCAGTACCACGAGAACGAGAACCAGGAAAAGAGGGTGGTGTCTGACAACGCTGTGCACGCTCTGTCTGGAGAACTCAAGACCACCAAGACAGCGCTACAGAACATCCAGCATAGAGAGAAACAGGTACAGACAGTGCCGACATGTCGCAAAACATCTCTGTATAGGCGAAAGTATTGTGTGGTTGTTAAGGTAGCTGATCTTATGGTTGTAACATGAGTACCCCTTATGGTTTAAAACTCAGAAGTTGTGTTGGTAGACTGAGTGAGTGACTTGGGTTTTATGTTGCTTTTAGCAATATTCAGGCATTATAATTGCGGGGACACCAGAATTGACTTCACACATTGTACCCATGTGGGGAATCGAACCTGGGCCTTTGATGTGACGAGTGGACACTTTAACCACTAGGCTACCCCACCCCCCAAGGTCACCATGACTAAGAGACATGAGACTGTATATCACCAAACCCACTCACAAAACTTTTCTCGCATGCAGTACAATCTGCAGCTGTTCAAATAGAGTGATGAATGTATAGTAAAAGTTGTAGCATTAATATTGCTTGTTAAACATTTTCTTCATATCCAATCTCATTAAAATCAGATCTTAGTTCTTGCTGCTGCTAAACAAAGATCTGTGGACATCCAATTACGGGTCATGTCAGACTGACCTTGCCCAAACTTTGACCAATGGAATGGCTGACAAGAAGTCGACATTAGCCAATCAGAAGGCAGCTTACTCGTGCTTTACGGCACTCATTTCAAATTACACCTCAAAACATATTTTGACAAATTCTCGATTAAAAATTTGAAACCTAAACAAAAGAACATTCTGCAATGGCTAATAGATGGTCCAGATTGTATGGATTCAGTCGTTAACCCCATAACTATCGTTCAGAATACCCAGTGTAAAAAGTTTTCGAGGTTGCATGATTAGAAATCACATTCCGACTGTCACTTTCATGATCTGGTAAGCGACGCTCTGATTGGTCGGATGAAAGGCCGTTCTGACATGACCCCTAATGGCATGTCTTCAGATCTTTGTTTAGCGGGAGCGGAAACTAAGATCTGATTTTAATGAGATTGCTTCATATCACACAATTTGTCATCATTATTTTAACAGCTGTTGGACTTCCGTAATGTGGTGGCCCGTATGCTGGGCCTTGAGATCAACTCCCTGGCTGTCCCCGACTACGAGATCATCTCCCGCCTGGAGAAGCTCATCCACACCCACCATCAACAGACTCACACCAGCATGAACCTGGAGGAGGCCCTCGCTGACATGGAGGACGGTTTCACCAGCGACTACAGCACCACGCGGCGAGCTCTGACGACCGCTGACCCCATCATGCGCAGGTCACGTGACAAGTCTCGCAGGAGGGCAGCTCGGGCTCAAGTCAGGGCAAGATCGCTTTCGCCAACGAGACGCATTGACCCAAGATCTTATTAAATCAAAACTCTCCACACTAGAAGTTGCCTTATTGTATATTAAACAAGTCTCCATAGTCAAGGAAGGGTGTGGGTAAAGGAGGAGAATATGAACTGATATTTTGTCAATGGTGGTTAAACATGCATCCGTGCTAAGGCACCCTGTCAGATCTTGGCTCTTACATGTCTAAGGTAAAGGGCTGTCTTTTACACTTTCATTTCGTGGATAAGCGTTTAGTTCCACTTAAACATTCCGACAAGAAAACTTGTAATTCTACATTTGTATAATAATTGTACAGTAAAGTATTGACATTTTCGAAATAAATGAATAATTTTGTCAGTTTAATTAGGCAATAGTTTGTTATTCTCTATTACTGATACTGACGTTTTTCGCAAATATATATTGATTTGACTCTGAAAACATATTGCAAACAGCTTTTTCCCCCATTTTCTGACTTGGAGACCCTGGATGTTTAGAGTAGTACATCATCTGTGATACGTCCTGTTGCCTTGTGTTGGAAGCATATCTTTATTGTTATTGATTATTGTTACTGGATGACACTATGTACAGCATTCTTCATCTACATTGTTGTCATAGCAACACATCCTAACATGTTTTTATCAAATTGTTGACAAGATTTTTAGCCTGACTCAAGTAGCTGTAGATATATTTATCCTTGAAACTCTAGATCTAGGTCACTAAGGTCACTTTATACTATATGAATGCTAAATTAATTCACAATTATTTATTATCACCATTATTAAAGAAAATCTTTTATCAAATATTATATCCTATTTATGTTCGCAGGTCTGTTTCTTTAGTGTTGGGTTTTGTTTAGTCCACTGCCAAGGTGCTCGGTGATCGTAATGTTCCTAGGGGTGATTTAATGTGGTGAAAAAACAACAATTTCACATAAATTGGCAAAAGTGTATTCATTAGATCTGAACACATATCCTAGATCCTACACGCAAACATTATGCACACCAAATGTTGTTATTATTTTAAGTAATATGCTTGTTGAATGGTTCTTCATCATACTCATTTACCCCCTCCATCTATAGAACTAGGCAGTGAAGAAAAGGTGGTCACTAGTTGACCCTGACTTTAGGATTTAAGATTCATAGTCAACAAATTTTTAGCTAAGGATGCAACCATTTAATATTCTGAGTGAGTGATGGAATACCGTATTCAACGTAATAAGCGCCCCGCTCTAATAAGCGCCGATGGCGATATTTGCTAATATATTGTCCAGTAAACAATCCTAATTAGCACCCCTTCCGATTGATCAATGTACACAAGACTTATTTATTTATGTTTAATACGCACTCATGTGTTATATGCACACTTAATTATGGGCAATTAAATTCTGGAAAAATATATCTGTCGTACATAAACATTTCAGGATGTCAGCATAAACCACGAAATTTATCTTTTAACTCTGTTTTTTTACTAAAATAATATTCTAATAAGAGCCCCCCATTTCTAATTTTGAGAGCGCCCTGGGCGCTTATTACGTCAAATACAGTATATGGTTTTACACCGATTTTTGCAATATTCCAGCAATATCATAGCGGGTACACCAAAAATAGGCTCACACATTGTACACAAACCCAGGTGTCCGGAAAACACTTAACCGCTAAGCGACCCCAATGCCCCATTTGATATTCTGAAGGGTGAGGGGGAAGGCTGAGATTTGTTTCAAATTTTTTTCCAGAATTGTCCTCTGGCTTTACCCACACAAATAAATTGTTAACTATACATGTTGGCTGTACTGAAAGAAATTGTGAATTTTTTTTTGTTCGGATACCCCTTTGACAGGAAACAGATTGTGTGTTTTGAACAATCACTGAAAACAATATCCGGTCTCCAACAAAAAGGAATGCACTGGAATAAGAAGCACATGTTTGCAAGAACATTTCCTCCACCAAGGATAGATGGAGAGGGTTAATGCAGGTGTGGTATTCAGGGATATCAGTATATATGTTTTCATTCTGCATTAAGTCAAGCACATTTTTTTGGAATATTGATGTCAAGAATTTTGTATTTTATTGATTCTGTGGTACAGAAACTTCTTCCAGATCTCTGTTATGTGATGTGCATCATTCCGCCTGTCTACTTTTTATGTCCATAACTTTGTATATTTTCTGTAGTTTCATTTTCATCATTTTTGTACATATAATCTATGGAATAAAATATTACTAGTTTCTATACAACCAGTATTTGGTGTATCTGTAATACGAGAATAATATTTTTAGGGAATCGGTTGCGAGTTACACGCATTTGCTGTGTCAAGAATTTCAAGAGGGGCGGTCGGGTAGCCTAGTGGTTAAAGCGACCCGGGTTTGATTCCCGACATGGGTACAATGTGTGAAGCCCATTTCTGGTGTCCCCTGCCGTGATATTGCTGGAATATTGCTAAAAGCGGTGTAAACCCATACTCACTCAACATTTAAGTTACTATCAACATTAGTTCACAGGAAATAGATCCTCACAGTTCTGATTACGGAGTGGGTTATTCTTGATACACTCATGTGTCATATTAAAGTTCACAAAATGGCCACTGTAGTTCATATGGAGAGTTACTTATGTCCTCTGACTGCATGTTGTTGGTCCCAGAAGTAGTGAGGCAGATACAATTTTAGGGGGTGCAAATTTGCTGTATCACCTGTTGACCTTTTTTTCCAAGCGCTACACTCGGTAGTACAGAGACTCCAATCAGAGAGCAGAACTACTAAACTTATAAGGGCTGTATACCGTCATTAAGAAAATTCAAGATGGTTGTTACTGACCTAATATTGAGACCATGTGCCGTTATTAACAGCCATCTTGGATTTTAAATATTTCACATGAAAATTCTGGTACAGAAATTCGTTATTCAACTCTGGATTGTGTTTTGTGTTTCTGGATGATTAATTATGATGTACAAGACTATAGTTTTAAAAAAAAAACACGTTCGTGATTTATTGATAACGATTATTAGTTTAAAATTTCAACAAAGTTTCGCCTCTCTAATGTTTGAAGAGTAGTCTCCCTTTGATCCTTAACGTCAAGGGTTGTCAGTGTGATATCATGGTATGCACTGTCATATTAGGCTTTTTTATTTCATATTTAATAGTACAAAGACACCGGTAGTGAGACTATTGACCACAACCAATTAAAAATTACATGCAAGAAAGCACATACTATACATCATTTTATGTAATAATAGCTCAACTACCTACATGCGGAAAAGGTGAAATGAAGTGCTATACTGGTACTCTCCCTTTGACTGAGCAGAGATAATGAATATCACCATACCATGGTTAACATCGAATGTGAATATATATTTTTTTAAAACTTATACATCTTAAGAAGAAATTCTCTTTCTTTACGTCAATGAGGTCCACTGAGTAACGTTTCCACCAATATAGATGGGAAACAAAGCTAAACAATAAATGAAAAAAGCCCTTCTTTGTTGTAACTGTACTTGCTCCTATATTCCCAAAATGTTTATTTAAATGAGTGAATAAGATGTGAGAAAGGATTTTCTATGTGTGCACCAAACAATACTTTATGAACTGATTCGCAAGACGGTTACTTACTTACCGTATTTCCACTACTAGACGGTCGGGCGACTATTAATTTCGCGCTAGCGGTAGACCCGTCGTCTATAGAGGCAGGAAACTGTCATTATTAATCACCAAAATATTACACTATTTGAGACCTGGCGTCTAATAGAGACCCGTATGGCCAGGCGTCAATTGGAGGCCGGCGTCTCTTGGATATCAGGCGTCTTATAGAGGAAATACGGTAATTGTAAAAACATGTTCCTAATTGACTTTGTAACATAATATATCAGAGGCTGCAACACACAGAGGTGACAGTACCCCGCTACGGGGCAATGACCGCCACAAACCAGCTCACCACACAAATTGCTATACATTTGGGGGATAACAAGGGGTGACAATTTGGTAAACAAAAGGGGGAATAACTCAGTTACCAGTTATGTAATGCATGAAAAGTAGGAAAGAAATTACATAGCAAAGTGCCCTCTTCCCTGCCGCAGATTGGAACAAGCCCAGCACACAAATTGCTATACATTTTAGGGATAACTAAAGCATTAAAAGTAGGAAAGAAATATCCCCTAAAGCACTGTTTTACTATTTCTCCCTATGCATACACGTCCATAAAAAAAGTTTAAACCAATTTTGAGTTAAACAGGATAAACTGTAAGACAATTACACAAGCTCAACACGGCAACATAGTGACATGCATTTTTTTAAAGAACCCGAGATACCTTATATATTTCCTTCCCGCAAAGGTTTCACAAAGAGATCAATAAACGTAAAAATAGTATAACTCGTGCTTCAAAACAAAAGCACGTCATGTTGAATTAATATGACTTTTTAGAGATGCTTAAACTTTTATTCATCCACAGGAGACATTGTTTGAAGGACTGAAATATATATCTACATATTGAGTGTCCACATGTTGATACGTATAAACGACTTAAAGGAAACAATATTTTTTAATCTGTGTAAAATTAGAATAATTCCTGACAGACACTGCTATTTAAATGACATCCCTGTCTCCTTAACTCCGACTCCCTCTAATCAGAGAGGTAATATATGTCCAGGCAGACAATGTGTGAAGGTGTACCGAGACATGGTTCTATAAACTGGCGTCCTTCCTGTCACCATGAAGCCCGGCAGGTGTTTATTTAACAGAGAGATCAATTGGTCCAAAATGAAAGAGTTCATCGCTCGGAATTGTTACATATTCAGTCCATGGTTATAAACAGTCTTCAATTTAAATATTAAACAACTGTATAGGTAATACACCTTTTATTATAAACAACAGAAAAGGTCTACGTTTTCATGTTTTATAGCACATATTTCATTAGTATATACATGATAAAATATACAATTTATGTACAATTGCATCAACATCATCACAAAATTAACTCTTCTGAATTCTCCTTCAAAAATCATCTTGAACATCTGAAATAAAATATGAAATATCGTAAAATAATATTGTCAAAGTTTAATTTAATTTCTATATTAAATGATACGTATTTCAAAATGTTTCAGCATTCCTTCTGTACAATCATTTTCTTGAAATATTGTCATATCAAGAATGACATGTTAGGGAGCTACAATTTGATAACTCTAACTACTTGCATTACATGTGACTGAAAGAGTGAGAGAAGGTTGTTTATGGCTGCAGGATTATACCAGCTATACTATGGCGGCCTCCAGACTGGCAAACCAGTGGATGATAGCATGAGCAACACGTCATGGGGAATGTTGATACAACTGACCTATTAGTGTGTAGAGTGGTTGACCTGATCCATGGCATCACAAAACCGACAGGTCTGGGACTGGAGGATGTTCCACTGGTGCTAGGCCTAGAGGAATAACTCTTGGACTCTGAAAAAATAACGGCACATGTCTAAAACAAACATGTCAGCTTTCATGATAACGAGATAACATTTTAAACAACACATTTAAATGTTACAATGGACAAATCCAAAATCCAATTACAGTAAATTCGACCTTACTAAAAATACATGAACAGGAAAACCAAAAACTCCTACCGAACAAATGAAGAGCTTTCTATGACCCTCGATTCATTACAAATGTGGATGACTTTGGATTGAAACAAAATCCCGGCAACTTCTTCACTGAATGTGAAAGTAAATGCAATTCAACAAGGCGGAGAGGGCTGTGGGGACCTATTCTAACACAGGCCCTCCAGGGTTCAAACACCAATGAAGCCCTGTGTCCTATAAAATGAGTGAGTGTGTAGGGTTTTGTGTTGCAATTAGCACAATTCCGGCCACATCACAAAAAAACATTAACCCCATCGCCCATGCCTTTTTTTAATCCACCATATCTGTTGTACTCTAGAACGAGATGTAGCATGTGGACTTCCATATGTAAATGTAAAGATCGGAAACTCAAACACTGACAGAACTTTTTTTCCTTTTTTTGTGCGAAATATAGGAAACTGATGTTTGACTACTGACCATCTAGTTGCCCGAGTCTCCTCCTCCTGACGCCATTGATTGTAAGGCGGTTGTGGTGTCTGGCGAGAGGCCTCGCCTCTGTGTCGGGGCTGCCTAGAGCAGCTGTTCCCCCTGGTGCTAGGGACATGGGGCAGTGTCTCTTGGCTGATGTAGGCAGAGCTGGTGGCTGGTGGACCCTCCTGGTCGGTATCACAATCTGCACCGGTCTCTTCCGTGAGATGGGGGACAGCGTGGTGGATGACCTTCCAGAGAGAGGTTGGCGAGAAGAGACCTGACCGGAAGTCCCCGGTTTTTGGGTAGATGTGTTTTTGGATGGCGTTGTCTGGACGGAAGTCCAACTCGCTTTTGTTTTCTGAGAGATTTGAGAGGGAACCTGTACTTTAGATCTAGCAGATGTGTTTCCGTGGCTATTCTTGCATTTGTTGCTTGTTCTTAAATTATCTGCCTTCTTAAACTGTCAAAACAATAAAAAATGAAGACAATCACGAAACACGTTTCATACATAAAGATAAACATCTATACTACTAACTTCTTTAAGTGGCATTTGGAAGTTGGTGTGATGAACATGGGAGATAGTTCTATAGATATACAACTTCTTTATTACAATGAATGCGACGTTTCGGTATAGAAGCTTTGCGGCGCGTCTGTCAACTGGGCTAAAAAGGGGGGCAAATTTGTTATTATAAGTAATTTTGAAAAAACATATGAATAAGCTGTCGGAAGTTGATGGGTGTGTCGGGCATTGACATACATGTAATAAAAAGAAAGAATATTAATCACCGAACTTGACTTGTGCAAGTCATTCATCAAGATAAATCCTTGTTTGCCATTTACAAGTGGTATACCTAAACAGTTTGTCTTTATCAACTTTAAATATGTAAATAACCTTATTCTCCTTTGATTTCTTTGCACAGCATACCGCCAGACTGTCTCTGTCATTACTGCGTCGCTTCAGTACCCGTGATTTGGTGGTCTTCGAGGCAGTCTTCTTTTGCTGCCCGAGGCAAGTGCAGCCAGATGCTGTTGACACTTTTGTGATTTTTGATCCGTTAATCTTCCTCCGGTGAGATCTCACAGGACGAAAGGACGACGTGTCACTCTGTGCAGAGTAAGGGCCGTCTGTAGAGGGTGACTCCGTCTTATCCCAGGATGAATGGGTTTCTGCGTCTGTCGACAGTTATATTTAGATTCATTGATAACTTTATGTGCAGTTAAAAATTTATGTTCTTAAACTACTGCGTCTTGCAACAAACCAGCTTTGTTCGTACTTTTATTTCTGTTTCAGAAATATCTTTTTGAATATCAGTAGATGCCTGATGTCTTTGTGCGATGAATAGAAGATAGATGGTTTAACATGTTTAGATCATCGAGTTACGCGGCCAGTAGTGACAATGTCAACCTTTTCAGGTTATGGTCTTTCATCACTTTCATCACTAAATGAAATAATTAACAGGTATTTTGTAAATATTGGCGTGCACTGATTGACGACTTTTTTTGTTTCAACTATCATTGTTTATCTGTACCATATATATTAACACTTGTTATTTAAACAATCAAGCATTATTGACTAAATTAGCACTTGTTACCCACACTACTTTTATATGAACTTTTCAACACGAAAAAAAAGAAAATAACTATGTAATGTTATTTACCTTTACTTTCTACCAACATTACTTCTGCAATGTAGGTAGAAAGTGAAAAAAAAACACAATAAAAAGTTCATTTGTTTTTCGTGTAGGAAAGTTCATATAAAGTTTTCTTTTTAGCTACATTACTTCTGCAAGACCCATGAAAATCGGGGTGAGAATAGGTCTTAAGTAACCCATGCTTGTCGTGAAAGGCGACTAACGGGATCGGGTGGTCAGGCTCGCTGATTTGGTTGATTCATGTCATTGTATCCCAATTGCGTGGATCGATGCTCAGATATCAATCACTGGATTGTCTGATCCAGACTCGATTATTTACAGACCGCCGTCATACAGCTGGAATATTGCTGAGTGCGGCGTTAAACAACAAACAAACAAAACAAAAACCTCTGCAAACCACACGTGTACAATGCGTGAAGCCCACTTCTGCAAACATTTAATGGGAACTTCAACATAAAAGTAAGGGACATTATCAACCACTCGCCCAAAGCCTTCTGCCTAAATGTTTTAGGTATCTTTCGGCCAGTGAACATATCTCATTTCTAAAAGCTTGCAAATATGCTATAAATATTTGGTGTTTGAAAAACGTCCCCAGTTGCACTGGAAGACTGACTCGGGTGTTCACCTCTTTCACTGTTGGCAATCTCCCTCTCTAGCCACAAGATTGCTGCGTCCACTGGGTCTGCCGGCTCCCAATGTGAGGCGCCAGTGCTCGAACTATGCTCTGAAAATAGGTATAGTTGGCGACACTGATACTTTAAATAACGGCATGCTCATGTCAAATCATAATCTATACACCCAGGACTTCCATATCAGTAAACCTACACTAACACAAATGCGAGTTCGGGAGTAGACTAATATCTAGTCTCTGAAATGAACATATCTTACAGAAAAAAAGTTATTAAAATATCTTAATAAAATATAATAAAAAGGAGCCAAGAGACTCTCTTCATTGATACTGCAGTAATATAGACTTGCCAAACATTATAGACTTGCTAGGGCTATATTATAGACTGTAAGACAGAATGGAGCATGATGTCAAATATTCCCCACAAAACGCAGTTGATTGTGCATTTCAGTATGAATATGTGACATGAACCAGAAACCCCGTGAATCATATTTGCAATGAAAGCTTTCTGATGATCTATGTCTATACATTCAGGCGAAAAGGGGAGATGTCTCCTTACCATAGATGTTTGGTGTTAATGGATGAGCGTATGTGTGATCGTTCGTGGCATATCTGGTATGCGTCTCTGAAAAAGAAAGAGTTCTCCTTAAAATAAGAAGTATCACAAAATGCCACGTTGCATAGTAAGAGTTCCGTTACTGTGAGAGGTAAGCAGGCCGTATGTGTTTTCGACTTTGGATAACCCGCTATAACACAAATATGGTGCAGACAAACCAAGGATGACATTATGGCAAACGTTAGAATCGAACCCACGATCAGAGGACCTTGTACGAAAACGGACCCGACTCTGCAGCGTCTCAGATCACTTGTTCACCCGAATCCCCAAGAAATATATCAAGAGAGTCACACAGATCAAGACAATGTGTGATGTCTTCTACATACCAGCATAAAGAATATCGTTCCCACTGTTTAAGAATGATTAATAAACTTGAAAATAATATTTACCCCGGACTATACTTGCTATGTGGTTCTCCAGCCATGTAATCGCAGTGTCCACAGGGTTGAGAGCATCAACAGATGCTGAGGAAGCGGCATCACTCTGGGCGAGGGACCTGGCAGGTGTCTGGGAACTGGAGGTGTGTCTGCTGGACGTACACGATTCTATCTGCTCAGAAGCTTCAAGCAGAAGATTTATTCCAGACGTGGGTTTGTCAAAGACCGGCGTTGACTCGGACTCTATAACTTCTGCAGCTTGTAGAAGAAGGTCCACTCCGGATAGTGGGTCGGACTGTGGCTCGTTCACAGTCCCCGAAGGATTAAGGAGACCAATACCTGACACTGGCCAACTGGGAGATGGGTATAGGAATGGTCGATTCCTGTCGGCAGGTGGCGTGTCTATCAATAAATAAAATCACTCTTCGTGAATGTAAACATAGAATGCATGACCATGTGTGCTTATAAGCATAGGGCTAAATATTTGTTTGATTTGTCACTTTTTGCTATAACAAAGGTCGAAACAAATATTTCAACATTGAAATATTAACATCCGCGTAGCAAATAAGCGTTCTGCACTGTGGCACCCGGAATACCAGGGAACGGCATCCGGCCTACCAGAAGGTGGTTCGCACCCTCTCGAAATGGTGATTCAATGGTACCAGAGCCAGGCGCATTGTCCTCTTTAAAACCATTAAAAAAAAAGAAGATATGATTACAATATTGCAAGTCAAGGATACTTTTTCTGCTGTCTATAGATCGGTAAGCGATACCCAATCCGTTAATCTTTTCTTAATTTGTTGAACAAGTAGGACGCCACTGCTTTTATCACATGTGTTGAACACTGATGTACACGTTGATGTACGAATTCACTGAAATCGCTATCATGTTCTTTATGTTCATTTGTATAATAGGTAACAATACTAGTCTTGTACCTCAACCTTAACCCGAAGTAACATGATGTTCGTGAAAAATAATCATCTTCACACCGATTCGGTACCCGTAAACCAATACAAAAGGAAATTTACGCCCGCTATACGCTGTGATATGCAGTTCCAGCCACACGTTTTCGATTTGCCTGGATAGGGGAGGTTACTCTAATCATTAATCAAAATCAAGGGAAAACTACTCTCATATCAAACTCCAGTAACATTCTCTAAGTACGTACGCTAATCCTTCGTGAGATGAATGTGACACGTTAGGAAACGTACTTTGAATATGAATTAGACTAATTATTCTCCACGCTTGCCTGCAAGACCTGCGCTTTCTTGTTCTGTTGTCCCACTGTCAAATGTTCGTAATTAAACACAATTCCCTAAAGACTAAAGCGCGCTATCGGGAAAGTAATTCCTATGGATGTATGTGACGTCATAAACAACAATCGAAGGGCGTCACATTATTGCTAACCTTTTCCACTGTGATGGGGAAAATAATCGACAGCTATTGTAGGCAGAAGGTTTATCGAGAAAGAAAAAATATGTTAATATTTACAAACCGAAACGACTTGTAACTTCCATATAGTTGCCAAAACAATACAAGCGCATTTCATCGACACCATTAATGAATGTACAAAATATATTTAAAATACAGATACATTTGCAAACACGATATTTCTATTCTTGTTTTGTATTTCTGGAAATGCTAAAGTTCTTACCTGAACTTTCCACAGAATACATTCTATATTTTATAGCCTTTCTTTTTTATTCTTCAAGTAAGCAGCGGCTTGTTACGTCCGCACTCGCAGGATGCAAGAGTTAGTCTGTGACGTCACAGATAACAATTGAATGACGTCACATCCAATCTTTGCAATGCTTACTGTAAACATGGACAAATAAAGAGTGCAGGGAATCGCATTGCTTCCAACGTCGCGATATTTGATTATAATATTATCTAGCATAGAATTTGGCATTTGCGTGGTTTGACAAAAATAAACACAAGGCAACAGAGAAACAGACCATTCAACTCTTAATTATGATGTTAGAATGTTTGTGTGATTGATATTACAAGCAACGATCCACGTCGTCGGCGTACGGTACCACTCTTGTCAACCAAGTCACTGAGCCTGATTTCATCGCCTTCTACCACAAGCATATGTTGCCAATGACTAATTAACTGGGGTGGGGTTGGTGGGGCTACCTATGCAATGAATACCACTAAATGGCTAAAAAGGACATGTGTAAGTGACTACTTATCATAACGACGTATTTGACAAATCCACACGTTATAACTGAGCCACTTGGACACGCCTGGGATAACTTTGATGAAACTTATAACTGACTGCCATATGATTCTCTCTCTCTCTCTCTCTCTCTCTCACACACACACACACACACACAGACACAGACACAGAGGCGCGCTGGCACGCACATGCACGCACACGAACGCACGCACGAACTGGAGTGATGAAGACATCAGTCGCATGCGCGTCGCGTGCCATGGAGAAGATCAAAGAATGTATGTGTCAATTTTAGATGCTGGACATGAGCTCTATGGGTGTTTTGCATTCCTTTTATTCATATCATCTAAAAAAATTCCACATAAAAAAAGCTATCACGCCCAACTAGAGGCAACATGGACAGTTACGGGTTTACCGAAATATGGGCTTACATCAATCAGATATCTTCGCTACAAAACGGTTTAGGAAACATAACACGAACGCCGCATACAACAAAAATTATAAAATTCAAAACGAAATGGCCCCTCAATTTCTAAAAGAACTTATTCCACACAACGTTGGTGCAAAAATTCATTATAATTTGAAAAATTCTGAAAACATATCAATTCCTCGTTGTTTATATACACAAGACGGCATTCACTATGGTGTTTTTGAACGGAATCGCCTCCCTTTCGGCCTCAAAAATGCTCCTCAGGCATTTCAACAAGCCATTTCAGGCACTAAAAGAAACGAACTGGCCTTATATATTAATATAATATTTTCTAAAACGTTTTCATAACATTTGCATCACCTCAAGGCGGTCAAAGAAGCAGGACTCACGCTTAAACCAAGCAAATGTAAATTCGTAACAAAACAAGCAAACTACTGAGGGCATATCTTCAGCCAAGATGGCATCCATGTCAATCCTTCAACAATAGATTCAGTCACACAGATCCCACCCTTAAAAATGTCCTTGACATGCGCCATTTCTTAGGTTTTGCCTCGTATTATAGCAAATTTTTAGCAATCTTTTCTGGCATCGCCTCTCCTCTTCACAACTTTCGGAAAAACGACGCGTCTTTCGAATGATCCAGCAATCGAATAGCTAGAGCAGGCCCTTACAACAGCCCTGTATTGATGAGGATGGCCATATTGCTGTCGAGTCTTTTTATTGAGGCGGAGTTTTATATCTTTTCATGCAGATGGAGGCTGAGTTTATTTTATTTACACAACATTATGAGCTGTGTGTGTGTTTTGGTTGTTTTTTTTACAACCCCCCACCCCCACCCCCACCCCCACCCCCTCCAAACACACACACACACACACACACACACACACACACACACACACACACACACACACACACACACACACACACACACACACACACACCACCCCTAGAAATCATATTGTCTGGATTATGAAGATACCGGTCGCATGCGTGTCGCGTGGAGAGACCCTCACACTGAATACACTTACTGTATTAATTTTCCTGCACTCAACAGTCACACTTTTTAAATGACCCAAAGGACCATACGAGCTTCATGGAATAACGTCTGACTTTCGTACACATTACGCAATTTCAGAGACATACCTCGGGTTTGATTAACTCATTCCCATCCAAGGTTTAGTCACGTTGTCGTGGTGATGGCGGTTTTGTTCATTTGTCCTTAGTTGTCCTTAATAATAGAACTGATGAACAGTTGTAGTTATTTTATCCGGCTCAAACATGTGTTGAGGTTGTATTTTAGACTTTTTTTGATGATGATGATCATGTCTGATTCATCTTCTTCTTTCGTTTCGCCTAGTTCCGTACTATATATGAATAAAAAAATCGGCACTGTATGTGTTTTGGAAAACAAGATGGCGGCCACCACGAAATCACTGCCGGTTTTTGTTTTCGATCTGGGATCCTTATTCAAAGTTCACTTTCAATTAAATAAAGTATAACTACGTATTTGGAGGTGAGTGAATAAGAAAGACGTTATGTGGATTAAATTTTTTTTTTTTTTAGGACTAAGAGTCATTTGGCGCTGTAGAAGTGAGCTGTAATTCCCACAGAGCACAGTAACAGAGTTTTCTAACGGGACGATCCGCAGTACCTTGTAGTGTTTGTCCGTTTGTTTGTTGTTTAACGCCGCACTCACCAATATTCCGGCTACATGACGGCGGTCTGTAAATAATCGAGTCTGGACCAGTGACTGATATCATGAGCATCGATCCACGCAATTGGGATACGATGACATGCATCAACCAAGTCAGCGAGCCTGACCACCCGATCCCGTAAGTCGCCGCTCACAACAAGCCTAGTCGCCTTTTACTGCAAAGATTTGTTGCTGAAGACCTATTCTAACCCGGATCTTCACGGGTCACCTTGCATACTGAGACCTCTGATCAAGGATGTGATGGGTGTATGTGTCAAATACATGTGTTTAATTAACGCCTAACATCACAACAGTCATTAATATTCAAATAGATATATATTAAGGCGGCCTGTAAATAGTCCACACGGGGTCAGACCCCCAAATCACTGCACATCGCATACCTCCAATGGTCATGGATGGCAATTTACATGTAAGTGTAACGTTCTGTGACAAAGTTATCTGTTCTCGCGTCCTCCCGTTCCTTCAGACCCATGGACTTCACATGGCTTTACAGACTTTACAGACTTTACGTTGCTCGTGTGTATGGGCGGCCATTCGGTCAAAAAATACAAAGTTAAAAAAAAAGGACAAAAGTACGTAATTAAGGCCAAATATTACGAATAAGGAACTTAATGTTACTACTAAAGATCAAAATACAATATTAGTAGTCAAATGTTACGAAAAGACGTCATAAGAAAAGAAAGAACAACTTGTACGAAAGTGAGCACGAAAGGACGTTTTCAATAAAGAACGTCAGTGAGCACGAAAGGACGTTGACAATAAAGAACGCCAGATGGCGCTGCAATTTGTAAAACATTCGGAGTTTAATCGGCTTGTTCCGCCGTGTATAGTATATGATAACTGCATGCCGAGGTGCACAATGTATTACGTCATTCCTCGTGCACTCACCGTCTGACGTCACACATGTAAATGTGGATGTAAACAAGCGAAATAAATATGGTTTCTGAGACTTCACGCCACATGCCACCTGAGATGACGTTTACAGAGGACCTGTGTTGACACTGTCGTGATTCATGCTTCTTGCACCTCAAAATAATGCTCTTCCAAAACCATTCTATGTTTTCATTTATTTATTAATTCCCATGATAGTCATTGATGCACAGAACTATTTTCCCTCAACTATATTGACAGCTTTCCATGCATCTATAGATATATGATATGCGGCGGATACTGGTCGTTGGTATTACAGCCACCCCGCGTGTGTGCAAGCAGTAACATATGATGTCTGATATTCAGGATTTGGTTCCCTGACCTGATCACTGCACGTTCCTCAAGTCTGGGGCGGCTGGGTAGCTTTGTGATAAAAGCGTTCGCTCGTTCGATTCCCCATATGCGTACAATCTATGAGGCCCCTTTATGGTGTTGCTAGAGTATTTCAAAAAGTGTAAAACCATATTCACTCACTCATTTCCCAAGTCACCAAAGCTTGCATATCTTACTGACTTACCACAGCGAAGACATTTGCTCAACTGACTGAATCTTTTTGTGGATGCCATCATGTATTGTCCACAGTGTTCACTATCACGCAATTCCATCTATGTGAGGCTTAGAAATTATCAATCAACCCTCGAATGTTATTTCTAAAGGAAGCTGATGACATAGTTGTTTACACATTCTTGTAGCTGTTACTAGAACAAGATAATTATATGTGTTGATGTACCAAAGGTACCCTTGTGACGATCCGTGAAATAAGGTGAACTTATCTATCATTTATGTAACTCACATTCACATTCAGTGCACAGAGCGTAGAAGCTTCCGCCACAATACACGATCGACCGACCATTTGATATTATTGGTGGGATGGGGCCCTGTCATTTTGTATGGAGACGAGATCTTTTTTCAGCTATAGCTGCAAAACCAGATATTTAAAAAAATAAATTAAACTATGAGCCTAAATATTTTTTTAAAGGAAACAAATTACATGAATATTTTTCGTGGCAGACAATTTCTGTTATTTTCAACAGTCTGAGGCATAATTATGTTTTTAAGAACTTTCTACCACAATTTATATTTTTCGATAAAACTCCATCAAATCAAATGGTCGGTTCCTTATGCGAATGCGTGACTGAATTGAACAGTATGTGAACCTTGAGTGCTTAACCTGCTAGGTGGATATCTTCGAAAACAGACCGTCTCCGTGGATAACGCGTCTGCCCGGAGAGCGGAAGGTCTGTGTTTCGATACCCGGCCGCGTCATACCAAACGACGTTAAAAGAGGGTTGTTGTCACCCTTCCACACACACACACACACACACACACACACACACACACACATACATGAATGCAACCACGAATATTCTTCGAAAAGAAATAGGTTTTGTATGCTGCAGTATGAGGCTTACCTATTTATTATTATTTTTCCAGAATGATAATATGAATATGCAAAAAGTTCCCATTTTGATAAACGGTGAATCTATTCCATGATAAGTATGGGGGAAATGTCT